AAAAAAAAAAAAAAAAAAAAAAAAGCCAAAGCCGCGCGAGTCAGAACATTGCGTAGCGTGTGTACTTACGCTTTGTCTCGCAGCTCGTGACTTGCCTCACCTGTCTGATTCGTCGTCGCATCCTGGGATGGCGCAAAGGAGTGAATTGCGATGGGGCCGAATGAGCAGCCGGCGTTTTCACCGCTAGAACAGGACGTCGCATGTACTGACAGTGCAAGCAAAGTCGTCTCCCGAGAATGAAGCCTTCTTCTCTCGAACCTGCGGCGCGCACAAGCACAGCAGGCAAAGTGGAGTCCGCAACGGAAAGGGTGTAAGCTCAGGGTAAAGTGGTGGAAGCGGCGCATGCTCAGACTTGTGCCCCCCACACTCGCCTTGAGAGTCATCTGCTGGTTGTGCTGTGCAAAGTGAGGGAGCACTCCGATCGCCCTGGGCACCGGATTCAGAGGAACGATGGGCTCGGGAGCATCGTGACGGCTGAAGAGACCCATTCTTGGCCGTTGCGTGGGGCGAAGGAGGTCCGTGGCTCGATTCGACGACTGACTGGTTGAGCGCAGCGCTGAGACTGTACAACAGTCGCGTAGAGATGATCGAAGTCATCCATCACAATTACAACATCCGAATCGCGAATGTGAATGCGAATCGTCCGACTTGCTCTTTGCATGGTCCTTGCCGCTTGCTTGATTGCAACTTGCACCTAGCTGTGCGCCACGACTCGAGCACCTTCCAGCTAGGAGCTTGCTCAGAGCGGGCCGGGCCCGTATGTGGAGAAAGCTTGATCGAGCACAGCATGCTGCAGCTGCATCGCCTCAGCTAGCGAGCATGAAAGCTATCATAGCTATACGGCACACCATCGAAGTGCAGCCAGCCAGCCAGCCAGCTCTGTCGCATCTTTGCACGCCGAACAAGCCCTAATTGCTCGCGTGAACACGATCACCTAGCTTCCAGCTTCCAGCTTCCAGCTGCACAGCCTCACAAAGGCATGAAAGCGGCGCGCCCGCATGCATCCACATTCGATCCACTCCATCCACTCATCGTGACCCGCTATGCTCCTTTTGATTGCGATCGAGCATGTGCAGCAATTAAGCAGGGGCGAAGTGCGAACTGCTTGCAGCAGCAGCAGCAGCGGCAGCATATGCAACAGCCAAGACTTTGCGCATGAACCCCCTAAGCGCGCTCGCGCAGGGCTCGGCGTGGGTGGGGTTTTGCGCGCGGCGGCGAGAACGTGCACGCACAGCATGTCAAAGGAAGCAAAGCAGCATCACACCACAAGTCACATCTCCACCAAGGCAAGAGGGCTGGCTGATCATGAGTCTTTGCATCGCGCAGTCGTGAAGTGAATCAAGCTTCACGATGGCGTAGAGAGTCACAGTCCAGACTCAAAGTAACCTGCATGGAAGTCATTCAAGCATATCACGAATGGCGGGACGTGAACAAAGGGATCACACAGTCGTGAAATCGGAAATGTAATGTGCTGCTCTAGGGTCAATACCTTTCACATTCACAATCGGACAGCGGTCGAGAGGGGATGCGCAACAGTTATCGGTACGACCGGGGCGAGAGAGTGTGTGTGTGTAAGGTGGGATGTATGTGGGTGTGCGGAGACTGAGCGTCCTTGTACGAGATGGGTTACATGTACAAAACAAGACCAAGAAAGAGATTCCAGAGTTGCGCGCAGTGATGAGAGGACAGGGGCTTGATGGGAATGGTAGGGTTCGAGGTTTCGAGCTCGAGCGGGTTCGAAAAGGCCAACGCACTTGACAGCCCCCTTCGACGTTGCCTTTCCCCGCAAACCCCAAGCGAGGGAGGTGTCAGCTTCTGGACCGGCCAGAAGCTGTGCGCGCAAGAATCGAGAAAAGGATCGGGTGCGAAAAAGTGGGGGATGCTTTGAGGAGGCGAAAATTAGGAAGCACAGATTTGCTAAAGTGGATCGATCTGCCACGTCATTCGGAGCAGCAGCGCCATGATCGACGACCGCTGCTTGCGACGAGGTGGCTTCCGAGCCTTGGGTGAATCGGGTGGTGACGTTTTGAGCTTGCCGAGTATGTTCGATTCAGTGACGGGATGAGGCTTGAGACTTCGGTATCGAGAGGGAAAGCGCGACTTGTGGCATGGCCGAGTGCAATTGTTCTGTATGCAGTGAACGGCTCCTCCAAAGCAGCGAGATGGAGACATCGTATAGCATACAAGGTGACCCCGTGCGCTTCTTCGTCTAGCCGTATGGGTTGTGCATTGGCTGCGCAGAGTGTTGTTGCACAGGAGGGCTGGGGCCACGCGCGTAAGGATCAGCTGGCGCACCTCCATACCCCGCGTTGGGATCGGCGTAAGCGGCATTCGGATCGGCGTATCCACCGTGGTCCGCGTAGCCGTGACCACCTCCTTGCGCTTGTTCACCGTAGAAAGCTTGACCTTGCTCTTGTCCTGGTGCGTAGCCTTGGCCGTAAGGGTCGTAATAACCCTGCACTCCGCCGTGCTGGCCACCGTAAGCGGAACCATCCTCAAAGCCGCCTTGTGAATAGGCCCCTGCGCCTACGCTCGATGGAGCATTGAGGGCCACTGTGGAGTTGGCAAAGCTGTCGCGTCCCTTGTTGCCGTATTCTCGCATGCTTCGGCCGTCGTCATCGTGGCCGACATCCGACTCGCCGCCCATGTCGAAACCGGCACCGCCGGTTCTCCTGGCAGGCAAAGGTTGCATTGCTGCACTGTCGCCATCGTGCTTGAGCTCAGGCCACTTGATGTCAGCTGCGAAAAGTGCGTGACAAACATACGTGAGCTTTGCGCTGACTGGGCAGGATAGTGGAGGCGTGCCGCGGGACTTACCGTCGTCATCGTTGAAGTCAGAGAAACGCTTGCCGCCGAACTTCATGTATAAGAAGACGAGAGCACCAAGGAGAGCGACACCACCCACCACGGACACACCGATGATTAAAGGAGTGTGGTTGGTATCACCTTCATCCTTGTTGGCATCGGATGTGTTAGTGGGAGTGGGTGTATTTGCAATGGTGCTGGTCAGTGTCAAAGTCTCTCCCAGAGCGTTGGTTGAGGTGAGCAACGCCTGTTGTGCTGAAGAGAAAGAGGCAGCAGCAGACTCAGAAGCCCTGGATGCAGATCTGGATGACGCGTCTGCGGCGGATTGAGAAGCTCTCGAGGCTGATGCTGCAGCAGCGGTGTCGGAGGAAGAGGAAGTGGAAGTTTGTGAAGTGCTGCTCGACGAGCTGGTGGAAGTCGTCGTGTCGCTTTCGGACCTGGAACTCGAGGAGCTGCTCTGAGACGTGGTGGATGTTTGACCAAAGCTGAATAAGTCTCCAAATTGAGGCGCTGGCGCTGGTGACGGTTTGGGCGAGCGCCGGTTGTGCACCGCCCGCCTTTCCATCCGAATGGCATGGTCGCTACCTCCCGGAGTCAGATCAGCCGATGCCAGACCAGCGAGACCTGCTGCGAGGAGCAGAGAGACATAAAAGACCTTTCGAGCAACCATTGTGGAGAATGAAGGAGAGCGAGGCAGATAAGCACGCGTGCCTGTCTACGGTCGGCGAACGAGTGATCAGTCGCCAGGGCAAATCAAAGTCGAGCGCCCAGCCGTCAAGGATGCGGGTCGACTGAAGAAAGCCTTGCTTGGTGAGGAGGTGCGGGCGAGACGACGACTCGATGAACGCGGTGTTGGTGAAATCAGTGGGGGCACTTGCTGGAGCTGCGTGTGCTGCCGAAAGAAGAGGCAGTCGAACGAGCAATGGTGAGCGCGTGTCTATGTGAGCTAGAGAGTGTATGCGTTGTGTTGAAGGCTGACGGTAGATGATTGGGAGATGTGGTTTGCGAACTGGTGTGACGATGCAAATCGAGTTGATGAAGATGAACTGAACTCGCGGCTGTACGGTACAGTGACTGCGAGCAGAGCAAGCCTGGATGCGCTGCTCGTTCGTAGCTGCCCCTCGTCGTGTGTTCGTGCAAGATGCGGCAGCAACAACACGGCGGGCAGCAAGCAGGCAGGCATCATTTGCACACACATATAGGACCAGATTGAATTCGATTCCGCACAGCTGTAGGCCGAGAGTACTCGTCACTGCGCTCCGCGGCTCAGTCGACACTGCCGTGAAGCTGGGGGCCTGCAGCAAATCGGCGGAGGTATTGAGCTGCTGTAACTGCATCCGCTAAGCCCTCCATGCGTCAGGCGTGCTCCGTAGCGCCCCTCCAGCATGGGGGCGCTGCATCGCACGAGAATTGAGGGGGGGGGTGCTCAACGCATGCATGCTTGTATGCATGCATGCAAAGAGTCCTCGCTGATGTCCATTTCCTAGCTCCCTTGCCTTGCGCCATGCCCATCAGCGAGACTGCATGGCTGCATGCATGCGTGTTTCTTTGAGTGTTGCATATGAATACAAAAGTCACTGAGCAGAGCAGCATAAATCATTCGTTTGTCTGATGAGGCTCCCCGGCTGCTCGTCACGTCCCTCCTGTATAGATCGCGCCAAAGTGCATGCACTCTTGACTGCAGACGCCTGCAGGCAGGAAAAGGGGCCGGCTCATCGGTTGCACCATCGAGGCGGCTGATCCCTGTGGCGTCTTGAGACCTTGGCCGAGTTGTCACAAGGGAGTGTTTGAAGATCGTGAGCGGCTCCCAGGGACTGTCGGAGCTATGATTCGTCTTGACACTTGAAAATCCTGCGCCGAGCCAGCACGCACGACCGCAAAGTTGTGTGGTTATTCTTGATCCATACGCGCATGCTTTGGCTGCGTGACGGTGTTCACACTCGACTCCGCTCATGCTGCTCCGGCTTGAGCTGTGCAGCATCGCGTGCAGGCCTAGCCGATGCGTATAGAGCCGCTAGAATCATGGCCGGATAGGCGGCGATGCTTCGCATATACCGGTACTCACTTGACTGCAGCTCTTCACGCCCAGTCTTGAGATTCGCTCCGCGCGATGCCAAATGAAGCTCAATTCTATGGTGGATTGCATGCTGGCGGCTCGTGCGGACGGCCTGCAAAGGTTTGTGTCTGTTGTGCCACCACACAATCATGCTGCCGCCGCCTTTCTTGAGATTAAGCGGTCAAGAGTCACAATCTTGAATCTTGAGTCACAGTCTGAGTGTCATTCTGATCACGAAACTCTCGAAACTCATTCATAACGTGAACGAAAACGCAGTAATGGGGTTCTTGATCGAAGATGATTCGGACAGCTCACCAGCTAGCCGCTCAGGGACTTTTAGCCGTGGGCTCACGACTCAAGACTCCAATCAAGAATCCCTTGCTGTTGTCGATCTTCCGCTTCTACAATAAACTCACGACTTGGACTTTGCTCAGCGCGCGGATGTTTACTAATCACGCGTCGGTCTTTCCGGCGACAAAATTTTGCGATTCACGGTTCACGCATTCAAATTTCAGATCCACATTCGCAAACAATCACGGTGACGGTATCAAAGTCTCCGAAATGAAGTGCTACAATTAACGCGCAATTTCGCACACCTCCATTCAGTCAAAAGTGAGTCGTGAGTGAGTCACAACAGTTAGATCCATCAAGGACCACGAGCGCCCGACCGCATGTGACCTTGCCTACCTATATATCTGCCGGCCGCAACACCCTTCGAGCGGCCATCACGAATCGAATTGTGATATAGATCTGAAGCGGGCCTCGAAATCTTCTTGCTTCCTGATGCAGGACGGCATCACTATCGTGACTTGATATGAGCGCTCGTCGGGCTACGTCTACCCATTCAAGATTCAATTATGAACCGTGAATCTGACAAATCCATTGTATTGATTCTTGATTTTTGATCATTCAAGATTCAAGATTGATCTTCGGCTATTGAATCGCTCACGTGACTTCGTGTCGACTCATGCCAGCTCAAGTCCGCGGAGATGCGCACACATAGCACCCATGCGAACGGCCCGCAGAGGCGGGCGTGACAGCTTGAGGACGCGTAAGGCGTCGATCCGAGCGGCGCGAGATTGCACGGGGCGCCCGCGCCCGCGCCCTACCGCGGTCATGGGCGAATAGTGATGATGACGAGGATGCGGTACGTGCGGGTCGGTCGCACAATGGGGGACCAAGCTCAGCTCTGCACGCGCATTCTGCTGCTTGCTCACAACAGTCACTTTCACTCGGTCGGACAGGAAATCGTGGTCCGAATACGCTTCCGCAAAAGGTAGAGCCTGCGCACGTTTCAGAAAGCACGGCACCCGCCTTCAGGACGGCCAAGCGAGTTGCAAGGTTACCACTTCAACAAGCGCTTCGCGGTGAGCGACGAGACCTCTGTGTGAACGACGACACCAAGTGACAGTGAGCTTATTGCGGCCTGCACATGCATCAACCTTCCTGGCTTCACGCAATCAGCTTGAGTGAGAGGTGACCTGCACTGCCGCCTCCGCATTTACCCAGCATGCCCAGCCAAAACGGCGCGATACCCAACATCTTCGTTGGAGATGTGGTGCGAACGACAAGCGAAGGTGCATATCCACCACCCAAGCAGGTGGCAGAAGAGGAAGGCTATGTGCTCCGAGTCTGGAGCGAGGAAGAGGACCTGCTGCCGGATGACTTCCAGGGTGGAGAACCTTCTGTAGACAGAAAGTTGGAAAAGGGAGAGATTGGGATGGTCATTTGGCCGAGCCATGCGCGGAAGATTGCACCAGCTTCCTCAGTGACTCTCATCGATCGGTGAGCGGCTCCCTTTGTAGTTCCTTTGACGTCAACCGCGTGAAAATGAGCTGAACCTCTGTGCACCGGGTCCATTGTGTCCTTGATCATTGTTCTGCTTGCAGAACCTTTGGCGTCGGTGATGTCGTGCAAGCCCGTGCTTCCACATCGCGCGCAGGCGCAGCACCTCGCACAGGAATGGTCACATCTACGCGCAAAAAGCTCAGATTACGCCATATCACCACGGGACAGGAAGCTCACGATGTCCCCGCCGAACACGTGCGAGGCGTGCTTGGAATCCTGCCTGGCGATCACGTCGCATATGGAGATTGGGTGGGGGTTGTGGAAAGCACTTTCGAGGACGCTATGGTTGCTACGCCTTCTGGATTGCGCAGAATATGTGACGTTGGGGGTCTGCTCACAGTCGGAGAAATGGAAGAGGTGAGTCATGCACAGAATCAAGGAATGATTCGAGATCGCAGTATTAGGGGTGGGCAACGCAAGGTCTAACGCGCGAGAGATTTTTTGTGAAGCTGCATGGGCCCAGCGGCGGATCAGGTCTACCTCCAATGATCAGACGAGCGCTTGGGTTCGAATCGCCTTCGGAAACCGACCACAGCCGCCGGCCTGTCATGAGGCAAGCCATTGTAAAGGGTCCGCCGAACCGCGAAAGTGTGCACACTGTGCTGAGCGTCAAGCAGCCAATTAGTGAGGGCCAACGGGACGATAGCGAGCCCCGCTTCGTAGCTGACTCTCATACACGCCCCAGTTGCCGTCGACTGGCTCGCCCTGAATCAAAAGGTCAGGGGCACCTAATAATTGACACATCGAGCCCGGTCCATTGCTCACACTCTCCTCTTCCTTGCATGCGTGCCCGCCAGATGAGCCCTGAACAGTCGGCCGCGAGCAAAAGACCAAAACGTTTTTGGTATTCTCACGAAGAAGACGAGCTGATTGTGCTCAGTCAGGCATTCGAACACGACTGTGAGCTCGTCGTCGCTGTGTCCGCGGCTAGCGCTGGTTTTTGGCTGACACTCTTCACCGCAACCAGACCCTGTCGGCGACAAAGTAGAGTTTGTCAATCCCACGATCGCCGCCCAGCATGACATGCAGATGGATCAGATGCACGGCATCGACGTGACAGGCCTCCATGTCCTGAGTCGTTCGACGCAGGTGGACGTGCTTTGGCAGGATGCAACTACGAGCACCGAGCACTCAACCGCGCTAGAGCCTTATACCATCCTCGACGAGCACGATGTCTGGCCAGGCGAATTCGCAAGCTACCAGCCAGGCCACGAAGCCATCGCGCAAGTTGGCGTGGTTCAGAGTGTAGACCCTTTCGAGAGGACGGCGCGGTTACGACTGTACAAGGCACAAGAAGAAGTGCTCTCTGTGCCTTTGTTTGACATTCGACCTCGATCATCAGAGCAAGCGGACCTCCGGCTTGGCGACACAGTGCTCATCGCTGATCATTGCACAGGCACGCCTCCTCCGATGGTACCCACGCTGGGCGCGCCGGGCGATGATGCCAACAATGCTCAGCTTCACGAGCAGCTGTCGATGATGGGCATGCAGGTGTGTGCTTCGAGGCGCTGGGATGCGGACTCTGCAAAGCTCCGACAGCCCAGCGAATCTGTTGACTGGTATGGTGTCGTCGACGCCATTGGTAGCGATGGATCCGTAGTCGTCAAACTTCCGGCCGGCAGAAAGGTGGTCGAGCCGTACGAGCATCTCAGCCTCCTTGATGACGGTTTCGATCATGGAGGCCCTCACGCGCCGTGGGACAGCGATCAAGACGATGATGACGAAATGACAGATGCTTCTCTCACCTCGGACGAAATCCCTTGGGTTGGCGAAGATGGCGAAGAGGTAGACGAATCTGCATTTGATGACTGGATGGATGTCGAAGAAGAAGCCAAGCAGGATATCGACGGTGCCACCAGCAGCGGCGCAGTCAGACGGGCTACTGCCGCGTCCTTGACCAACGGAACCGCCGACAAAGTTGACACTCCTCCGACCGGTGGCGCAGTAGGCGGCTTGTCTGGCACCACTCCAATCGAGCGCTTCGCTATTTTGGAGTCTGCTCCTCGGGATCATGCTTTCCTGAAGGACGAGCCACGAGGGGTGAGCCGATTTTTTGCAACCCGCCTGCAAAAGGAATTCAAAGCTCTGCAGAGCAGTCTGCCAGACTCGATACTCGTTCGGGGGTACGAGGATCGACAGGACTTACTCCGTGTCCTCATCATCGGAAGCAAAGGAACACCTTTCGAAGACGCGCCGATTCTGATCGACTTCTCTCTCAAGGGCGACTACCCGCACTCGCCACCAGTAGCCCATTACCACAGCTGGACAGCGGTGAGTGCGACTGCATAATGCATCTGACAAGTCGCCAACGGACGCGCATTGACAGAGTGGTTGCATCGGTACAGGGCGATCGGGTTTCACCAAACCTCTACCATGATGGCAAAGTCTGCCTGAGTGTGAGTCAAAGTGGCATGGCAGGCACGCTGATTGCTTGCCGCTCACCAGCTCTGACATGACGAATCTAGCTGTTGGGCACTTGGGCGGGCCAAGAAAGCAGCGAAAGCTGGACCCCTTCTCGGTCTACTTTGCTCCAGGTGTTCGTGTCTATACAAGCGCTCGTGTTGGTCAGCAGGCCATATTTTACGGAACCAGACTTGGAGCAGACATCGGGAACGGAGGCTGGAGAAGCGAATAGTCGGCTCTACAACGAGCGGGTCTACATCGCGACGTGAGTGCGCCCCTTGGCGACTTGACGTTTTCTTCGCCTTGTTGACGGTATTCTGACGCGCCTTTTGCACCTTGCAGAAGATCTTTTGTGAAGCGCGTGTTGGACAAACCCATCCTGGGTCTGGAAGACGAGCTGAGAGAGCTATACCTTGGAAGCGATGCAAAGCTGCTGCAAAGCATCATCAAGCGAGCAGAAGAGCTTTTGGAGGGTCTCGAGATGCAGGCTGTGCGTCCTGAGCTCGCTGTAGCACCGGTTGAAGAGCCCGTCGTGCATCGCTTGAGCCGTGGCGGAGCGATCGTGCTCCACAGGGCCGTCGAAGGTCTGAAGCTAGCCTTGCGCTCCAAAGCCGCCGCAAGCGCTTGACGTCGCGAAACATGCTGCGTGTGATAGAGCTGCAAACCCTGCAGCCACCTTTCTCTGGATCGCGCAGCTGACGGAGACGGGCGCTCTGCCCCACACCACCTTTGAGAAACAGGCTTCGCTTTGCTTGCATCTGCGCACGTCACCTTGTTATGTCCGAATCGTGAATGTAGACACCGACCCGTCATCCATGCTCATAACTGAGTCAATCGATTGCTAGGGTTTGCAAAGCGGACAGCCTAGGTGTGTGGTTGTTGAACCGTGGCGACGGCTGAGCCGAAGCGCGACAGCGGCGGTGAGGCACGCGACCTTGACGGTGCGCTGACCCGCGCCCGGCGTACGTTTACACCTTTCCAGAGCAGTGAGTGCACGTCTCAAAAGAAGTGAGCGATCTGCTGCTGTCGTTGCGGGAGGGAATCGGGTGCTGCAATTGGTGACTCTTGACTGCAGAACTCGAGACCGCTTGCTCGTGACCCATGACTGAAGCTGAATCGCCCGACCCCATGCAGAAATTGCGCATGCGCGGCGGGAAATCGTGTGGGTACCGTTATACCTACACACACAGCACGCGCAAACTTGAACAAAGCAACGCGGCTCCGCATTTTGATAAGAGCTCCGCCGCTGCGTGCTGCTTGCCCCGCGCATTGCCAAGCTGCATATGCAAGCCAGCAGCAGCATACACGCCTATAGCTCCTATACTACTGTCTGCTCGCTATGTCCCAGCAGCCGCGGGTTCGTCATCTCGATCACGGCACGCTTTCTGTCCCCCTGCTGGTCACTCAAAGGACTTTTGCTCACCCTGAAGTGGTGCAGGCCGAGACGGAGCAGCAGTCCCTTGACAACAATCTTCAGCTCCAGCTTGCGCACTACAGCTGATCCGGAGCATGAGAGTGAATCCTGGCTGGCTATAGCGCTGCGACGGAACAACGATCCTTGTGGCTGTCGTGAGCGCGCCGTAGAATTCATCTGCACGTCTGCCTGATGCGCACTAACCTAATTGGGGAAGTCTTGCAGCGGAAAGGCAGCATGAGAGTCCACCTGCTCGTTAGGGCGTGATACCCCCCGCCAGCAACACAAGCTCAACCCTCGCAGGCCCCCTTGTGCACGACAGCTGCTGCTGGGCGAGAGCTGCAGAGCTGATAGCGAAGCGCACACTCGTCAGAAGAGCGTGACAGCGAGACCCAAAATGTGTGCAGCATATGCGCGACAAAGTGTGAGCGGATACATGACCTCGCACTCGACCGTATATATTTCACGATTCTCAAGCCACTCGTGTCAAGCCACTCGTGACCGCACGTATACGACGCAATTAAGGAGCGCGCCTCGGCAGATCCAGGCCGGTCACCTGCATGCCATGCAGCCCCGCACCTTACGGATAAAGTCATCAAAATTAAGAGATGTGCTGATGGTTCGAGCATCCCCGCCGCGTAGGGTGCGTACGGAACTTATATATACACGGGAAGGCAAATGCGCCTCTCTGCTGCTGCGGTCTTTCGGGACGTTTTGCTCTGCGACGCATATGACGCGAGCTCAGCAGGAACGGGAACAGGTGCGCACATCAGGAACACGCAGACACAATAAGCAGCAGCGCAGCTGAGGCGATTCGCTATCACGCTCCTACAGGCACACAAACACCTACAGGAGCTAGGCACCGTGGCACTCCCAGTCACGCTAGAGCGCTACAGCATACTGTAGCTTCGTTTACAATTTCAATTGTCGTGCACCACACGCTTGCTCTCGTGTTGATCTGGAGGTGACAGCAAGTAGTGCATGTGCATGGTGTGCGTGGGCCGTCTACAGGCTGGCAAATGCCCTTCGCTGCGAAACACAGCGTCGAAGGTGCGGACATTTTCCGGTGCACTTGTTCATCATCACGATTATATTCGTGATTGTTAGCCGGCTCGGTCCGCGTACCCACCCTATTTTGTGCTTATCGCGCAATCGTGCGACGCGATGAGCCGCGCCTTTGTAAGTGCGGCTCAGTCGTGAGCATGTATCGTCGATGTGACGTGTATAGTCACACAGGTACTCAACTCAAACTTACCACCATGCTACACTCGATCGTGACTCTTGATGACATGTATGATGTCTACTCTTGACTACACTCACCTGCTTGCTGCTTGATTGTTGCTATCGTCAGCATACAGCTCGCCGAGGTCCATCATCGAGCACCCGCCAATTCACGGAGCCGAAGGCGCGCCTCGGTACCCGAATTGCGAGGTGCTTGCTTGAGTCTCAGCCCGTCCAGCAATTAAGCGTGAGCAGCAGCAGCTACAGGAAATGCTGCACTCACGATACGCCATGCACCCGCAACGGCGCGTATATATAGTGTGTGCTCTGCGGTGGTACCTTACCTATATATTCATATAGGGATCATTTGCATCACCGACTGAGCAACCGCCATGCCAGATTACCTTGTCCATGCAAAGCACCTGCTTTGCATCGAGCCGTCCTCAGAGCTGCCAATCCGATCACGAATCGCCAACTGCGCTCAACGAAGCTTGTTTTTGTTGTTCGTAATCAGACATGGGAAAGCCAACACGCTGCCATGCTGGGACGCCTATATATAGCGCCGCCATCGGCAAAGCGGATGCAGACGTCCGCGGAGCGCTATAGATCCGTCTACTCCGTCCGTCTGCTGCTCAGCTGCCTATTGATCGACCACCATACCGGTAGCTGGCGCAACGTGCTGACCCATCACCGTGTCTCGCCGAGATCCCTTGCAGTTTTGAGTGCTGCTGTCTGACTTGAGCCTGCGGCTGAATTGCATGCACGGCCGGCACTTGCTCAAAAGGAGGCTTCATTGTGACAGAAGAAAAGAGGAGTCGAACAACATGACTCAATGCAACATGCAGCAGACGTGACACGCCTGATGTTTGCACGGGTCACAGACTCTTCTGACTGTCGCGGACTTTGCTGGTGCGAGGCGAGACATTGGAATACTTGATTGTAAGCACGATGCTGCATGCGTGGCCATCTCTGCTGGACGATCTGAATCGTGACGCTCTGTAATCGTGTGTTCATTCCGCGTTCGCACGACTTGCGGGTTGCGCAGACCAAAAAAAGCCAAGTGGCGAGTGTGCTTTTGCTGATGATGTTCATATACCCTCCATGATTGACGATGGAAGGCGGGCGCGGTGACGCCGCGGGTCGCGCCGGCGCATCCACGCAACCGCAATCAAGCATATGCAGCAGCAGCAGCAGCAGCAGCAGCAGCAGCAGCAGCATGCAGCTGGCCATTATAGCGCGCGCATGTGCGAAAAGTTGATGGCTTCCGCGAGCATGACGGAGCGAAGCGGTTGGGCTGTAGGTACACATGACAGCTATTCACAAATTATAGTGCAGCTTGTAGGCGCGACTCAGCAGCAGCAGCAGCAGCAGCAGCAGCAGGTCACAGAAGCAAGTGAGAAGCCGGACGACGAGCAGCGTCAGCGCGGCACTGTCACGAGCGCGGTCATATGGGTTAAATAAGGAAGGCGGGGCGGCGAATTCACAAAATGACCAGACGTATGGGCGCATTTCCAAACTCGGCAGCACCGTTCGAAGCAAGCAGCTCCTGATGCACTCGCAGTCACGAGTCTTGAATTTTCGATTTCCCCCGCCAGCCTCGTACCCATTCAAGATTGCCGTTGCAACAATATACAAACACCGAAAGTCATCATCATCCAAGATTGACTCCACAAGCCGCATCGATTGTTCAATTCCTACAGTCTGGCAGCTTCTCTTCTCTACAATTCTTCATCTTTGCCATTCAATTGCGCTACTCAGGTGACCTTGCCGCCAGCAACCGCGCTCGCCGGCTTGGTCACTTGACTGCATCAGATTCGACCGACCGAAGGCGACGGGTGGCGCTGACTGCGCAATCGAGCTGGTGCATTTCGGTGATCGCGAGGGCCGTTCGTCCCGACGTAGCTCTTGCGCCATCCTCTATCTACATCATCATCCACACCACGCAAGCATCTACGCGATGCAGCATCACGAGCCTTACCCACCTCGAGACATGTACGCTCCGGGTCCATCAAGCGCTGGAATGACATACTCCATGCCGCGAGCCTCTCATGTCCCTGTCGCCCACACAGACGAGCGCTCGCACGCAACTGCGATGTGGGACGACTCGTCGAGTGGATCCAAACGGAGTGCTGCCACTCCGCTCGCCGCCGCTTCGCCTACCTCGCCACCAAAGATGACCACTGCCTGCACCAGGTGCAGCAATCTGAAAGTAAAGTGCGATGGTCAGCAACCTTGTGCAAAGTGCATCACAGCAGAGAAATCGGATGATTGCGAGTACAGGGCTGCAAAAAAGAGAGGGCCGCCTAAGGGATGTCCGGCGCGCGGCGGCATCAAGAAGCGAAGTTTCCTGGAAGGGGTCACTCAGCAGGACGAGCCTAGTGCGCCCCCGAGGAAAACGAGAGGGTCATCAGAGAATACACGCAAAAGAGGAATGAAGTTGGCAGGATCAGAGGGGGATCAAATTGATGACGAGGCCTACAAGGCGGCGCGAGGGTTGCGCGACCTTCATGGTCAAACAAGTCCTTCAAGCTCAACGACGTACAGCACAGCGCACAGCACCCACAGTGCGGGCCCAGCATACGCATCAGTCCTTGCAGCAAGCGAAGCAGATGCTGGTCATGGGCTACTCGCGCTCGGAGTGGCAGCAGCGCAAGCCGCAGAGTCTAACAATCAACGCTCCGGAGGCTTTGGACAACTACAGCCAGGCTTTCCCGAGCAGTGGCCAGCCATAGGCGCCAAGCATGGCTCTCCGCCCTTCGCACAACCCGATCTCAACCCACAGCGGCGTACCGAGGCTGCCGAGCACATGGGCTTGGGTCGACCAGGGCTAGAGGCCTGGCAAACGACCTCAGCGCAGCGTGCATCTTCGCCAATCACGTCCAGCGCACCGCGCATGATCGCAGATCCCACTGCGGCAAGTGCTGTCACTCGAGGCGACGGTAGCGTTTTCCCAGATCTCCGACCGTTCGCTTCTCGACAGTCGTCTTATGGTTTCAGTCATGCGAGAACGCCTAGTGCTGGCTCGCATCAGCCGGCATTTCTTCCGGGCGCCACCCAAGGTCAAGGTGCACCAACAAATGGATGGCACGTTTCGAATCCCCAACCAGGTCCCCCTCCAGCGACGTCACAATATAGCAACGAGCAAGCTGTACCCGGCGCTCTACCATTCGCTAGTGAAGCAGCCAAATTGAGCGGTGATCACTACCTTGCGACCCTAGATGATCGGGTTGAAGACAGTCTGTGCCAGTGAGCGCCAAAGTTGCGACCTTTCAATGAGATGAGTGGCTGACCAAACATCATCCGTCCTCTCAGGTACTTTCTCGCCTTTCACCACTCTCTATGGCCAATGTTCTACGCACCCACAATCACATCTCTCAAGGAATTGCGCAAGCGCGAGCCGAACTTGTGGAAGGCAGTCATTGGAGGGGCAGCTGCGACCGCAGATGTCGAATCAGGGCCCCCACGGTCAGGCAAGCCGCCCGTCGGCTTCACTGAACTCAGCGAGACATTGATCTCCGATGCGAAGGCCAGCATTCTCGCGAATGAGCTTGGATCACGTCCAAGGATTGCCACGTGTCAGGCGCTCATTCTCATCACCCTATGCGAGCTGGGCCATGGCAGAATGTCATCCGCTTGGAATCTTGGTGGTCTTGCTTGCAGAGTCGCTTTGGATCTCAGACTTCACCTCGAGGACGATCGCCCTCTACTCGCCAGCACGGAGGCACTCAGCGAATCACGACCGTCTTCCTGGCTAAAGGCCGTGGTGCCTCAAGAGAGGAGACGAACGTTTTGGGCCTGCTACGCTCTCGACAAGATGCTCTGCGCAGTGTTGGAGAAGCCTGTCATGCTTCGAGCTGCCGATAGTAGCCAGCCTCTCCCAAGCGCGTCGGAGCGCGATGAGACCGACGTATGGCTATCCAGTGAGAGCGCTAAATATGCTGAAACCTTCGCTCGGAACGGCCTACAGGGTGTGCGCACACACTCACTTAGCAACTTTGTCGCGTGGGTCGAGACACTTCAGGCGCTCGAGACGGTTATGCAAGAGGTGTACTCCTTGCGCGCTCGCAGTGATCGCTGTGCGCCTGCTTGCAGCAGCAATGCTTCGGAAGCCTCATCAGGAGCGGATGCTAGCGCTGCGCTCAAGCGCAACAAGCAGGTGCTGATCTCATGGACCCACAATCTGCCTCGACACCTTCTCTGGGCAAGTCCAACGGCCAGAGCGATAGGGGGAATGGATGCAACTCAGGTGCCGGGCTTCAATCCGCCGCCCGTAGTCACTCCGCATCTGCTCACCGTGCGCGGATGGTTTTGCACCACGGTACTGCTCTTGCACCGACCATGGATCATGTCGGACAGCGGCATCTCAAGCGACGTCAAAGGCGGGGATCCTGTTGGAACTGGGACCTGGGGCGGTAGGCAGGCGACACGCGCGTGCGCCAAGCAAGTATGCTTGGTTGCCGCGACGGAATTGCTTGAACTCTTTGCGTGCTACGAGAGATGGTTTCGCTCCAGAAAGGTGCCCAGCAGTTGGCCGTAAGTACAACTTTGGATCGAGGCACATATCATCTGCTCTTGCTCACTACTACTCTTACTGGGACACAGGTACTTGCTTTTCTCTGCTGCTACTGTCTTTGCGCCTTTGGCTGGATTTGGTCGCAAGGCTGTCAAAGATCGGTCATCACAGGATGGACTTGATGTAGCTTCGGAAAAGTACGAAGCTTGTATGGCGATGCTCGAACGCTTGTCGCAGGTCTGGGAGTCTGCGCGGCACCTCGCGTCGGTCCTCAAGTCTATTCGCCGTTCGTCCGCCCTCGACAAAGCTGTGGAGGATCCAGGGTTGAACGAGCAGCTGCAAGCGGTGGTAGACAAGACCGCAGGAGCAGTTGCCGCGCATCCGGGTCATGGCGCTGGCGTAGTACCGATGACGCTCGGGGCTTACATGTCCCGGCAGGCACAGCGAAACACACAAGATGGCGGGTCTCCAAAGGAGGAGGACCCTTCTGGTGACGGGGATGTTTCGTCAGCCATTCGTCCCTGGACCTCTCATGGCGGACCAGTCTCGATGACGCAGAACGGGCAAATGAACAATCAGCATTCAGCATACAAAGAAGAGGATTCGGCAAACATGTTTGCTGGTCCTGATGGCGTCGATGCGAGCGCTGAGGCAGGCCATCATGGCGACCAACCTCTGATTGGCTCCGCGATGGAAAGCATGGACAACATTGCCGGGGCGTCGCAGCTGTCTTCCGACATGGTCAATACTGGAGTCAATCTCAGCAGCGGAATTTGGAACATGATGCCTCTGGGAATGCCGGTCGCCGGCACGGATCACGTGTGGGACACCTTCTTGGACACTCTGGCCCGATGACACCGGTCATCGAGATTAGAAGACGATTTGGGTTCGCGTAGCAAGGACGCAGCCAGACTTCGGAAGGTCCGCGACCCGTTCGTGGTCCTTCGTCCCCTTTGATCTGCCGGCCGCGCCGTCCTCAGCGGGGCGAAACCGCAAGAATGACGCCCCGCAGCAGCAGCTTCACTCAGTCACGGCGCCCACAATCAGGACCCGACTCTTGACGATCTCATCGCTTCGACCCGTAGTCAGTGGCTGTGTGCAGCGCCTCCCTCATTTGTACTCTTTTCATCCCTACTACTCACTCTCAAATTGATCGCTACGCTTGCAACGCGACTCTGGCAGTTGCTCATTTCGTAATGGGATGACGTCACTGCGCGAGTTGTTGATCAAGCTTCAACAAGGGCAGAAACATGAGATGCGTTATAAAAAAAGCCATTACTGAATGTCCGATTCTCGTGTGTGACGTTGCGCGCGCTCGTGCTTTTGTGGACCGTGATCCCTTTCTTTTTCAATCTGCGTCTCGGGCGTGCGGCAAGGCTAGCGCGACCGCGCGCCTGCCCTTTCCTCTGCGCAATCGAGACCTCGACAGCTGACCTTGCCCCCTCTCAGAACATTTTCCCACCACTGCTACTCCTAGGCAACCCGCCCGATCCGCTTTCGACTCCCTCGTTGATGCGAAGCCTGGCGTTGTACAGGATCATATCGACCAACCCAGCAAGCGTGAGGATTCCTCCGACAATGGCGCACGTGGAGGTCAAGAAGTGGGCCAAGCTAGGTCTAGTCTCTGTGTGGATGATCCGCAGGGCCGAAGGATCAAAGTTGATGTAGACTCCTGGAACGCCTGCGAAACCATGAGTGACGTGATGAGGGGTGGTGTGGCTGGCGCTTGGCACACCTGCGGCCGCTGCTGCTTGAGCGCCCGGGGACAGATCCCGCTCGTAAGTGGTCACGCTGTATTGGTGTGACTTGAGCCTCTCGCCAGACAGCAAATGATACTCCGTGGGAACGACCTTGAGGAAGTACTGAGAAGAGGCGATGTCCCAATGATCAATTCGTCGTGTTCTTGCGCGCGCACTAGTTGTGCTGGATTGGGCCAATCTTGGCGTGTTACTCACTTGAAACATGAACTGACTCTTCTCAGTGTGAGCTCTGACTCCCTGCAAGGGATCCACGATGCCCAACCTCTGCTTTGCCGTCTTTGGCCGTTTCGCCAAAGGGTTGACATTGTTCCAAGTCTGAGTAGCAATGAATTCCTCTTGCGTACCGAAGGAGAGCTCGTGGATAATGTGACCGAAGTCCTACGATTCGCGAAAAGCGGAGAACAAGGCGCAACATGAGCTGAGAGGTCCTTACACTTAAGGTATCTGGAGACAGCTTACATGGTGATTCGCTTCCTTGTTGCCAGCGAGGTAGGGCACAAGGTCGTAAATGGCCATCGAGTTTCTTTGGAAAGCCTTGCCAGGACTCAAGTGGAAGTTGCCCACTACCTTATTGACGTGAATGACCCCTGCCACATTGCAGCCTTCTTTGTTCTGCTCCTTTATCTTTTGTGACCAGCCCTCGGATACGCACTGATGGAGAACAAGAGGGGGCGGCGCGAAATTAGCATATGCGAGCTCATAGCATCAGTACCCGGGCTAGCGGGTGCTGGCTTGGCTTTGGATGATTCGGGTGAAGCGCATGAGCGCGCTACGCACCTGGTCGATGCCATCCGGATTGGTGAAGCTCCAGCCCTTGAGGGCATATGACTCCTTCACCTCTTCGCACGTGTTGCAGCAACCGCTGGCCGGGGGCGTACCGCCGTAGCAGCTGCCGCAAAAGTCCTTTCCATGCAAGCTGGCCAGCCTGGCCGCTTCGCCTTTGAGCCCCTTTGAAGTCTCGACCGTGTGCCCATCTGGCGACAATCTCGTCCTCGTCACATCGTGATGAATGTCATTTTGATGTTCGCCGGAAATGTCCATGACGTCCATGCTGAGCAGGTAGCAGGGAACGCGAGGAAATGTCATATTGACCGCAATGTTGATCTTCTCTCCTCGAGACTTGTCCACAATCAACGACTCGTGCAGCGTGATGTTCCGATAACTCCGGAACTCCGATCCGATCAGCAGGGCGATCAACAACGCTGCGACCAGACTGATCAGAGCACCTTGCGATGTCCTAACGCGATACACATCCTTGGGCTTGCTGAAGGCGTCGAACCCCTTCAAGGACGCCAAGATGTCTGTCCCTCCCCTTGACGGCATGATGGTTTCTGGCTTGCGCTAGGGGCTCTGTGCTGCCGTATGACTCAAGCAACGAGGGGAGAAGATAGACTGCGACACAAAGGTAGGAGCCTATGTGGCTAAGCGCCGCACCGCTACGCTGAAAGTCCAAAAGGTTCGATGTCTCGGGGATGTGCGCGGTTGGGAAGATTTGGCTCAGATGGTGAATGTCGCGTTGCTACAGGACAGTTTTGCGAACTTGCTTCTGCTGTTCCCCGCGTGCTTGGCAGCTGAGTGCGTCGCGGATCCAGAGTGGATCGGTTTGTGGATGTGAAGGTGGGAGATGTCGCGCTACACACGCTATGCTATGCTGTGCTGCAACCATCAACCCCGCGAACGGCGCACGCTCCATTCATCATGTTGCGACTTAATTGCTGCTTTGCTGGAACATGTCGCATCTCGCATGAGCCTCTCCGCGCGCCGCCGTCTTTGATCGCATCTTGTGCTGGGTGCGCGCTGCTGTGACTCGTACGGGATCAGCATGCAGCAGACGCTGGCCGACGCGCGCCGGCGCGGCTGCAGCATATATGCACACGCAGCAGCTGCAGCGCCACATCTCGCCGATTTAAGCTTCGTCATGCAGCATGCCAGCGTTGGCTATGCATGGCATCCATGAGGAGCAATCACAATTGAATCACAGCAATCACAAGCAGCCGCGCTCGAGCAAGTTGGTATGTTGTGAATGAGGGCGCGGTCTGTGATGCGACTCAAGACTCTGAGGTACATATGCGGCTAAGCTCGATCGGACTTCCAGCAGACACGGCATGATGCTCGAGACCTCACGTGTCGTTGTTTAGTCGTCGTCGCTATAGTCGCTACCTACCCACCAGCATATATGATACCATTCGTGATTCCAAATTCAATTGCATAGACATTCACGAGTGCTGTCTTTTCATGGCCTCAGACTTCACCCTCCATTCCGCACACGAATGACACTTCCAGAGCGCACAAACAGCCGAAGGCTTGGCGGTTGTGCTCCTCCCATGCTATGTATGAGGCGCCTTGGCTCTGTCCTATTGGCGCGAGCGCGAGCGATGAAGCGCTGATCAATTCTTGATACTCCGCGCTTGAGAAGAATAGCAGCCACAAAGATGCGCACGTCACGAACTTATTTTGATTGGTGCGCTTGCTGTGCTGGTCCTGCTGATGAGACGCGCCGCACTTATGGTTAATCACGGCGAATCAGTCACGGAGTCACAGAGCGAATGGAGAGACAAAAGCAAGCGGGCATCGTGATCGAGCGCTCGCGCGCTCGAGCCTCTTCAATCATGATGCGCTCGCTATTATATACACTACGCGCCTCCGCGTACACCGTGGGGCCGCGGGTACCGTAAAGCCTGCAGCTATAGAGTGGTGAGTATATAGTCGTGTACCGGGCTGCGCGCGCCATTCGCGATTGCGATCGAGCTCGCGAGGACCTCTTAATTGATGGCGGCTGCCTTGGCATATACTGCGCGCGCGCGCGTGCTTTGCATGCATGCATGCTGCTGCTGCAGCTGGACGCGCACAGCTAGCTACGCCTTGCAGCCGTGACGAGTTAGGAGTTTGATGATGAGTGTGCGGCCGCGGGTGATGCCATCGAGTGACGGCCGCGGGTGTGTGTGTGCGTGTGATGTATGGTCAGGCACGGCGGGCGCAGTTATGAACGCTCTCCATCCATCATCAACCCGCCGTTCGTCACCAATTGGCCGGCCGAGGTGCAAAGGAGCTTATTCGTCATATCCCTCATCTCGTGTCGCTGCAAGAGGCGCTGAGATTCTTTTCTAGCCTCGCCAATCTTGGCGTTCCCGTCCACCACCGGTCCGCTCGCTCCTCACGTTCAGCATCGCACAGGTCGCGACTCAACCTGCTCCAATCGTACAGCTTTCAACGGGCGACATTCTCTTTCATCGCCTAGCGCACTCAGAGCATCTTACAACACACTTTCGTCCACATCGTCTGCAGAGCACACATGGGGCGAGATGACTCGGGCTTCCGGCTCTAAGAAGGCAAGCAAGAAGAGGTTGCACAAGCCAGATTCGAACACCTCTGGCCAAGCGCTACCCTCCTCAGCTCTAGTCAAGGTCAAGTCCAACGACAGTGCCCCATCAGGATCGAGACTCAAACACGATGACGCGTTGACTCATTCAGGCAAGCTGAGTGATGGCCATCGCAGCTCTCACAAAGACTATCAACGTCAACATCTCCACCATGACCACTCGCACTCACATCATCATCACTCGAGCCAGCAACGGGACTACGACGACTATATGCTCGGCCATGACCACCACCATGGCGATGATGGAGAGGAGTCTGAGCTATGCGATCACACGAACGTGGATGTAGCGGTGATGGGCAAAGTAAGCTCTTTGCTCTCTACGCTTTTCACCTGCTCTTTCAAATTAGCCGTCCCTTCGCTGTATCGCGGAATGGTTCAGAATGTGCAGGATCGCGTTTTAAAGGATCGACTCATGACGATGATCGAGCACGGGCATGGCATAGATGAGATCGCGGTGACCTCCAAGGCGGATGGAATGCGGAAGACGATCGAGGCCCAATTCGAGCTTGCGTGCGAAGAGGAGCTCGGCGATATTGTTCTTCGCCTCAGCACCGAAGACTCTTTTGATTTATTGTGCGATCTGGTGAGTTTGGTCGCGCATCCAGCCAGAGGGGTCATGCATGGTCATTGCAAATCGCTCACTCTCTCTTGCCCAACACCCATGCGCATACAATCAGGCGGTCAAGCATGGGCGAGATCTCAAGACTTGGGGCCCCCCTTGCGCATGTAGCTTTGCTTCATGCTACACGTGCTTAGAAGCGCTGGTGGAGTCTGTCAAGGCTACGCCTCCAACGCCTCCTGCCGACATTCGTCCTGTGAATGTCACGGACTTGATCACGTTCGTGGAAAACACTGTGTGCATCGGTGCAGCACCGACCCAAAAGTGGGGCAAACGAGACAAATGGGCCGCTCGCCTTGAGGACCTTTGGAACGGCATGGCTGAGATTCTGTGTGAGTAGGAAACAAGCAGGAAGAGCGCGCGCGCGCGACATCTTCTACAACCTTTTGTGGCTCCCCTGAGACGCATGCTTACATCCTACCTGCGCTTGTCGAGCCTACGCACCGGCAGGGGGAATAGCGAACGCGGTGGACCCATTAGAGCTGCCTCAGGTGCAGAGCGCACTACAGACCCTGACCTCCCTGAACGGTCTGGATTTGTTCTACACTGTGGTGACGAGAGAGTTAGAAGCAGCTCAGACTCATGCCAACGGCACCGCAGTGGCTCACGCAAAGCCTCCAAAGAACGGAATTCCGTGTCGCATGCTCACGCCAAGCTTCCCAACCAGCACCACGGGAATTTTGAGCGCCCAGTATTCTAGAATGATTGAGGAAAATAGGGCTTTGAAAGAGAAGGAAGAGCCTGCGGACAAGCCCTTGCGGGCGCTCGATGATGAAGAACGCGACCGTCAGACTGGAGCCGAGTATCGTCGAGCTCTGGCTCGCGCGATGAGAGAGCAAGGCAATAACGCACACACTGCCTCACGGTATGCGGAAGCTACCGAACACTACACTCGAGCGATGGGTTACGATCCTAGCGAAAGCATATATCCTCTCAACAGAGCAGCGTGCCTCCTCAAGCTGCAGCGATATGCGGATGCGGAGAGGGACTGCACGGCGTCCTTGGTCCTCAACCCAGATAACCCAAAGGCTTTCTTTCGCCGAGGTATCGCCCGAGCATCTCTGGGGTGCAAAGAAGAGGCTGTACAAGGTGAGCATAAGGCCACATTGCAGGAATTTTTCGTCGCAGCCTGGCTGCCTCGATGCTCGTCGCGAATAGGGTCGCCTTGCGCACTGGCTGAGCGTTGCCCTGGGCCTTTTTCGGCAGATCTCGACGATGCTTTGGAGAAGCAAAAAGGGGAACCAGCTGCGTATAAGGAGCTGAGCAAGCTTCGGGAAAATTTTTTGGCCGCGTATCCACTACCAGCAGCTGACAACCTGACTGCGGAGGCAGCCGAGCTCAAGGTTCCGACCGTCAAGCCGGTGCCCTTGAACCTGGATTTGAAAGGGAAAGGTCGAGAGATGGATCTCGAGCGGAACGTCGCTCGCTTCCACAATGTTGCGGATCGCTTGCCATCCTCCAGATCCGATCCCGATACCGCTGACGTCTCGAAAAAGTCATCAAGCACCAAGAAGGCTCGCACTCGAGTAACGAGCGAGGAGAGCGAGACCTTTGTCACAGCTTGCTCGGGCAGCATCGCGCCCACGAGCGATCCTAGCGACTTGCATCACCCTTCACAACGCGTAGATGGAGCAGGGTCGTCTAGTTTGATGGATCGAGGCAAAGCGCAAAGCAGCGATGGAGACGCAAGCGTCGATACGGAGGACAGGCTGAGTGAAGGCGATGGCACGACACGTTCTGTCGGCACCGAAGCGACTTCGAGTCCGTCTCCTACACTGTCACACAACAAATTGTCCGCGCATTCTCATGTGAGATCTCTCGAGAGCGTGACGACGGACAATGCGGCCCAGGAGCATCGCACCAACGCGCATCGACGGGCAAAGCAGATTGTTGCGACGCAAGCTGCATTCGCCTTCTTTTTCAGCCTCATTGTCCAATTCAGAAGCGGCAAAGACTTGCCGCGCGCTCTTGGATTCGTGCCAAGTAATGGGCTCAAGCTGACGGGCGAGCAAAGACGCGAGTTGGGGCACCTCGTCGCCAAAACGACACCTCCATCAGTCAAGGATTTGGAGACGCTCAAAACGCTTCTCAAAAGGGAGGTGGCAGCGATGGAGGGAGCAGACAAGGCGCAGATTGCTCTCAAAGGCTTACGCAACCCTTCGTCGGACACTTATGGAGATGTCAACACGCTCTATAAGCTTCGAAGCGTCGGGGTGCTGGATGTCAAAGACGTCTCCTTCCGCGTAGCGCGCTTCCTCAATTCCCCATCCGTCCCAGACGCTGCGAGCGTCCTGAGCTTTTGATAGACGAGAGGCGTCTCATTTCAACGCAGCGGGCCGCTGCCAGGCGCATTACCTTCTGCGGGCCCTCATCGCACACGCAGGTCTTTCCCCTTTTCCCCGAGGGGAACGGCCTTCAATGACCGCCGCTGGGTTCCCCCTCTCACTCTCGTCCGGATGCATCCGTCTCAGACTTCACTTCAAACTTTCAAAGTCCCTATCCATGACCCCAATGTAATTTTACAAATTTGTTTCACATAGTAGCAGTAACCCTCCCATCACGAACGCAATGACGCCAAATGTAGTCCAGCTGACCTTGAAGCCTTTGACTAAGGCGCGCAGGACAGAGACATAGTGAGAGCTTCGAAAAGATCTGCGCGTGATGGAGCATGGCTACCAATCGGACCGAGTCAACACACGCAGAAACCAAAGCGAGCTACCTCCTGACCTTGAACAATGCCTCGAGAGAGCGGAACCACGCACTAGATTGCCTCAAATTGATGGACAGAGAGAATTGCTTCACACATTGGTCCCCATGCACTACACGCGAGGTTCTGATATACATTACTAAGCTGCAACACTGCCCCTCCTGCCTTTGTCTTTCGGAGTCGAGCCGCAGAAAGCATTTATCGTCGATGGGGGTGATCGTGGAGCCATGTGCGAGAAGTCCGATACGTTCGCACCACTCTGCAACGCAGACAGAGCGGAAAGAGCGCTGGCGCAGTGTTGTCGAGTTGCGTGAACATACACCAGCAGGCTCGGGATAGCTTCTGGGCTGAGGGCCATCTTGCGGAACACGGTCGAATCGCCTGCGCTGATAGACGTTGATCGCGTCGAATCGGTCGGGGCTAAAGCAATTGTAGATGATGGGAGGTAAGAGCTTGCGGCACTCTCGGGCGACTGTGACCAGCTGTGTCCGCTGCTGCTCTCGGTGGCCTGTGTGGCCTCTGTTGCGGCGCTTGGCCGATTGGCGGCTTCCTGAGGCCCCACGGACCCCTCTAGTCCTTGCGATCGTGCCATTGACAGTCTGCTCGATGCTGGAGCAGAGCGCGTAGTTGTCGCAAGCTGCGATACATTGTGACTCCCACTCGAAGGGGGACTTGGGCCATCGGCACGAGAGCCTATTGCAGTATTCTGCGCGTAAATGGCGGACGTTGGTAGAGGGATCGAATCACTTCCGAGCGACTCCGCTTCCGCGCTCCCTTTCGAAACACCAAAGTGCCTAGCGCCATCTGTTTTGGGTTCAGCAGAGATGGACGCGCCACGAGAGCGATTTCCGAAGAGGGATAGTACTCGATGGCGACGTTGAGGTGGCTGTTGGAGCTGAAAAGAAGCGCCTGCAGAGGAATTGGCCTTTACTGAGCTTCGTCGCTGGTGAGACGGCTTCGTGCTTGGCATCACGTGCATCCAGCTGCTGTCAAAGCTGCCATTTCCACTACTACTGCCAGCGCTTTGAGCGGAAGCAGCACTGACCACACGTGGGCGAGCCTGAGCGCCAAAGGCAAGCAGTGTTGAAGGCAGAGACGGCGTTGAGTCTCCACCCCGGCTGAATAGACGGGAGGCCGAGCGCTTCCGACGAGGGCTGTCTTCTTGCTCTGGACGGGCAGGATCCGGTCGGACCCGACTGATGAGTGACCGCCGCTTGGCAGTGACCGGCGTTGGTGGCAAAGAAGGCAGCGACGCATCGCGTTCCAGTCCTTGCTCCGTGAGGCGATGGGATGGTGAGGTGTGGTCTGTCGACGGACGAGCTCTGGGCGAGTCGGTGCTACTCAGGAAGAGACTCAGACCCCGGCCTGCACGGCGATTAAGGGAAAGCTGAGATGCAGAAGCTTCCTCTGATCCGCCTGCGACAGAGCCGAAATTTCGCCCTTGCATGTCTGGAGCCGTCTTGAGGCTACGCACAAGCTCTAGCAGACTTTGTAGGCCGCGCGCAGCTTTGTTGGCGCTCTTGTGACGAGACCTTTCGCTCATGGGATTATCGTCCAGTGTATCTGTCGACATGGCCGCGAACGGACTGATTCCAGCTGGCGCGGTGCTGTACGCTTCAGAGCGGCCCTGAGCTCGGCGAGAGTACTCCTCTGGACGCTCCGCTGCTGAAGTCTCGGCAAAGCTGAGTCTGGCTGAAGGCGGCGCTGGCAAGCCTTGTGTCTGATCCGAGCCGCTCGACCCCAACGCATACGCTGTATCTTGCTGTCGGTCCACCATGAGCGACGCTCTCACCGCGGCTGCTGCGGAAGCGTGTTCGGGGGCAGTACCCGCTAGCATAGCCGCAATGATGTCCAATTCGCGTTGAGGATCGACGAACCTAGAGCCACTCGACGTGCGGGCACCACTCGAGCCGTGCGCATCCGACCGAGGCCTAATAGTGGACGCTTGGTCGCTAGCTAAGACAAGCGGCAGGGAGAGCTGGTCGTTACGCGTGACAGCCTTGCGATGAAGGCATGCTGGACTTTCCAGCGTCGTCGTGCGGCTGCGGTGCATGGAGCCCCGTGGGGAGAGATCGAGCGTAGCCAAGTCCGCGTTCTCGTCCGCCTCGCTGGTTCCATCTGCTAGACCTACGAGGACCTCAGCCATCTCCCACCAGTGTCTCATCGACTCGTCGATACTGTGAACTTGCACAGACACTTCAGGATCGGTCATCATCATCTCTTTTGCTTCTGTAGGGCTAGCGTTAGGGTATTTCTCGAGATCAGGAGAATCTTGCAAGGCACCTAAGATCGCAAGATATTTGGCTCGCAGCTCCTTGATGTCTGCAGCGAGCGATGGCGCAGTGTAGGTCAGGATGGGATAGGCAACAAGGTCTTCTAATTAAGCATCTACTCACCCTCGATGCCCTTCGCAAATTCGCGCACGTGAGTCATGTTGGCCTTGATGCCTTTCTGCGCTTGGCTGATGCGAGCAGGGATACGCAGATCGCCCAAGCTGTTTCGGCGCGATATTTGCTTCGCTTTCTTCCTCCTCGATCCGGCCTTAGGCATCACTTTGGAATCCGTACCCTCGCGCTTGCTCAGTTCGGCGATCGATCCCTGCCCCAGCGCTCCTACAGTCGCATTACGCGTCATGCTTGGGCGCGCCTCCTCCAAGTGATAGTCTTGCTGAGTCAACGTCCTGTCGTCCGATTCGTTACTGGCATGTTCGGTAGCGCTAGGCCTGCTCAAATACACTCGTTGTCTGTCCACGCTGTACGCCCCGGCCCTGGACGGTGGACCGTCCGGATCGGAAGAGGATGTTGAAGAAGACATCGATGCTTTTGACAGACCTTGTGCTCGATCCATGGCACGCGTGTCCTCGAGCGTTGGCATCACGTCAGCTGTTCGTCCCTCCGGAAGCTGTTGCAGTGACGTTCGTGGGTCTTTTCTAGCTCGCAGCAGTGCAGACGAAGATCGAGATGCAGCTGAGCCTTCTGTAGAGGCGCCGTCACTCGACAGGCGCCGATGACGCGTTGACCAAGTGATGGACGAAGGGGATTTGTCATCATAGCTCGAGCCAAAGTCGGAGGTAGCTGACGTCTCGGTACCTGCGCCGCTTGTGCCAGTCCAGCGATCGCTGATCGATCGGGTGCTGTCGCTGGTCTGAGTCTCGGACGTCGAGGCAGAGAGAGAACGTCCAGCATGGGTCTGAGCTTCTCGGTGCGAAGGCACCTTGCGAGTGCCTTCTAATCTCGCAGCCGCATCGGCGTAGTGCGTAGCTCTACGAACAGCTTGCTTGTGTGCGGAACTCGTGGCACTGCGAGGCTGCACAGCGTCGAATTGTGTTGGGGAATCTACGTGGTAGCTGGCGCTCAGTGTCCGCACAGGTGAAGGTGCGGTATCCCCCAACCTATCGATCGGGGCCGCATACCGATGAGCTCCGTCAGCGTGCAAGCTGTCCTTCCTAGCTGGCGTGATCGGCGAGCCAGCTCTGACCTGTATCCGAGCGACAGCTGACGGACCCGATCGCTGCATCGAGGCCGCACCATTCGTTTTCGCATGCGGGCTATGCGATGCGTGGTCTAGGTACGCGCTTTCAGGAGATTCTCCAGAAGGCGACTCTCGTTCCGCTCTTCGAGGTGAGTCTGAACCTCCGTGCATGCGTGCAAAATGCAACTTTTCCAACCAGCGTCCCGTTCGAGATGGGCTGGAGCTGTAGGCGACCGCTGGATCCGCCTTGCCTTGCTTCGAGTGGCGCGGACTGGAGCTTCGCTCGAAAAAGTCTCGGAAGGTGAGTCGCAGAGCATCGCGGCCTGGCATGCGACTGAAAGAAGACGTGGACCTATTGGCTTCGGCCAACCTGTCTGTGAAGATGCCAGTCTGAAGCTCCGACGGACTTGAGACCGCGTGCTGTTCAGCGAAGTGGGCGGACTGCTGGGTGGACGCACTGGACGCGTAGTGCTCTGCTGAGCCGAAGGTGGAGAGCGAGTTGCGCTTCGGATCAAATCTCCGACTTCTCAGCTCTTTGGCAGCAGCATCGTTGGCCGAGGTGGGCCGCTTTACCCGCTGTCTAGTGCTCGTATAGATCGGGATCGGACCAGCTGCAGCCGCACTCGAGGCCGAGATGAATCTGCCCGGATTTCTCCGCCTGAAGTCCGCTGAAGGGTGGGATGTCATCGCAACCTCGGTTTCCGTTTCTTCCCCACTCGGCACGTCTCCGCACGTGCTGCCCTGCTCCGTCGCAGCGTCGCTCGTGTAGACTTCTGCTCCTTCTTCATCGCTGATCTCATCTCCGAGACGCATCTCCCTGCGCGTATCGCGGGAGACATCGACTTGAGAGCCGGACAAGCTTGGCGTCCGGTCACGATTCAAGCGATTTTGAGATGCGATGGAGGAGCCCGTGGAGAGTCTGGACCGCCAAGACGACACTTCTGACTGATGAGCCAGTCGAGCTGAGAAGTCCGTCTCGGTACTGCGCCCTGAAGCCCGAGAAGGCGTGCGCTGCGTACACTCTGGTGCGTGACTTTCGCTTGGCGAGGATGCTGATGTATGCCTGGGTTGAATGGTTGCGTTCGATGCGCTGACGCTCAGGCCCGGCCGACACCTTGCCAGGTAATCAGAGTCCCATGTAGGCTCGGCATCATCGTCGTCAAATTTATCAGCGTAAGTTTGTGCATCGCGCTCTCGCAAGTCGCCGAAACCATCCCTCGACTCGAGCTTTGCGTCATTTGATGCCAAGTACGAGTGGGAGTCGCGTCCGCGAGTTTTTGAGGCCCTGGCAGACTTCTTCTTCCTTCCTTCCCGCGCGGCCTGACTTCTGGCGGCAGCTTCGTCACCAAAGAGAAAGTCCTCATCCCAGCTCTCGCTCACATTTGCGTGTTCGGTCGAGAAGGCTTCATAATTTTGTGCCGCCTTCCGGTCTTGTTCGGTGGAGCTTTGCGACGAGACCGGACCCGGTGTTGCCAATCTGCTGGAAGAAGGCGAGCTCGCGGGCTGGCGAGATGGACCGGCTTGATTGGCCGAAGGTGATGCCCAGCTGCTGAGCCTGTTTGACATGTCCGCATGCGCTTTTTGAGGGCTGTCATGGTCTGCTGCTGGAATGAAGTGGGAAGATGTGGGGGGGCGAGGTGTGCGTAAGACGTATGTGGACTTCTCTGTCTCGCCTGGCGAAGAGCTTGATGAAGAGTGCTCGCCCCACGAAAGCTCGTCTTCACTTTGCGAGTCGAAGGCGTCGCGCTGAAGTGTCGATGGTCTGTTTGGTCGGACAAGGCGAGGAGCTCGCGGGCTGGGCGAAAAGCTGGCCTGCGATTGCAGGTCCAGTCCTTCAAAGGCAGCCGTCAGCTCTTCTGCTTCCTCGCCTTCCTCGTACTCGGAGTACAAGTCCGATTCCGCGGGACGAGTGCGAGAGAAGCTGGCAGGAGTGGAGAGAAAGCTGTCCGAAGTCGCGGCAGAAGCCATGCTATCCCTAGATCTGGATCGAGCGGGTGTCCGAGGTACTTGCAAGTTGCTGCTGGCCCTGTCCTCTGCGGGCAATCGACTTGGGCCTGCTCGATTCAGGGCCGTCTCCCTCATAGCGCCTTGGTATGGCGCACGAGGCTTCTGGCCTTGTCGAGGCCGATCCATCGCTGCTGCAGACCAAGGCGACGAGGAAGCTTTCGGCGGTCCAATTTCTTGCGCTTAGCTGTCATGAGCTGCGCAAAACAAGTGCCAGCTGACGTTGCCGGTCAAGAATCAGTGGTGCCAGCGCTGACGGACCAGGTCGCCCGAGCGCTTGGCTCAATTTGGAGTCTAATGTACTCCCGATGTGACTAGGAACTGCAGCGATCTGGCATCGATGGGCGGGTATGGAGAGCATGATATTGTGGAAGCTGGACGATGCCTCTACAACAATCTGAAAGTGAATCAAGCTGTGTCGCATTGGGACAGTCTGACTCTCATACCGCTTAGGGCGCGCTAGTGAAAGCCATGCGCGCAAACCTCCTCGCTCACGCGTCCCTTGGCAAAAAAGGGTCTCCCATCTCTCGTGCGTGACACGGCGGGAGGGCGGAGCGGCCTCCTGTGCAGCGTGTGCAACGGAACCTTGCGCGACCACGGCCGGGGGCAAGCGATGCAACGGCTGCGACAAGTCGCAAGTTGGGCGAGTGACATCTGTCAACCGACACGCTAACACACGTGCGGCATCACTCAAGATTCAGACTCAAGACTCCAAGGGGCCAGGTAGGGGCCCACTCGATCTCCACACCTCAGACGGATTCCCCCTTCCCTTTTCAAAATTGCCTGAACGCAGTCGGTCCCACTTCACTGCGCTTGAGGTGCCTGCCGGCAAGCATGGAGGCTAATCCACCGGCCAAAGCCTCGAAAGGATCGAGGCCCGCGTGTCGGACGCGTACCTACGCATGGCCGCCGTAGCGACGCGGTTATTCATGTGTGTGAGAGAGCGCGAGAGTACGTGAGACGCCGCGAGGCGGCCCGGCCGTGGCCCGCGACAATCAAGTGGTGAGTGCATGATCCCTGATCAATGAGATCCCGCATGGCCGCGCTCATCATGTGTCCGTCACTCATGACTTCTGAATCAAAATCTCAATCAACTTGTACGACTTTTGAATCACGAATCGAGATATCGTAGAGTCTTGAGAACCGCGTGCTCTCCAGAGAGCATGGACAGAGGCAAAATGGTCATCAGAGCAAGAGACTTGCTCATGCCTCTGCACCACGCGGCACGTTTCAAGGGCTGTACATCGTTTTGATTCAGATTTTGAATGTTCTTTCATTATTGATTGATCGTGCGTGGAAAGTTGGAGGTTGAATGCAGATACAACAGAGAAGCCAGAGAGCAGTCTTGAGTCTGAATGTGCGTGATCAATTAAAAGTAAATGCTGAGCTGAGCGGGTGCATTCAACGATCTTGAATTGGACAGGCACCGCGGGCGAGCGGATGTCGTAGCTAGTCGTCAGCATCCACCCTTGGGAGTAGCCGAAGCAAGTGCGGGAACCGAGTAGTGAAGTCCTGAGACGTTTAGTGGAGGGTGGCAGGAGTAGTGCAGCGATCGGAGCGTTGATTTAGAGCAACACAGCTCCTGCGCCAGCAACAGCTGCGGCAGCCAAGACGACGGGGGCGAGCATGGAGGGTGCCTGCACGGCAAAAGCCGCATCGCGTCCTCCGGTCGCTCCGCTAGAGACGGTGCTTGCAGCTCCAGCAGCGCCGCTTGTAAGCGTTCCGACGTATCTCTCGCCATCCGAAGTGAGCGTTGTGAAAGCGCCAGCACCTCCAGAGGTGACGGCTGTTTAACGAGCACAATGCGGAGCTTGAGTCAGACCGAGGCAAGGTGCATCACGCGATATGCCTAGGCGGTACTCACTGCGGAAGACACCTTCGCCCCCAGCTACCAACACAGAGGTCGACAGGCACAGGAATGTGATTAGCAAGTGCTGTCAAGAGGGTCCACACATAGGATGCATCATCTCGCAGACACATAGGACACTGCCTGAGCTTCACTCACAAGTCAAGGTCTCGAATGCGACCACGGCACCGCTGGTCAAGGTGGTAGCGACTCCTCCACCAAAGCTGGTGACATCGTTGAACACCGAGCTTCCTCCGTCGATGAAGACGCTGGAGAAGCCGCCGACACCAGAGTTGATGGCGCTACCGATGGCACCTCCGACACCTCCGTTGCTTTCTTGAGGTGCTGGGCTGGCAGCGACGAGGGCGCCCAGGGCGCAGATGGTGAGGAGGGTGGGAGCGAAGCGCATCTTGAGGCGAGGAGATGTTACCAAAAGTTTGTTAGAGTCGATGAAAAGCGTCGCAGAAGCTTGGTGTGGTCTGCAGAGGCTGAATGATGTGGTGAAGAGGAAGAAAGAAATGTGCCTCCTCGAGGTGCCTTTTGAGATGGAACGAGTGACAAGAGTGCGGTCAAGGGGGCTATGCTGTGCTTGTCTCACCAAAGTCGGCACCAAGATCCGAAGAGCAAGCAGCGCAGCATGTAGTTATTCTACCAGCAACACACTGATCCAGTGCGTGACTGTATGCAGCAATCTTCCTCCACCTGATGATGCAAGCGCCAGGCAGGGCCTCCACGGGCATACTAGTCACGAGCATCCGTGATGGTCCACTCACGACTGCATGCCTGTACAGCAGATGCTCCTGGCCGCACCCCGTCACAAGTCACAACAGTCACGAGAACGCAGCCTGCTGGTCGTCTGCCCAAGCCCCATCAACCACGCATCGATGTCGGTGTTGCACAGGTCACATTCACGAGCGCACGCACGCAGCCTCTTCTCCCAATTGCGAGAGTCTGGATGAGCACCTGCATGCAGAAGCGAGGCCTTCTCTCAAGAGCGCGAAGAGCACGTCCTTCCAGGTCTCAATCTTCATTCATGGGGCACCGCCTCACTTGCAAGAGATTCCACAATGTCTGCTCGTGACTCGAGGCGAGTCACCGCGTGCGGGAAGTCGAAGCGTATGAAAACGAAAAGGTTCCTCTTCCTACTCGATCGTCATTCTTGATTGCACCGCCACCTGACCCCTATAGCGTGCGTGGACACCGTGAAAGTGATGCAGCGAGCGCGCTGCCATGAAGAGAGAGGGAGAGAGCCACGCTATACGTTTCTTTCCTAAGCGGCGTGCCACGCGGGGCCCACCAGCGCGTGTGTGCAGCAGCAGCAGCTGCTGCTGCTGCATGATTGACAGGATATGCATCATGTTGCATGCGGGTGAGCGTCATGTGGCTACAACGCCGCGCTTCTTGGGCACTCACACTCGGGTATGGTGGCTTCTTGGCAGCCGAAACGCGATGACGTTTGCAGTCGGGGCTTGAATGGCATGGTTGGATGCGGAGAAAAGGGGTCTTGATGGGTGAGCTGCGCTAATGAAAAGCACGCAGAAGGCAGGAAGGTCGACGAGCCGGCTTGGCACGTTGGGCATGTGCCTATACCTGTAGCACCTCCACGATTCAATTCAGGATTCACGATCTATCCGAATCACATTCACATTCGCAATACAATCGGCGCTCAAGGTAGCTAGAGCACACACGTGCTGCCTGTCGAGTCACTCACATTCAAGATTTCCTCGACCAGATTCGGAAGAGGCGGAAAACTGTCTAGATGAGGTCTCGACTCGTTGACCGACTCACGACTGTTTTACGAGCGCAGGTCAAGGGACCTTATTCGGACTCGTGAGCGGCGACTACAAGGCGAGCGAGCGGGAAGCATCAATGTGCCAATGCTACACTTTAGCCGCTCGTCACATCCACACAACATGCAAATCATCGTCAAAGACCAACATCGAGTCGAGCGGAGCGCGTGTGGATGTGAGACGCAAAGCGCACTCTCGCGTGCCAAATGGTAGAATGAAATAGATGGCCGCCACAGCGTAGTCGAGTAGTACAGTACATGTTCGCAACTGATGAGACGGAGAGATTCTGAAATCGCCCAGAGACGACGATGTTTTAGACCATCTCAATGGCCCCCTCATCGGGGGGTAAATATCGGAATCAAGCGCTTACGGTAGCGCATGTAAAGACGCCGTTGACTGTTCCATCAGCATAGGCATCGATGATGGACTGCACAGAAGCGTAGGTACCCGCACCCAATGTGAAGCTGTAAAGACACGGCATGAAGAGAAGAAGTCAGCCCAAGAGCATCGAAATGGCTTTGCAAAACACCGCGCAATGCTCACAAGCCGACAATTAAGCACAGCGATGCGCCAATGAAGCCGATCAGGTTCTTCGACGAGAAGATGGAAGCCTCTCGATCGCGAATCAGCATGAACCATGCCAGTCCGGGCAGCCAGTAGCTAAAGCCGCTGATGAATAATGCCGAGATGATCCCGACTGCGCGAGCACAGCGATGGCAGAGTGCGTTTAGCGGGCATCGATTGCTGGAGCGCAGCTCTTCGACATGGCAACTCACGAAGACTGCTGAAGAATGGCACTACTTCGGCAATGACGAAGCTGAACACGTTCCCAACCAAAAGCATGCCCAGCCACCAGGCCCAACCGTACACAGTCTTGAAGTAGCCGTGCAAGGTGCCTTTGAATTTCCGATCGTGCATGTACCGGCAGGCCACCTGAGCGTTGATCGCGCCGCTGATATACACGACTGGAATAGCCACGCCCCACGCTGGTTTCTCCAAAGCCCCGGCTCCGAAGATAGCAGGAGAAGAGACGCCGTCTCCTGAAAGAGAGTAAATAATTGCGCCTGTCAAGGTATAGATGGTGATTTCGATAGCCCCAAGAGAAATCAGAGCCTTGCGATAGTCTTGAGGTTTTCTCAGCTCGCCCTAGGACACACAGGGATGAGGTATAGGTGAGCTTCGCTGGTGATCAGGAGCAGGTAGCCGCGAGCCCAGCGAGTATACTATTGACCCACCATGAAGCTTGGCAAGCAAACGGCAAAGCTATACGCGAAGATGATGTTCGTGAGAGCAAGCACTGCCTCTGCAAAGGACGTTCCTTCTTTGGGCCACAGTCGCCACTCGGTGGCCATGTAGCCTCCAGGCTGCTTGCCAGCTTCCAAACCACTTCCTAGCATTGTCAAGAAGATGGCGACGAGGATCTGCGCGCAAATGGCATGCATCATGAGCGAATGTCTCGCTCGTGGTGTCTGCGCGGGATCACTCACAGAGACGAAGTCGATGTAGCCTAGGATGGCGAAATCGTGAAAAGAGGGAGGAATGGCCATGGCAAACAGCAGAACTGCACTGACAACGCCAAACACGACGCTACACGTGGCGTGGTCCGACAGCGCATTGAGGAGCTCCGTGCCAGTCAGCACTGAAGAAGGCAGGACACGTACTGTGAGCCGTTGCTAGAATGCGCCACGAACGAGTGTGCAATGCCCAAGTAGCAGCACTGCAAATCAGGCTGTGTGACACCCGTGTTGAACTCACCGTGACTCGCGTTGACGAGGAAAAGTTGAATGACCAAGGCAACGGCAAAGATCTCCTTGCCCCACTTTCCAAACATGAGCCTCACGACCTCATCGTAGTGGGTGGCGCTCTTGAACTTCAAGCAGATCTCTCCCAAGAACAGGCTACCGTGTGTGGCGAGCACGCCCAAGAAGACTGTGCAGATGACTCCAGGTACCATGCCTAGGGTGCTGAAGTTGCTAGGCATCGACAAAGCTCCCAGAGCAATAGCTTCGACGATCAAGCAAATCGTCAACCTCTGCCAGCTCAGCCTGTGAAACTTTTCGTGACCCTCAGCAGCTCGCTTCTGATAATCCTCCAAGTCTTCCACCGTCTCTTCCACATCGTTTGCACCTCCAAAGCCCTTCAACAGTCTCCGATTGCCACTGCTCTTTTTCTTCTCGTCGGTAGACGCTACCTTTTCCCCTCCCGAGTTGAGTGATTCCGACGTGGCGGGTCCCATCTCGTGGGATGCGCGAGTAGAGGCGATGCCGTTCTCGGCCGTCGGAGCGAGAGGCTCGGACATGCTGCAGAAAAATATCTCACTGGCACTTGCTCCAGGTCAAGTCGAAGAGCTTCGCTACTGGAGTCGAAGATTGATGAGTGTCCAGTCGCGCGTGTTGTGTAAAGAGTGAATGATAGCGCGGCGGTAGAAATGTGAGCGGATAGCGCGGCGGTAGAAATGTGAGCGTCTATGAAGAGGAATGAGAATGATGCGAGCCAAAGCCCAAGCTGACCTGGTGATTGCGTCGTGTGCGCGAGAAGAACGGATGCAGTGTCGAGGGGAATGACTTATAAGGCAGTCACGAACGCTGTAGAATCACAAGCGAGCTGATAAGAGCTTGGGCGAGATCTGTGTGTGGCATTGCGGGCAAGATGAGCAGGTCGTGTGAGCCCGAGCGTGATCTGATGCTGCGACAGGGAGCACCGGTACTTTGCAGTCAACGAGTGTCTTGTAGATGAGAATAGGAACGTCTTGCAGAGGTGCGCTGCGTGCCTACAGTAGCCTCGTCTAGCTGTGCCCCACCGGCAGAAGAGTAGCGCATGAGCCACAGGTTGGGCACATCAGGAAGGACCTCGGTACATGTGGGTAGGAACCTCATGCCACTCAAAGAAGACCCCTTTCTTAGCTCCGTGTCCTGCATGGCAGGACAAAGAGACCAAATAAGGAGCTCCCCTCACTACAGCGCATTCAGACCCGAACATCGAAAACGACCAGCAGTGAGAGCGTGTGTAAATTTGCTTTGCAAGCGGAACATGTCGACGGGTCGTACGGCCATCGATCAAGAGCTGGCTACCGTGTGGTGCCGCTGACGGCGGTCAAACGATGAGCGGCGAGTCGACTGCCATGACATCCGCCATGCAAGGTGATGCAGCATCATGCGTGACTTGGTGCGGTGGTGCAAAGTCATCGGCCATCCGCCGTGCCGCGGTCTCTTTGGTTTCGATCGATCTGCTAGCCTGATGATGACAGCTATGCTGCACGCACGCGCACCCACTAAATCATCCATCATGCTCGTCGGCGCAGCGCTTATCAGCAGGCACCTTGAAGCTGTACTTCAAAAATCCCACAGAGATGATCTAAATCCAAGATGACGACGACTCGACTTGGTGTCAGTCAGAGTGTTCGATCGTCGGAGCTGCCTGTGACCTTTCTGTGGGGGACAAGCGGCAGGGCTGTAGCTGGTCTACGGTCTATCCGATGCGGCGAAAGGCAAGAGCAACATCATGCACGACCGAAGAGGAGAGCATGCCGCCCCGGCGTTCAACGGAGGGTTGATGCCGGCGGCGGGTCAACGTACCGCTCCACGGGTTCTCCCCCTCGACCAGACACCTTGCGGGTCCGTCTTGCGCACTTGGTTCGTCATTAGAAATATGGGCAACATGATGCGATTTGCTGCTCATGCCGCTCATGAACGCTTCTAACAGGCAGATTTGGATCGCTATAAGAGAGCAAGACGTGCCCGCCGCCTCGTCTCGTGGATGACGACGCGTGCGGGCCAGAATCGGTCGAACCGCGCCTATAACCGCCGGTTCATGCTGACCGCGCGCGGCCAGTTTGCTGCAGGCAGCCGCGTCAAATAGCTACGGTACAGCAGTCGCGTGAGTTAGTACGCGCGGCGTCCACGGCAAAGACTCCGACGAGAAAGAAGAAGGAAGGGAAGGGCAGCTGCTGCGCGCCTTGATGAGCTGCTGGAGCCAAACTCACGAATCGAGATGGTTCTATTGCTAATGGCGTGGAAGTTGGTCGTGGCTTCGAGTTCGGAGAGGAGCGCCTGCGCCTCACAACTCACGACGCACGACTCATGACTCACGACTGTGCTTGACGGCATCGACGTTCACACTCCCCACTCAATCGGAGGACGGCTGTTTCTGTGCAGCCAATTGGTCTGCCGTGCGACAGGTCAAGCTAGAGGTCCCGAGCTCAATCATGATTGAAGACTTGGCAAAAGCACCGCAGCTGCCATTCAGGCTCTTGAATCTCCGTTCGCGCATCCTTTCGACGGTCTATGAAGTCAAGGTTCGAGGGATCATGTCCAGCGCGTTACTTTTTTCGCGCCGTGCCGTGCTCAGCGCAACCAGCACCATGAGAGGATCACACGAGCAACCTGGCTGATGTCGAGCAGCAGTAGCACCACCACCCATGCAGAGTCCGCAACTCGATCAACACCCAGATGAATGCAAGATGTTGCTACATTCTGCGCAGAAGACCGCGACATAGATGATGCGCGGGTCCAGTTCTGCCCATCAACACAAAGACGTATATCGGACCGCGTCGCTCGTCTCGCTCGGAAGATTCCCGCGTCGGGAGTCTTGGCCTCATTTTCGGCCGGTCCGCTGGCTCATCTTTACTCTACGGCACGAGGTGCTTCTTGGCTGCTCTCAGAGTAGTCCTGCTGCTGTATAGCTGTCGGCCCATCGCGGATGAATGTGCCGCTCGCCTGCAGGGGCTCGCCGTGTCCGATTTTGCGGAGCTTCGGATGTAGGGGACGGCGCTGTCTTGAATGGTCGGATTTCTGGTCCACTCGTGGCTCACACACTCGTTTGCCCACCGAGACCAGAGGATCTGGAAATCGATCCAATTGCTGCTGCGAGCCGTTGCAGGGGAGCGATGAGGAATCGCGACTCTGCAGACGATGCTTATACAACAGTCACGAGTCGTGAGGTACGATTGCGATCGCGCCTCCCACTTAAACATATACAGCAGCTGCTGTCGCAACGCTGCTGCTGCATATGGGAGGAGGCCGCGGTGGCTCTGACTCGAATGAAACGAGGATATAGCTGCGCCACGCCTCGCAGCCCATCTATACATATCGCTCTATATATGTGCATGGTGGTCCGCGAGTGCTGAGGAATACGCCCACGTCAGCCAGGCTAGTTCATCAGAGCTAGCCGGCAAGCATGGCAGCAGCAGCAGCAGCAGCAGCAGCAGCAGCAGCTTTGCCCAGCTATAATTAGCTATACACCGGTTGTCCGTGGTAGTCCGTCGCAGTCGCAGTGGGCCCATCACGTTGGATGCTGCTGTTTGCGCCGGCGAGGCGACGGGCCGCGATGAAGGCCAGGAAGCCAGGGGCGCGGGGCCGGGGTTGTGTATATTCTCATATGATTCACGATTGCATTATGGCAATCATCAGCGCAGCAGATTCAAGATTGCACCTTGATTTGGCCCAGCGATGATATGCTTTCGCGGTGTGTATATATGCATATATACACATACAATTCCAGCAGTCACAGTCTGCATGTTGCCTCGCCAAACGGTCGCCTCTGCTGCGCGGGATTCAGCGCCCACCGCGCTCTGCGAACGCCCACATCCCTTTCTGCTTGATGTACGCCCGCCCACTTGCCCGTTTCCTCACACCTGACTGCCACTCTCCTCATCCATACTCACACTCTCTCCTCACATCAGCCTCCAGATCCCCCGCACGGCCTACGCGGCATCGAAACACCCAGGACGTACCTTCATTATGCTTCTCGCTCTACCAATACGCTTCTTCGCGCTCGCTGCCTTCATCGTAATCTCGACTTTGAAGTTGGCCAGCCAAGTCCAGGCGAACGAGCACTACCTCATCGAGACTGATCCAGCAGTAACGAAATGCTACCACCAAGGCGCGGATACCAAGAACGACTGCTCAAAGTCGTTTGATAGAGTGCGTAGAGACCATCGCGGACAGCCGAGATGCCATCCTCACGCTCGGTCTGACTCTTGACTGATGCGAATGTCTTCTTCTCCTTTCCTGCGCCTTTGCACAGCTGTGGGATATACGATGGCGCGTGTGCAATCACGTCGAGGCCTTTGGCTTCAACAAGGGCACTCCACACCAAGCATGGGTCACCAATCCGGATTGCGAACATCGCGGAGTCTTCTTCAGGTCGGATGACGAGGGTCACTTGGATGACTGCTTTGATGGGACTGCCGTCACCATCGAGCAATGCCAATTGAACGGCTGTCAGGCGAAGAACACTTGCTTTGCGAGTGGCGTGACTCACATGCGCAATCGTGAGTCAGAATGTCCACCATCAGGCGCGCCATGAGCGCAAATGTGGTCGTAGGAAGGAGAAGTGCGAATACTGACGAGGAGCTTCCTACACCATCTTGAACGGTCCGAATCTAATGGGATAGAAACATTCCAGGTCAGTCTTGACGATTCGAGGGTGGAGGCGAAGATTGCCGCAAACGCTCACTCTTCTACCCGTCGTGCCTGCAACAGACCGTTCGCTGGCTCGAAGGCGATGGCTCGCCAGTGCCGCGGCCACCTCCGTCTAAACGCGCACGAAGGTGCAAGCCAGAGAAGGAACAGTCCAACGCGCGTCGACATTTGCAAAGATCAAGGTCTGGCACGGTGCTACTATCGCGGCGAGATACATGTGAGCCTAGCGGCCTATGAGCGCTGTGAAAGAGCGCGAGTTGCCGACTTTGCTGACACGCGATGCGGCGCCTATGCAGCTGGCATCATATCCTCGCACTTTGCTGATGGAACTCAGATTTATTCGTGAGTATACAGGGATGCTAGTCGAAGCGCGCTTGATTCCAGGCTCACTCGCCTTAGCTGCGTTGGTGCGCGCGTCCGCTTCAGGGTCAGACCGGGGCGCGAATGAGGCTCAACCTCTTCGTCACGCAACGTCTCGAGCCATTCGCGATGACGCTTCCACTTTCAGTTCACGCCTTGATATACCGTCACCCTGTCGAGCTCGACGGGCGACAGCGATTGCCCAGAATGGAGCATGTGCTGCCTACGCTTCTATCGCTGCCTCCACTTTCCAACCCATCAAAGCCATCGCCCGAAATGGTGTCTGCCACCATCGACACCACCCTTCTCGACATTCCTTTCTGCTCACTCTTTTGATTTCGAATCTGTTCTGACTGATCTGCCTACTTGAGGCCGTTCTCGAGCTGGTCCCTGAGACGGTCTGACGCGCGAAACGATCTGCCGGCACACTTCTGAGCAAAGGTACTGCTTGAATTGCTCGTCGATGGCAAGGCTCGTTGTGTGCGCTGGAGACCTGTTTTGAAGAAATAAATCGTGATGGTAAGACCGCAACGAGTATGAAGGAGCTGTCGACAAGAATTGGGGGTATACCATAGGTGACCAGTAGGCCGTGGACATGAGCACTGTACGCCATTCGAACGAAGGCTGGAGGAGGCTTAGGCAAGCTTCTCGTCGATGGAGCTGCGTGGCTGCTCGTCGCCTCTTCTGCTGTATTTGGATGCAGAAGGCCATCTGGATTGCTTGCAGGCGGCATTTGCGTGCGAAGCTTCGTCTCCGCTGGGATACGTGCTGCTTCGACCGCTGCTGCTCGTGGATGTTCGCGGTGGCAAGGCGAGAAGAGGCGAGCTGCTGCTGCGCGGCGAGTCGGATGCGGTGATGCCCGGTGCGGAGGATGAAGGAAAGTAGTGGTGAATGCGCGCTCGCAAGAGCTGCATGTACCAGCGGTGAATGACCAAGAAACAATACAGCCTGTTTTGGCGTAGAGGGTGCGACGGATGACGTGAGTGCTGCCCCTCGCCTCTTGCCTCGTGGCGCGACCGTTCCGACCGCTCGATACGCACCGCACAGCTGTATAGAGCAAGCTAGCCAACATTACGATAGGAATCACATCCCTCGTGAAAGCATCGTCGCAATTCTCATCCGTAAAAGTCTCTTCCAAGAGCCGTTCCCATGCGCTTGGTTCACCAGCGCCTTCGCTCTTGCCTGTCATGCCGCCATCCCACACCGAGCTGAGGGAGCCGGCGCTTAGGAACTCGCAAAGCTGCGATCTGATCTCGGCATTGGTCAGCAAGATCAGCAGCGCGAGCAGAGAGAGCGTAAAGAGGAAGAGATCGAGAAAGGAGGAAAGGACGAAGATGCGAGTGGCGAACAAGGAGGGCTACGCGGGGGGCGCACCATGGGCGTGAGCATTGCGGTACGTCGGCGTGTTCGCAGGAATGGGCGAGCAGCATCTCACCTTGAGCACGCCAACAATACCGGCAAGACTAGCAGCTGCACTCAACAGCGCGTACACTCTCAAAGTCTTCGTCACCAATCTAGCAGAGTCCCAATTCCGCCTTTCCCGACCTCCATCCGCCGTCTGGCTGACGCGCAGCTTTTGAGAGGTCTCGGTAGAAGCTGCATGGTAGTGCGGTAGAAGATTGTGCCACGCCCAAGTTTCCGGCTCGCTTGTAGATGCAGAGGCTGCCGCTGTGTTGTGGCTCGAGGAGGAAGACAAGAAGGGTGAGGACTGAAGTGGTGGGCGACGCGCGTCTTCATGCGCAGGAGTCGCAGTGGTCGTGAGCGCAAGTGGGGCGACGGCGACTGGGAGCAGCGAAGGCTTTCGAGCAGCAGCCAAAGGCACCGAAGGGAAACTATCTTGAAGCGCGCCCATGGCTGAAAATAGTCGAATGTGGGAGATCAGACCCAAGGCGGCGAGCAGCAGCGTGGCCGTTCTGGCTGTCGGTAAGCCGCAGCAGCGCGTGGGAGCGAAGCGCCATCTATTGGCGTATCTGGCTTGGCTGACAGTCATGAGATTGCTGGAAGAGGAGGCATAGCCTCGCACTGATTCGTGCATGACTGACAAGGCGTAGACTCGATCGAAAAAAGTGACGGTCGTTGGTATCAGCTTATTGCTTCCCCTTGCAATTGTTCCCCGCAGGTGGCGCGCTCGCAGCAACAAGAGGTCCGGAGTGCGGGACGATTCTCAGAGCTTTCTGGTCGAAGGTGCCAGCGATGAGGATGGTGTTCGACAGCGACGAGCTCTCAAGGTGCGCTCTGCTTTCTGCACGCAGAACGCTCGCTTGCAGAACAAGTCTGAGTGTCCATAATTGACTCAGGTGAAGCCATTCACATTGTTACGTATGCTCGCTGACCGTTGCTGATGATTGAGCTTCCGGATGTTTGTTCCACCTGCTGCGTCGGAGCTCTAAACCCGAATCAAATGTGAATTGATTTCTGTCCGGAGGCTACAGTCAGTCGCCATCGGCGGAGAGAGAAATCACGTTTGAATCCGATCGAGCAGCTTATTGTGCGCAATTCGTAAGGTGCGCTTTCGAGCATCTTTACATTCTCGATTCAAACGTGAACACGAAATTCAAGCTTGCTGACGGAAACCCAAGTCGACTCTTGAAGGCGGAGATAAGTCGAGTGGGAAAATACGAGAACGCTCTTCTGAGTGAATGCGCGCCTGTATACGCTGCTGATGCTGTATATCACCAAGGCAAGGGTAAGGGGGCACTTCAGCCCATCATATCTCATCCAAAATTCAAAGAGTGCTATGCTGGCTGACGACCCCGCCGCGGCCATTTGCTCTGATGACTCATTCGCTTGGTTGATATGTCGGTCGATCGTGATCGCGTGTGCCGGCTTCACGTTGCCGCAGGTATGGGAACCAAGACCTGCCCTTCCTTTCCCGCGATCGTTCAATGTGAATCCCTTCTTCATGCACACGGAGCAGTCGCGTGGCTTGCTGCATGTCACTCTCTCCAGCATACAGCCATCATGACGGCCGGGCCCCCACGCCCGGGAAATCTTGGCTCCCCTCCACTCATTTGACTCAATCATGGCCCTGACTCGTCGTGGCCCGAGCAAGCAAGCAAGCAAGCAAGCAAGCAATAAGCGCTCGAATTGCAAGCTGCTGATGCAATTAAGGCCGTGTCAGGTGCATGCAGCAGACGCGCAGCGGCACCAGCATACTTAACCCGATTTACATGCCTATGCTTGAAAACAATTTTGAATCAAAAGAATCATCAATCACGAGTGCAGCAAACTTGAAATCCTTCACAAATCAAATCTTTCTTGAATTTCAGGCCCGCCTCGCTCGAGCAGTCGGGCGGGGACAGCCCATGCACATTCTTGATTGTGGTTCGGGCATTTTACGATTCAAGCGTCCGCGATTTGACGACGCGCGGCCGTGAGCAACTTTGACATGGCACCCTGAACCAAAAGTCCAGCAGCGTGCACGCATGCATGCATGACTGCATGCTTGCACCCTTCACGTGAAGCGTCAGCGGCAGGGTCCGCCGGATGCGTTGTTCCGGGTACTGTAGTGCGAAGCGCACATCACCCCGGCTTGGCACTCAGACTGCAGAGCGCAACAGCAGATGAGTCGAAGGTCCGCAACAGCTCACCCTCTCTCCACTTTCACTTTCACTCGGCGATAAGACTGGCACACCAAGACCGAAACATTCATGATGGTCGTTGAGCGGGCTTGAAGGAGCTTCTTTCGCAGATCGGAGGAGATGTCAAGCTTCGTGCTCGAAAGCCCTGAAGCTGTCTTCACGCTCGCGTGTCAATCAAAGTTCAATTCGCCAAGGCGACACCAGAAACATGTAGCAAGCAACCCGGGACCGCAGCGGAGTCTTGTGAGGTCGATGCATGCTTCCTGGCACACGATGTGCTTCTGATAAAAGCTGCTGGCTAGACTTGTAGAGCGCACACATCCAAGCTCATTCGACATTCACGTGATTATCCGAAGTCGGCGTGTCCAAGCGCACCCTGACTTCCTTTACCTGACGTTCGGAAAATTGTATACACTTTCAAGATTCAGCTCCGGCACTCACAATACAACGTGCCCACAAAGACTCACACTTTTGTCCTTTTCCAAAATAGCCTGCTGCACCAACTGCTCCACCACCTGAGCCTCGGCCAGCGTAGTCCTGGGTGGCATCTCCAAGGTGACATCCACCAGCGTACTGACTCCATGCTTGACCGCTCTGATCTCCTTGACGCCCAGCAGGAGCGTAGGGTGCAATGCCCTGACACCATCTATCGCTTCTTCGAACCCACCCAAAGCTTCTTGATCAACCCCTCGATCGGACAGATCTGCGAGAGCTTGCAGCAGCAATTCGAGGCCTTGCTTGCCGATCAGTCCCGCTACCAGCAAGCCGCCCATCGGATCGAGCACGGGGAAGCCCAGCCACGAGCCCAGAATAGCTAAAAAGGTGACACCCGAGGAGAGCGAGTCGCTGCGGTGGTGGAGCGCGTTGGCCTAGCAAAATAGAGGGAGCGCGATATGCGCTTCATTCAACGTCAGCGGCCGCTTCCACACAAACAAAGCGACGTCACAGACTCACTTCCAGCACGGAGCTGTTCTCGTCCCTCGCTACCTTGAGCGTCGCATGGTAGAGCCACTCCTTGACAGCCACGCTTGCCAGGGCGAACCACATGGCGTTGGGGTCGAGTATGCCACGATCTCCAACGTCGGCATGCTCGTGCAGGTGCGCCCCTTTGCTAGCCAGCGCTCCAGTCAGCGTGCCAATATTCTGAATGACGGCCGGCGCGGAGCGCAAAGTAGGTTCCAGAGCCTCGATCAGGAGGCTGTAGCTGTGTGCACCAATGCCAAAGGCACCAGCAACCAGCACCACGCTGACTCCCAGCCCTCCCATCGTCTCGTACTTGCCGTATCCGAGGGGGTGGGTTGTAGAAGGGGGTTTGCGAGACATGCGCCAACAGAAAAGAGTGACTAGGTCCGAGAACATGTCTGATAGACTGTGAGCTGCATCAGCCAGTAGCGAGGCGCTGTGAAGGAATACGCCTGCCACGGCTTTGGCGATACACAGGACCAGATTTGCGCCAAGCCCTACCAGGGTGATGTTGCTACCCCGATCACCTTGAAAAGGAAGCGGCGCATGCCAACACGTCAGGCTGAACAATTGATTGACTTGCCGAGCGTGCAACCGTGACACTCACCCTGTCCTTTGAGAGCTGCGAACAGCTTGTCCGCCTCTTCAGCGCTGCCTTCATGCGCGTGCGAATGAGAATGACCGAATCCGTGGCTGTGACTGTGTTCGTGGTGCTTTCTAGCAGCATCTGGATCCTTCCTTTTCCGCAGCTCCTGCTCCACCCTAGCTCCGCCGTCCATCTGCTCAGATAGGCCTTTGGCCATGATGTCTTGATCAGCCGTAAGATTTCCCACTGGCTCGAAGGTTGTTGCTGCTTGTACAGCCGTAGTAGCTGTATTTGGGCTCGGCAATGCCTGCGCCGCCGCAACGATTCTCTGCTGATGATGCTCGAGATGTCTCAGCTGCAAGGCTTTCTGTGTTTGCCTAGCAGCAGCGTCCGCAGCCGCGTCTGCTGCCTCTGCGAAAGCGGTGGACGTTTCGGTGGTCGAATTTCTGAATCCGAACAAGCTGGCGCCTGATGATCCTGGATTTGCACGACGAGCTCTGGTCACGCTTCCTCGAGAGGGCTGTCGGGGTTCGCTAGGGTCGTTGCGGATCAGCTTGAGTGCACCCAGACGAGGAGGCGAGCCGGGAGTGGTTGGTGTTTGATCGCCTGGGTGAGGCGAGGGTACACGTTGCCGGGGTTGATGCGCTGAGGCGTAGCTGCGAGCGCCAATACGCCGGTGAGATGTATGAGTGGGATTGGGTAGAGCTGAAAGTGGAGATGTGTGCAGGGAGATGGATGAGGGGATTGCTGCGCTGGCAGCGTTCAGTGACGACGTGGCAGCTGATGAAATGACGCGTGGCAAGCTGGAAGACGGTACAGGCAGTGCGAAGAGGTTGTTGGGCGCAGCAGCAATGGTCCTGATGAAACGATTTGGGCGTCTCAAGTGCAAGGTCGCGGGAAGCGGCATGTCAGCCCTGCTTATGTAGCTGCCAACCTCGATCGCCCGTGGACCGCTGTCCCTAGTGCTGCTCGAGCGACGCCAGCGGTCGTCCAATGCCTACGTAGCTCGAGGGGGGATTGTGCGTCAGGAAGGCTCGCGTCGGGTGTCAAGAAGTGTGGAGAAGAAGCCGTGGCTGTGGCTATGGAGCTGTATGATGGAGCAGCTCTTCCTTCCGCTCGCCTAGGGATGCGTACGAGAATGATGGCGCGAGGCAGCGTCGATGGCTGTGCGACGAGGCTAAGCACGCGGCAACGCAGTCTTGAGAATGGCACTCGTGACTTGTGCAGCAGCAGTCGATCGGGGCTCATGGTGATGTGACTGGATTTGACTTACCGCGACGACTCGTGACTGCTGCACGCGTCGCGCTTAGCAGGCAACACGCAAGAATCACAACAATCGTGAATCAAAGAAAGGAGCCGCCGCTGGAGTGAGCCACTCAGTCGTACCCAGCACAAGCACGAGTCGTATCACAAATCAAGAATGTGAATGCTCTGCTATACAGTGAGCGACGCTAAGGGAATTCCCTCCGTCAAGTCTGAGTGAGTGATCACACGTCGATTGAGTTTGAATCAAGAATGTATGCCATCAATGTGTGATTGCCCAAGTCTGTTGCTGATCACCAAAAGAGACGCCTCATCAATTGCATATGCCGTGCGTGTCCGCCATACCGCCATACCGCACAGGTCCTCCTCGCAACTCGATCGGAGTCACGAGTGAGAACAGCAGCAGCTAGCCGAGCGGACGCCACGAAAGCACAGCAGCGCGTCTGACCAGCACAGCACCGGCAGACGCGAAGATTCACCATTGCGATTCGGGATGATGCGCATGATCACGAATGCGCACAGTAGTGCGAGCACCGGTACCGGTATACGTGGCAGGCAGGCAAAGTCACCAGTCACCAGTCACCCGCAGTGACATGCGCACCTTCCCGGTTAATCGAGCTGCTGGGTGCTACACTCAAGACTGACCTGACAGTCGTGAGTCGCGATCGAGTCTGAGGAGCTGCGATTCACACTTTTGAGCACCGTCGTCCCTGCCATGTCCGCAGTGGGCAGCCATAAGGGAATGAGTGTGCTTGAATTGTCGATGCACACGTTTAGGCTTGATCTTTCGATGGTCAGCTAAGGTAGTCTAAGGTAGTCAGTCAGTCGTGAGTGAGTCTGGTGCATCGACGCGGTTGCTCGACTTGAAGCCGCACGCGACGGTGGAAAGGGGAGAGAGACGCGCTTATTCTTTATTTGCTTGCTCTTTTGAAGCCGTCACATGCTTGCCTGGTGGAGAGCCGATCACGTGCAGGACACAGATGATCGGGTTCGGATCACGCGGATCAATCAGCTCTACCGCTCCGATACGCCCGACACACCGGCTCGGGCACGGATCACGGGCAGGGCAAAAGTTCGTGGCGGGGCAACGAAGATGAGAGTCACGAGTGCATGCATCAGCCATGCGCACATTCAAGCGCGAATCTGTGCTCGAAGCGGCTATCCTTGCTCGCATCGTGATTCCACACCAATGTCCCGAATGGGGGTGAGAGAGGCGGCATGCTTCCACATCATGACAATTGGCGAAGAGCGGTGAGCGCCTCGATCGTCGATCTTCACGTGCACACACCATCATCCTTTTGGAAGACGCAACAACACATCTGCCCACACCGACTACGTTCGAGCAGGCAGCCTCGAGCATCTCTTTCCAACACTGCACTGTAGCGTGCCTCCACTTTTGCTATCCGCTCAAGCATCATGGCCCTCCGAGCCATCCTGAGTCGCTCACCGCAGCAGCTCCTTCGAGTCCCACCAAGCTCCTCCGCATCCGCTGTCACAGCTTCTGCACGATCTCTTGTCCCAGCAGCTCGCAGCATGTCCAGCGCCGCGACGAGAAGGAACGAGTTTGCAGCTACCAGCGTCTGGTCCACACCAGCTCCGCTAAGGCTGTCCCCACCTACAGCAGAGGAGGAGACTGCGGACTTCAAAAAGGCTTGCGAAGAGGTGCAGAGATGGTTTGACAGTCCGAGATTCCAGGGCATTAAGGTGCGCACCGCAGAAAAGAGGCACATGGGCGATGCATAGATGCGGAGGATCAGCTGGTTGCGGTCCGCATGCTGATGCGCTGTTTCATGGTCTTTCTGACTGCAGAGACCGTACGGTCCGGCTGATGTGGTCAGCAAGCGCGGATCTGTGCCTGTTCAGCCTCCGCAATCATCGTTGATGGCCGACAAGCTGTTCGCACTGCTCACAGAGCGTTTCGAGCAGAGGCAGCCAGTGCACACCATGGGCGCCATCGACCCCGTCCAGCAGAGCCAGATGGCCTTCCACCAGGAAGTGACGTACGTCTCTGGCTGGGCAGCTTCCTCGGTGCTCACCACCTGCAGCAACGAGGTTGGACCCGATCTGGCGGACTACCCGTACACAACTGTTCCCAATCAAGTCCAGGTACGTCCCAGCTTGTAACCCTCTGCTGCAAGGGCTTCCTACAGTCAAAGCTCACCCAGCGTGCCGATCCGAGCTCAGCGTCTTTTCAAAGCTCAACTGCATCACGATCGCAAGCACTGGGATGAACGGTCTCAGCTGCCGCAAGAGAAACGCGCTCAGACTCCCTGGGTGGACTACTTGCGGCCGATCATTGCTGATGCTGACACTGGGTAAGTCGGCATGCTTCGACAGCTGATCGCTCCAGGCGTGCTGAACCTTGATGCACATGGATCGACAGTCATGGAGGTCTGACTACAGTCATGAAGCTGGCGAAGCTCTTCGCAGAAAATGTGAGCCTTAGAAAGCTCCCAGAGTGCTGTGCAGGAGGCTGAGATCGCGATTTCCGCGTGGTCATAGGGAGCCGCTGCCATCCATTTGGAAGACCAGCTGCACGGCGGCAAGAAGTGCGGTCACCAAGCCGGCAAGGTCCTCGTGCCCACCTCGGAGCACATCAACAGGTTGAACGCTACACGTTTGGCTTGGGATGTCTTAGGCTCCTCCAACCTGGTCATCGCCCGGACTGACAGCGAGAGTGGCAAGTTGATCAGCAGCAACATCGATGTGCGCGATCATGAATTTATCAAAGGTGCCTACAACCTTAAGCCTGGAACCAAAAGCCTTGCAGAATCTCTGGCCGAGGCGGAAGGTGCTGGCAAAGTAGGTGCACAAGTGGACGCTGTGGAGAAGGCGTGGATGGATGGGTGCGAGCTGTTGACATTTAACAAGGGTGCGTGATTGTTGCGAAGCGTGGAAGCGTACTAATGCACCTCCAGCTGATATTTGACACTATTTCACAACAGCCGTGGAGAAGCACAATTTTGGCAACGCGAGCGGCCTGGCAGAGTACGCAAAGCGTGTCGAAGGTGGTGTGTCCAACACCGTCGCTCGTGGCATCGCTGCCGAAGTGTTCGGCGAGTCTGGCGTGCCAGTGTGGGACTGGGAAGCGCCCAGAACCAAAGAAGGCTACTTCCACTTTACCGGTGGCATTGACGCTGCCGTCAAGCGGGTCAACCTCTTTGCACCTTACGCTGACCTGCTCTGGTTGGAGACCAAGACGCCAGATGTTGGAGAGGCAACTGACTTTGCTAAGCGCATCCACAAAGTGCACCCCAACAAGAAGCTGGTGTACAATTTGAGTCCTAGCTTCAATTGGAGCGCACATGGCTTCGACGGTGAGTGTCGACTGGCTCGTCACAATCCGCGCACGCACTCACTGCTGTATTCACCCCTGCGAACGCGGCAGACAACGCACTCAAAAACTTCATCTGGGACCTCGGAAAGGCTGGCTTCGTCCTCCAACTCATCTCTCTGGCTGGACTGCATAGCACGGGCATGATCACGAGCCAGCTTGCGCGCGAGTACAAGACGGATGGTATGCTGGCCTACGTCAACCTGATTCAGCGAAGAGAAAAGGAGCTGGGCACGGATGTCTTGACGCAGTGAGTTGCTAGCGTAGCCAAAGCTTCAAAAGTTCCTCGCCCTAACATTGACGCCAAAACCTGGCTCGCATAATTCTTCTTCTTCAGCCAAAAATGGAGCGGAGCAGCGTACGCAGACCGCATGATCCAGACTGTTTCTTCCGGCAGCTCTGCCACGAGCGCGATGGGAGGTGATTCTACCGAGCACAGCTTCTAGACGTCAACATCTCGAATTGGTCCTGCGATTTTTGCAGAAATGTAGAATCGAGGTTTGTTTAATGAAAAGCCATGTGCTCGGGATGATCGTACATTCAGAATCTCCTGCGTGCGAGAGTAGTGCTTCAAGAGTATCTGCGATTGTCACAGGGCTCCCTTCAGTAGGTGTCACTGACGCAGGGCTCCTCCTCTTTGGGTGCAAGCTAGCAAGCGCACGCAGCCGCTAGCTTGGTAGCCCCCGCTTCTGCGCTACGCGTCGCGCGGTACGCGCTAAAGGTACCCCTTCCATTGGGCAGCAATCATGTGATGCTTTCTTTTTGCGTACAGAGCACCTCGACATTGATCGACGTCTAGAAGGAGGACACTCGCTCCAGCACGCTTTGGAAGGCTCTCCATGGAGGGTTCAGATTGAATTTGGAAATCGCGAATCCTTGCAGTGCGATGAAGTGATGAGATGAAGAGAAAAGCGGAGCGCGGTCGGTACAAATTGCCGCGTTTGAGCCAGCTGGTCGTCAGTCTCACCTGACCCCGCGGCCAAGACTTCTGGGCTTCTATACGGCAGGACGCCGAGACCAATACCTGCCGAGCTCTCTCGATCGAGCTCTAACTCTCTCTCATGTCTCGCTCTGTGTGCTGCCGTCATGTCATGGTCCTTTGAGCTGCTCATTTCAAAGCCTCATCGCGATTCGCGGCGACTCGTGAGTCGCGACTCTGCGCCGTTCGCATGGTGTTTGGGCTTCGCATACAACAACCAGCACCAATGCTGTTGACAAATCAAATATCTTCCTTCAATTTTGGGGGGCGGTCAAGATTCCGGGCGCGCGAGCATTAGCGCGCGCTGCGTGCATTGTCCGCTTGTTTTGGTCGCACGATGCGCGAGACGGCGGGCCATGCTGCAGCAGGCCCCAGGTTAATTGAAGCTATGTAGACGGCGTCTCAAGTGTGAGTGTGAGCCTTGAGTGTGCACGCGCCGCGAGGGACGGATACAGTACGCGCTTTTTCGTCTCTTCCGCGAGATCTCACTCAGAGCCATCTCTTGCTCTTCGTTTGTATGCGTGCGATGCGGTGATGAACGGAAGCCGCAGAGCGCGGATTGGTCAGGTCATTCTGACCGATCTAGGGCTCGGCTCGCACGTCAATTGTCCCCCCCTCTCTGCTGCATGCTGGCCGCACGCCGCGCTCGGGCATGAATAGGGTCCTCGCAGGCCCGCCGACCGCGCAGCGCAGCATGAGCATCACCAGCAGCAGCAGCCGTACAGCACAGCATGTTGAACCACCGGTACGCCTGCCCTAACAAGCGAGTTGCTGGTTTCGCGCGCGCGAGTGCATAAGCGACAAGCTTTTCGGTAGGCTCGTGACCTTGCACGCGCGAGGTCAATCGTGAGTCAAGGACTTGCGCACTGCCTAGATTTATTATAATATGCCGTAGCGCTTTGCTTATTGAACCGTCGCGCGCCCTGCATGCTTGTGCAGCAGTCAGCAGAGTCAGAGTCGGTCTGATGAGGGTTTGAGTGCAACTGCATATGCGCGTGCGCGTGCGTCCTTACGCCAGCTTGCGTGTGAAGCAACTCACGACTGCGTCTTTTTTTGAAACTACTGTACAAAGTCGTGAGATTTATAGAGTCCAGCCAAACGGGGCAGCCCTCGCCAAGGCAGCAGATTCAAGATTAGCTAGGCAAGGGGTGCAACCCTGACAACCTGCTGCCAGCCATCTCGATCTCCGTCCCATCCCCAAGCAGCCCCTACCTATCCTGAATCTTCCCTCCTCTTCTCCTTATTTTCCCATCGACTCTTTCCGCGCACACTCCCTCGTCTCGCGCAAGCAGTAGACTTTTAGTCGCTTTGTTCCAGTGCCACCAACCGAGCAGGTTGGTCGGCTCGACATTCGCCAAGCCACAACACCTCACGTCATCGTCATCACCTTCCAGCCACTGCGCTGACGTTGCCCACTCGCCCGCTTAAGCTCTCTTAGCTTCCAAGCGAGGGTGCGAGCAGCGTGGTTGCTGTGGCAACAGCGAAGCACGCCTGTCGAGCTCCATCTCACCACGCCAAGAGTTGTCGAATATGGCTTCTCGCTCCACGCCTCCTCCGGAGGATGTTCATAAGCTGGCAGAGCTCTCCAATGTGACTGCAGACACAATCTTTGCGGTCCTTCGCGACAGATTCTTCAGCGCTCTGCCCTACACCAGACTATCGGACTCGATCCTGATATCCGTCAATCCATTCGCTGCTCCCGGAAATCGCAACAGTGATGACACGCTTCGAGAGTACACAAAGGATTACAGGGAGACGAGCAAGGCGAACAGGGTCAGGAATCTACCACCTCACATCTTTGCGACCGCATGCAATGCCTACTTTTACATGCGCCGCACTGGTCAAGACCAAAGCATCCTCTTTGCGTGAGTGCCTGGCTTGCGCTTTGTGGTTGTTCAATATTCACAAACGCCGAGCAAGTGACTGGGTTTGGCTGATATTCTATTACTTCCAATCCAAGGGGTGAAACTGCGTCCGGAAAGACGGAATTGCGAAGGTTAGCTATCAGGACGCTGGTCGACCTCAGCGCGCCGCCTCCCGGTAAGAAGGGCAGCAAGCTGGCAGTCCAGGTCCCCTCGGGAGAGTTCATCCTGGAAAGCTTGGGTAATGCACGCACTTTGGAGAACGGCAACGCTTCACGCTTTGGAAAGTACACCGAGCTGCAATTCAGCGAGAGTGGCCGATTGGTGGGCTCGAAGACGCTGGACTACTACCTGGAGAAGACTCGGGTATTCTCATGTGCTGGTAGCGAGAGAAACTTCCACGTCTTTCACTATTTGGTTGCAGGGGCAACAGAGGAAGAAAAGGAGTTTCTGCACATCACAGACGCAGCTGCTTTCCGGTATCTCGGCTCACAGCGTGGTCATCGCGAGACTGCGCGTGAAGATGCCGCACGCTTCAACAGACTCAAACAAGCATTCAAGAATGTTGGTCTCTCCAAGCGACAAGTCGCATCTATCTGCCAAGTTCTCGCAGCGATCCTCCATCTCGGCAATCTGGACTTCTATCAAGACAGGCACTCGACCCAAGACTCTGCCTCTATTCGCAACCCCGAGGTGCTAAACGTGGTAGCTGGCTTTCTCGGTGTTGCCTCGAAGGAGCTGTCGGAGGTACTGACCTACAAGACGAGGTTGATCAAGAATGAGGTCTGCACAATCCTGCTCGACTCCGACGGCGCTGCAGCCAATCGTGACGATCTGGCAAAGTCACTCTACTCCCTCCTCTTCGCGTGGCTCAACGAGCACATCAACGAGAAGCTGTGCAAAGATGACTTCGACACATTTGTGGGCCTGTTCGATTTGCCAGGCTTCCAGAATTTGTCCCGCGCCAATTCTCTTGATCAATTCTGCATCAACTACGCCAATGAAGCCACCCACGGCTATATGCTACGCACAGTATTTGAGAAAACCAAGGCCGAATATTCGGACGAAGGCATCACGTACCTATCGCCCGACGTACCGTACTTTGACAATGCGGAGACTCTGCGCCTCATCAACAACCAGCCTGGTGGACTTGTACACATCATGGACGATCAGGCTCGCCGTATGCCCAAAAAGACCGATCACACCATGGCGGAAGCATTTGGCAAGCGCTGGGGCAACCATCCCACCTTCAAGGTCGGGCCTGCAGACCGCAGCGGGTTCAGCACATTTACGATCAGCCACTTTGCTGGTCCAGTCACCTACTCTTGCGAGGGCTTGCTGGAGAAGAACGCGGAGGTGGTCAGCCCAGACTTTGTCTCGATGCTTCGCGGTCAGCAGGTCGGCGCTGGAAAGAGCGCTTCCGACGTCCAAGGTGGGCAGAGCGCGGGGTCCACTGTGGCTTTCATCCGCTCGCTGTTCTCGACTAGAGCACTCAAGACGCAGGCTCATCCAAAAAGCGAGCAAACGATTGTAGCTGCTCAGCAGTCTGTCAAGCCCATTCGTCAGCCCTCGATGCGAAGAACCGCCAAAGGCAGTGGGACGATCCGTCGAGCTGGTACGCAGCGCAGAGGAGGCAATTTGGCGCCGGGCGGCGAGGAAGACTCTGATGAAGACGCTGAGGCAGAAGGCGAAGGCGGAGCTGGAGCGGCCAAGAAGACCACTGCGCGCTTCGTTGCAGGCGAGTTCCGCAGTGCACTGGACACGCTCTTTGAGACGCTGGACGAGACCAAGGCTTGGTTCGTGCTGGCATTGCGCCCAAACGACAACCAGCTGCCTAACCAATTCGAAGCGCGTGTCGTCAAGCAGCAGGTCAAGACGCTTGCCATCGCTGAGATGTCTCGCAAGACTCTGAACGAGTACTGCGTCAGCATGACTCCCGAAGAATTCTGCGAGCGCTATGCCGACGCCCCATCCCTGTCAGCGGCGTCTATGCGAGGTGCATCGGGAGGCGAAGCAAAGCAGAAGTTCGCTGCCGCAAAGGACATCATGGGTTGGGCGGATGCCGAAGCTGCAGCTGGCCGCGTCAAGGTCTTCCTCTCCCACGAGGCGTTCCGGGAGCTGGAGGATGAGCTTCGCGCTGCAGACCCTGAGGAAGTGCGCGCCAACGAGCGCAAAGCGCTCATCGACGCCGATGCCGCTGCGAAGGGCGAAACGGATCCATTCTCTCCTTTGGGCGTCTTGGAAGAGGGCGCTCACGGCGTACCTGATAGCCCAGGCTTGGTCGGCGCGTACGGCGATCCGTTCAAAGAGCGCTCTCAAGCTGCGGTGCCACTGGTCGGAGGCGAAGATGCGATGGACGATGCAAAGAGCGCATTCTCTGAAATGACGGGTCCTGGAGCCTTCCTTTCAAGAAGGTCATATGGCGGCGGTTTCAGCACTGCTGCACCATCAGTCATTGGCTCGGAGGCATACGCGCCTTCACGCAATATGTTTGCAGATGCTGGCTCTCGCGGTGCGGACGAGAAGGGCGGCGCTGGCTTCACTGCACCAGACGCAGGCCTGGTGCGCGAAGAGCACGGTGTATCCTCCACTCGTAGGAGATGGGTAGCCTTCACATGGCTGCTTACCTTTTGGATCCCAAGCCCCGTCCTCTCGCTGGTCGGTGGTCTCAAGCGCCCCGACATTCGTATGGCATGGCGAGAGAAGCTCGCCATCAACATGGCCATCTGGTTCGTCTGTGGATGTGCCATCTTTGTCATTGCCGTTTTGGGAAATCTGATCTGTCCAAAGGAGCATGTCTACTCCCAGGACGAATTTTCCAACCACAAAGGCGACGACGCTTTCACTGCGATTCGAGGTGAAGTTTTCGACCTCAACGGCATTGCGCGCTTCCACCGCACGCAAATTCCCGTCGTCGGAGAAAAGGTCATCATGGCCTATGCAGGAGAGGACGCCACGAACATCTTCCCTGTGCAGGTCAATGCTCTGTGCAATGGTGAAACTGGCCAGGTCAGTCCGTGGGTGCAGCTGTCTGGTGACAATACCACTCTTTATCCGAACGCCCAATACCACGACTTCCGCGCGGTCACTCAAGATATCCGCCCTGACTGGTACTACGAAAGCATGTGGCTGATGCGGTCGAACTACCGAGTTGGCTTCATGGGCTACACTCCAGACGGTATCAACGACATGTTGGACTCTGGAAGAAGCATCGTCATTTATCGCGGCGGCGTCTACGACTTTACTCAGTATATTGCACAGGGCCGACGTGGTGTGCCGGAGGCGCCACCGGGCCAGCAGGCTCCGGCAGATACCAATTTGCAGTTCATGAGCAATGTGGTGATCGATCTCGCGGTGCAGAACCCCGGCAAAGACATCACCGCCAGCTTCGACCAGCTGGGTTTGTCATCAGAGGTCCTGGATCGACAACGGGTCTGCATGCGCAACCTGTTCTTTATCGGAAAGCAGGACGGTCGCAATTCACCACGCTGCCAATTCTCTCGATACTTGCTGCTCGCCCTGTCCATCTTCATGATCAGCATCATCGGCTTCAAATTCTTGGCTGCGCTGCAGTTCGGAAGAGTACGCAAACCAGAGGATCACGATAAGTTTGTGCTATGCCAAGTCCCCTGCTACACTGAGGGTGAGGAGTCGATGCGCAAGACGATCGACTCGCTGGCAGCTCTCAAGTACGATGACAAGAGAAAGTTGCTCTTTGTCATCTGCGACGGCAACATCGTGGGCGCTGGTAACGATCGACCTACTCCGAGAATCGTTCTTGACATCCTTGGTGCCGATCCCAGCTTGGAGCCGGAAGCACTTTCCTTCTTGTCTCTTGGAGAGGGCGCGAGACAGCACAATATGGCCAAGGTCTACAGTGGCCTTTACGAGCATGCCGGTCACGTTGTCCCTTATGTCGTCGTTGTCAAGTGCGGCAAGCCCACGGAACGTCAACGTCCCGGTAACCGTGGAAAGCGTGATTCTCAATTGGTCTTGATGAGGTTCCTGAACAAGGTGCACTTTGGACTGCCAATGAACCCTATGGAATTGGAAGTCTATCACCAGATCAAGAATGTCATCGGAGTCAACCCGTCTTTCTACGAGTACATTCTGCAAGTCGATGCCGACACAGAGGTCGAAGCATACTCGCTGAACCGCTTTATCTCGGCTTTCACTAACGACAAAAGGGTCATTGGTCTTTGCGGTGAGACAGCCTTGTCCAACTCCAAGAAGAGCTTCATCACCATGCTGCAGGTCTACGAGTACTACATTTCTCACTACATGGCAAAGGCGTTCGAGAGCTTGTTTGGTTCGGTCACTTGTTTGCCAGGATGTTTCTCGATGTTCCGCATTCGGACTCCAGACACGCACAGACCTCTCTTCATCGCCAACTCTGTCGTGGACGAGTATGCCGAAAATCGAGTAGACACGCTACACACCAAGAATTTGCTCCATCTCGGTGAAGATCGTTATCTCACGACGTTGGTCTTGAAGCACTTCAATAACTACAAGACCATCTTTGTGCGAGATGCAAAGGCCAAGACGACTGCTCCAGAAGAGTGGGGTGTGTTGCTATCCCAACGTCGTCGATGGATCAACTCGACAGTCCACAACTTGTTTGAGCTGCTGAGCGGTGCCAACTTGTGCGGTTTCTGCCTCTTCTCGATGCGCTTCGTGGTCTTTATCGACCTCCTCTCCACCATCATTGCACCTGTCACGGTCGTCTACATCGTCTACCTGATCTATCTGGTCGCCACCGACTCGTCCACTGTCCCACTGACATCGATCATCATGCTGGTAGCAATCTACGGTCTTCAAGCTATCATCTTCCTGCTCAACCGCAAATTTGAGATGGTCATTTGGATGCTGATCTATCTGATCGCCGTAAGTCCCACGCATCTACCTCGTATGGAAGCGGAGAATCGTGCTCACCTTCTTTGGTCTTTCACAGACTCCCATCTGGTCTTTATTCTTGCCGCTGTACTCGTTCTGGCACATGGATGACTTCTCGTGGGGCTCCACGCGTGTTGTCGTCGGAGAGTCGGGCAAGCGCGTCGTTATGCACGACGAAGGAGTCTTTGACCCATCCTCTATCCCCTTGCAGACTTGGGCTGAGTACGAGAACGAGCTGTGGGAGCGCAACTCTGCACGATCTATTGGGTCGATCATCGAGGCGGCGCGCAAAGAACAATCGCAGGCATCTCGCGCGGGCTCCCAGTACACACCGAGCTTGTACGGACAGCCCCTCATGATGCATCATCAGCAGAGCTTTGGACACAGCCCCACGGCTTCCGCCTACGGCGGTGGTGGCGGTGGCCCTGGATCTGCTATGGGAGGATACTTCCCTCCTGGCGATGCTCGACAATCCACATACACTCTCAACCAAATGCCCGCCGCGCAACCGTACGCTCAGCCGGCAGGCCACGCTTCTGGCTATGGCACGCCAGCTGGTATGTCCATGTACGGAGCACCTGCGGGCTACATGGCGCAGCCGCAGGTGGCGGCATCTCCTGGTTACGCAGGTACGCCCTCAATGTACGGAGCCATGGGAGGCTATGGTGCGCCGCAGTCCATGTATGGCGCGCCAGTAATGTCTCAGATCGGCATGGGCAACGCTCGTGCCAGCTCTTACTCGCTCAGCGGCGAAGCTGCCTTGGTCGACACCAGAACACCAGGACAGCTGCCTTCGGATGATACCATTGCCAGGGATATTCGCGACCTCATCGCAAACGCCGACTTGCAGACCATCACCAAGAAGAAGTTGAGGCAACAGCTCGAGCAACGCTACGGTGTCCCGGTCGACTCCAAGAAGGCTTTCGTGAATCAACAAATTGACGAGTGTCTTGCGATGGTCTGAACTGGACGTCGTCGTATTTCGCTTCGCATCAAAAGAACACTCTCCTCTCCGGCTAGCCACACACTCGCAACTTCTGCAAGCAGTCACTACACATTCGCTGGATACTACTCAGCTGTCTCTCAAAATGAGACGATCATGACTCTTTGCGCTCTCTTCGTACCAATGAACATGTTGCTCTCGCTCGCACTGTAGTCCCCCCGCACCCGCCTCGTTCCCGACCCCGCTCTCGCTCTCTCCAGTCTCCAACCCGAGGACTTTTGTTTCGGCTCTGACGCTCACGAATCGTAATCGATGGTCTCAAGAATGCGTTTGGATTCGGCCTGAGTATGTAAGAATTCCTGCTACGCAAAGCCTCAAAGGTCGCGATGCAAGTCTGCAGCTCCGTACATCTAAGATATGTCGGAGACGGGATCAACTCAATAATCGCATTGATGATGGCTCTGCTTTCATAGCTTGGCTTTGTTGGGTTCACTTTGCGGCAGTCCTTTGAACCAGCCCATGAGAGCAGGATTCGTCTCAGTGTACATATGCTTGGTCTCGACGTCTGCAAGAGGATGAGTAGAATAGCAGGGAGAAAATGAGCTTCCATGCATGCTGCATCACCCTCTCAAAGTCTTCGATCGGGGGGCACGCTAAACGGGCACAACACGTGTTCAGCACTGCCGCGCCACAAGCATGCACACTCACACTCTTCGATACCTGCCAAACCGAGCTCTCGACCATTGCCGCTCATACCAAAGCCGCCCCACTCTGCTCTGGGCGTGTAAGCTCCGTACGTGTTCGTCCACACTGTGCCGTGCCTCAAGCGTCGGGCCACTCTGGAAGCTTTGGCAGCGTCGCCCGATTGCACTCCTCCTCCCAGACCGTACTTTGTGTCGTTCGCCAAAAAGATCTGCGAATTTGAGCAAGGCGAGGCGAACAGGTCCGATCAGCGAGTTGGGGAAGCGAGGGATAAGCGCCAGGAGACAACGTCACGAGGGAATGCAGGCGAGCCACGAGCTGTTGTCAGCTTTGCAAACTCACTGCTCTCTCCTCATCGCCGTTCGCAAACCTCTCGACGGTTAGGATGGGACCAAAAGTTTCGGCCTGCACAATCTGCATGTCCCGATGGCACTTATCAAAGACAGTGGGCAGAAAGAAGAAGCCATCCTTGTGCAAATGACGGTACCTCTCATCATTCCTATCAGGTTTGCTTCCTCCGCATCTCAGAACAGCTCCGTCCTTTTTGCCCATCGCAATGTATTGATCCATTTTTGCTAGATGCGCTGCACTGACCAAGGGACCCGTCTCGGATGATGGATCCAATCCATTCCCTAGACGGATTTGGGATGCGCGCTCCACTACACCCGAGACAACGGCGTCGGCTATAGACTCTTCGACGATCAGTCTCGTGGCTGAAGTGCAAACTTGGCCAGAATGCAGAAAGACGGAAGTGAGGACAGTATCAATGGCCCTGTCTAGCGGTGTATCTGCAAAGACGACTTGTGGATCTGATTGGAAGGAGACGAGACAGTGTCAGCGCACTATGCTCAACGCGTACGTACGCTGGCCCTTTATGAGACCAAGACAACACTTTCCATTTGGGGATTTTGTTTGAACTCACTCTTGCCTCCAAGCTCTACGCATGTGCGTTTGACAGTACCAGCAGCACTCTTGAGTATCGACCTGCCAGTGTTGAGTCCACCAGTAAAGCTGACCAGATCCACATCCTCCGATTCCGTAAGCGTGGGACCCACACTCTCGCCGCCGGCGGTGAGCAGTTGCAAAGCTTTTGGAGGTACGCCAGCCTCGAGCATCAGCTTGACCAGCTCGATCGTCACAAGGGGTGTGACCTCGGAAGGTTTGATGATGCAGGCATTGCCCGCTGCTAGGGCTGGCGCCAATTTCCAGCAAATTTGCAGGAGCGGGTCTGAGTAGCCGCAAGATGCCTGTGTGAGCGGCATCGCCTTGGAAAAGCCCGGCTCGAAGAGCAGAAGCGCGCTGCCGCCTTCCTGATACTCACAGTTCCATGGTGCAATGAGCACGCACACCCCAACGGGATCCTTTACAGTGATGCTCTCCACGCTGTCGGGTACATCATGCCCCGTTATCCGTCTAGGTATGTCCAACTTTGGAGCTTCCTCCGCGTAGAACCTAAAAACGTTGGTCACATCATCTACATCCGTCTCGCTCTCCGCCAAAGTCTTTCCCGTATCTTTCGTCTCGATCTCGGACAGTCTCTTCTTGTCCCTCTGGAGCAGATCAGCGATCTTGCTCAGCAGACCTGCACGTTCGGAGAACGTGAGATGGGCAAACGAAGACGTCTTGAAGAAGTGCGAGGAGGAAGAAATGGCGAGGGATGCGTCGGATGGGGATGCTTCGCTCACGTGCGTGATGATGGACCCATCCCACGGATTGATGCTGGGTCTGCTTCGACCATCAGAGCTGAAGCGCCATTGCCCATCGATGAACAGAGTGGGCTGATCCGCTTTGCGAGTGGTAATGGACGCCATGCTGAGCTTCGGTGAGGTGCGCAGGGTGCGAAGATGCGCGACGAAAGGATTGGCTCGCGACTGCGCAGCTCTGGTGGTTGGAATGGGAAGGGCGCGGGCAGTGAGCTGCGAAGAGTAGGACAATGGCCGAGCTGGGGGTCGAGTAGGAGCGACTGGACGCAGCACAGCTAAGATGCTGTCGCTGCGACTTGCTTTTGGTCTGAAGATCTTGGACGAGACTGTGAGAAGGCTGACCATCTATCCGTAGATGGGTACACGTTTGATGAGAGCTTCTCTGTGCGTAGCCTTTGCTTGCGGATGGTGGTGGTATGAGTGGTGAGAGAAGATCTCACGACGATTTGTCTGCGAGAATGTATGCGGGCCCGTTTCGCAACCAGAAGAGGAGAGAGACTTGCAGCTCAAGCTTTCCGAGTCGAGAATGTGAATGGCGGTGCAGCAGGTGCTCTTCCTTGCCCATCGCATTACAGCCTGATGAATGTGAATCTTGTGAATGCGCCGGGCGAGTGACGGAAATGCGAGCCAATGCGCGCGGTGGCTTGGTTGCCATCCGTGCAGAGCTTAATTGAGCCACACGCGCGAGAGAGAAGAGCCGCGGCATTCGACCTCCACGAGTCAGTTCGAGCCCACGCGTAACCCGCACGCAGGCCCCATGGCAGCCTCAGCATCAGCATCAGCAGCCATCATCTTCAACGTCCTGCTAAGATCTCTGCGCACACAACGAATTGCGAATTCGGCATACAAGGCTGTAGCGAAGCAAGCGCAAGACAGATGCAGAATTAGCCGCGCTGTTGGCGACGACGATACGGTCATGCTGCTACTGCTAGATTGGGACGAGACGTTGACATGCCACGATACGCTCTCCCTCATCGCACCACCCGAAGGCTCTCAACCGCACGGCGCAGCATTTTCGACCTACTCTTCCGCCTACTCTGCGGATCTCGCAGCATACAAATCGCAGCATGCCGAGCCGTGCACGTTGGACGAGCAGCTGAAGTGGCTGGACGGTCTGGATGAGGTGGAGCTGAAGAGTCAAGAGAGGATCGAACAGGGTGGACTGTTTAGAGGCGCACTGGAGTCTGATCTGCTGCAAAGAGCAACTCGGGTGCAGCTTAGAAGAGGTGTGGATAAGCTAGCGCAATGGGCGCAGAGCGACGGACACGAGTCAGAGGTGCACATCATCAGCGTAGGGTGAGGCAAGAGCATGAGCATGTGCATGTGCATACGAGTCAAAAGAGTCGCTCCAGACTTGACTGCACACGAGCGCTCGTCACAAACATCACAAGCACGTCGTTAGTCTGGAGTTGCTGACGATGCATCTTATGCTGCCGCTCTTAATCGCACATTCGTCCATCTTTACCGGTCCAGATGGTCAGCCCGCTTCATCGAAGGCAGCCTAAAACACCACCTCTCCTGGGTGCCCAATAGCATCCACGCCAACGAAGTCGAGCTAAACTCTCAAGGCATAGGCACTGGTCGGCTCACCAAATCGGCCTCCGTCACCTCCTCATCCGGCGGTATTCGAACATCGACGCACAAAGCAGCCGAAGCGGCCTCGATCGATTTGCAAGCTCGCAAAGAGAGGGCTTTGAAAGGATTGACGGTGTATGCTGGGGATAGCGGTACGGATCTGAATGCCCTTTTGAGTGCGGATCTGGGCATCGTCATGGGAGAGGCAAAGGGACTCAAGGAGATATTGAACAGGATTGAGCAGCCGGATTGGTTGATTGAGATGAACGCGTGGTTGGAGGAGAGGAGGAGTGGGAGGAGACGAGCTAGAGATCATACACTCGTCAGAGTCGACGATTGGCTGGAGGCGGTGCAAGTGCTTCAAGAGCTGCATCAATAGCAATCGAGAATTCCATTCACGAATTGTAAGAGAATGGATCGTCGAGTGTATGATGTCACGACTAAAAATGCATGGAGGGAGACTGCAGCGAATTTGGAAAAGGGGTATGCTGAAGGCTCTGTCCTTGTAATCTTGAGCAGCGCCATCGAAAAGCTATTGCGGCATTGGGAGCAAATGTACATCGAGGCTTTGGGATTCGACGCATTGACCAGCAAAGCACGAAGGCGCGATCTGTCATCGAACCCCACCCAAGCCTCGTCGTCGTTCTTCCAAAAACGGAGAAAACTTGATCACCGCTCGAGTATGACGGCCGGGAAGATCATTGACCAGTATGGAAATGCAACCTCCCAAGGGAAGTCCGCATTCCCGGTCCCGATCCATCCCACCTGTAGAGGAAGGATACGTACATCAACACCCGGTGCTTTTTGATCGAGCGGGTTCCATCTCCTTTGTCTGGAGACTAAGCGTTAAGGAGAGGAGGAGAAAGGTGCCGACCGCATGCGCACCAATTTCGATCGAGTATGCGCGCTACGCTGTACGCCTCTGCTTTCTGCGCTGCAAAAAAAAAAAAATCATCAAGCGCCGTGGCCGCGGGACGAGGTTCTTTCGTGCGAGTCGAATTAAAAGCTCCCTTATTGCGAGGTTAGCGCCCACTGGATTACAATCTTGGATTGCGAATCGTTAATTCTTGGTTACACTCGTAAGTAATTGATCAGAGCCTCGCGTTGAGCGGCGCACATGTGCAACACGCGTCAAAAACAAGCTAACAGCAGTCGTGAGTCAGAGTCGTGAGTGTGCGTGAGGCGCCCCTGCTCGTGGGAGCTAGGCGGCCCGACGAAACGTGACGCTCGAACGGCTGCACCGCACGTACACTGCACCTGCACCGCCGCGTAGGGCCTGTTCTGAATCCAACACTCGATCGGAACTGTGAATGGCGAACGGCGAATGACTCACGATCTCTGTGGCTCGCGACTCGACTTGTTGTCACGATCCTCATTCTCCGCTGTCTAAGCAGCGCCTCCTGATTGCTCCATCATTGTGGCTACGAGGACTGCTCAGCCTGCAGAGCTGCAAATCCCTCGGTATCGTACTCTTGACGCTGAATCACTGCCCGCGAGCTTAGCTGCTAGCAGCAACACTAGATCCTTCCATCTACGCAAGCGTTTCCACCTCCTGACTCCACTCGAGTCGCTGCTCAGCTCTTGAGGATCATCATCACGCCTCAACTCATCGCCATGTCGTCATACGGCGATGCAGGCCCCAGCTATCGTAGCACCGATCGAGCGCCATCCCCGTACGATCCAGGTGCACCTGCACCTGCCTCTTCATTATCCGTCATCCCACCCAGGGCGCCAAAGAAGGCTGGACTTCCCAAGCTTTCATTGGCAGCACCTCGTGAGTCATGCTGATTGTTAAAAATTCTCTAGAACAGATGCCGCAGTCTTTGGCACTTTGCTTATCCGACTGCCTACCCGTCGCGCAGGCCCAGCCGCAAGCAAAAATGGCGGCGCTGCTTCGAATGGTGGAGGTCTGGGAGGTCTGACATTGTCCATTCCCACCTCGAACGGCTTATCGAGCTTGTCCAGTCATGCCCCGGAAGAGGAGGATGAAGCTCGAATGGGCTTGCCTCCGTTCTTGGATACGGAAGATGGATTGGCGCCCGGCTCGTACAGCACAGCAGCTCTGCAGACCATCTACCCAACCACTGTTCCTCATGCCGAGAATTCTGCAGCGCTGACCAACGATCTGATCAGAGCAATAGGGGGCGTCTCTCTAGACGCGACCCAGGGCAGCTCGAGCGGTGCGCCTAGCGGGACAGATGGTAGGGAAGTCATCGGTGCTGCACCTCACTCCTCATCAGGCTTAGCGATTCCGGTATCGGGCAGCTCAAGACCAGCACATCACCGTACCGCCAGCGCGACGAGCGTGACTAGTCAAACGAGCAGTAGTGGTTGCGTGACAGCTCCGGGCATCGACGGCAGCGAGCCCGCAGAGTGGGTGTTGAAGGGCAATCTTGTCGTCACTGGAAGGTTGGGTGAAGGCGCGAGCGGACAAGTCAGCAAGGCGCGTCACACGCCCACAGGTCTAGTCATGGCTATCAAGGTGAGTCCTTGGCTTCATCCTAGCACGTGTATTTTGATGCTCAATGCATATCTCGCCTCTTCGATTCTCGACAGACGATCAGCACGTCTCCAAATCCTGCGATTCATCGACAAATTCTTCGAGAACTGTCATTCAATCGTACATGCCATTCCGAGCATATTGTCCGCTACTATGGCGCTTTCTTGTCGGATGAGGATACGAGCATCGTCATTTGCATGGAGCAGTGCGAAGCCGGAAGCTTGGATGGCATATACAAGATGGTCAAGAAGAGGAACGGTCGGACAGGCGAGAAGGTGCTGGGCAAGGTCGCGGAAGCTGGACTGAAGGGCTTGGAGTATTTGAGGCAGCGCAAAATCATCCATAGAGGTAAGGCCGAGCCATTTAACACAGTGGGTTGATGTCCAGTGCGCTTACCGGCCGATTCCGCTCGACTTTCTTGCAGACATCAAGCCGTCCAACATCCTCGTCACGCGTAGTGGCCAGTTCAAATTGTGCGACTTTGGTGTGTCTGGAGAGCTGATCAACTCGATCGCAGGCACTTTTACGGGTACAAGCTATTACATGGCAGTGAGTGGTGCGGTCGTCTCAGACTGATCGCTTTTGCTTCTAGTTGACTGACGAGCCGAATACTTGGACCCCCTTGAGCCTGAGCGCATCAAAGGTTTGCCGTACAGCATCAACTCCGATGTGTGGTCCCTAGGCTTGACCATACTTGAAGTGGCTTCCAACCGCTTCCCTTTTCCTCCAGAAGGCGAAGCGCCGCTGGGTCCCATCGATCTGCTATCGTACGTGCTCAGCATGGCAACGCCAGAGCTACAAGATGACGAGGTGGCCGGAATCAAGTGGAGCAAAGCTTTGAAAGACTTTATCGATAGGTGTTTGGAAAAGGATTCTGCGAAGCGTCCAGGACCCAACAAGATGCTGGGACACCCTTTCATCAAGAAGAGCGAGAGCAGGCAACCTCAGCCAGACATTGCGAAGTTCGTCGCTGATGTTTGGGGCTGGCCCTATCCTCCTGCAGCTTCAGCGAGCGCAGCAGAAGGTGACACTTTCACTCCGACGGCTACAAATGCGAGCGGGAAGACAGCTGCGCCGTCCTCGGCCACAGCTGTGGCTGCCGCTTTTGCTCGATTGCCCAGCGTCAGGCGTGCACCTGGTGCACCGAGCAACCTTTCCCTCAAAACTGCGCCCAATCCGCCTCAATCACCGAGAGGTACAGTTCCAAATACACCCACGGTCACTGCCTCTACACCTGTAGCCATCGTGGACCCAGAAGGTAGAACGGCGGAGGAGAGAGCCGCTGCAAAGATGAGGGAAGCGGACGTAGGTCTTGTAGGTAGCCCAACTTCTGAATCCGCATTTCCTTGATTGGAGGCGCTCTCCGACGTGTGCGGGGGGCGCCTCTGTCTACTCCATCATCTGCAATTTGCAAGTCGTGAGCCTGTGCACCTTGTTTGGGTCGTGTGAAAGTGGCAGTGCGCGGCCTCCGTTCTGTCTGTGACCAGCCGACGGCAAAGCGTTGTACTCCTTGCGATCGTGCACTTGTCCAAGAGCCATGTCACTTGCGGTCGAGGGAAACGATGGCCAATGTTCACACGTCACGCGAAGAACCAGAACGACGGCCGTCACGATGAGACCTCACATTGCTGGTGAGATTGCGGGAGAGCGGGCGTGATGGTACATTGAAGGAGGGGACGAGGGCGAATGACGAGAGATGAGTGTGGGATGAAGAATTTGTGCAGAGACGGGGGCGAGTCTGTGTGTGGAGATGTTGCACTCTGGTGTTTAGGGACTGTGGCGCACGACTTGTTGGTGATGGCTACGAGTCGTTCGAGGATGGGCTTGAAGCGCAAGAAAGGCATCCATCCACGCCTCTTGTAGTCGGCTGACTGGTTGATATGGCGCCCATCGGTGCTCGACGACTAAAGACCCCATCATACTCGCCCTCCGAGCCTATGCAGTACCCTGCACTTCTGTGTCGTGATTACTGAAGAGTATTGATGGGAAGTGCGCATCATCCCTTCTTGTCCATGTGCGCCAGAGCTAGCAATGACCGCCAAGTTGCTCCACCATGGCGTCGATCTCATCTTGGTCCTCGATCTCGAGCTGGATGAGGCAAGAGCAGAGCGCAAGGAGCATCAAGTCAGCAAATAGCTCGGACGCGGTGGCGAGGAAAGCGCAATGTCGCAGCCCTATCGAGATGACAGACTGTCGCGGCAATGGAGGGGCAAGTGGGATGTATGCGCCACAGTCCATACCTGGTGGCGCTTCTTTGCCCTTCCCTCCGTCTGAGAGCGGTGAAGCTCCCTGTGCACCCAACTCGCTGACGACGGATGCTAGGCATAAATCATAGCTCTCTATGGCTCTTACACTCACGGACTCGGCAGTGTCATCATCCTGGACACGTTGTCCATCAAAAATGAAACGGACAGTGTTCTCTGGCTTGCCCATACGATCGGCATAGGCACGACGAAGTTTGCCCAACTTGGTGTTGCGCTTCACCTTGAAAAAGACCTCGTTGCCATCTCCATCCTTCACCTTGATGTTCAGCTGCTCACCGCCCTCGGGCTTGGGTGCGGGCGCTTCGTTGTCTGACATGGCCATGTGTTCAGATTTGGGTGTGAGTGGGCGTGATTTTGGTTTTGGGTTGGTGAGACTTTGGCACAGTAGCGTGGATGATGACCAGCGCACAGGTGTGAGCGCCAATCGAGGGAGTTTCGCTTGGATGGGTGAGAATGTGAAGCTTGGAGATGGTAGTCGAGAGAAGAGGAAATCTTGGTTTACGTCTCAGATGAGTGTGAGCGAGAATGTTCCTCCACGCAGGCACTCACACTCATCAGACGGAGCAAACACAGCGGGCTCCCCACCTGTACAGCTCCGACCAAAGCGAATGAGTTGCACCGCTGATGATGAGCTTGCGCGCGTCACGCACCGTGCTTTCTCCACTGACCAGCCAAGACTGTCTGAGACTCACGACTCAGACTAATGACTCGCGCTCAGCTGATCGCCATGCACTATTCACGCTTATACACACCAGTCAATCTTGACTTTTATTGCATCATCATCAGCGAACGCGTGTACCGGTATAGCCAGTATACGGCAGCATCGACTCGCGAATTCGTCTGCTGTAGATGAACGACGCGTCTTCGCCACTCACCGCGGCAGCAGAAGCCTCGCGATCATCACAACACAAGCTTCCGCGCGCGCGTGATGCATCTCCCTCACTTTCAAGCTCAAGCAAGGATCACGACAAGCGTCTTTCAGCCTGCCTGCTGAGCATCAGCTGACCAAACACGAATCCTGAATGCAAGGCGACGTGCTGAGTCACAGTCGTGAATCAAAATCTTGATGAAGAGCTCTGATCTCTCCGCTCAGAGTCTCGGTGATGACCTTGGCATCTGATGAGTCTCCGCGTGCCGATCATGGAATCAAGAATCTTGAGTGGCGCCCCCGTTGACGTCACGTGAGAGAATCTGCCACGTGGGAGACTTTGAAGGCAGCTCCACTTGCGTGCACCGCCGGTCGTCGCGGTCTCATCAGAAATTCCTTTGAAGGTGCGTGATGCGTGCGCGGATCGCTGCTGACAATAGCGCGGGTGGGTGATAGAAGCTGTTCTTGCGCTTTGCCATCTCAAGGAAGCATCCGAGATCGTGGTCCACCTTCCGGCGCACATTAAGCCCACTCATTCCTTCTAGACGCATCCCCTGCCCTGCCCAGTCGTAGCTGCTGATCGTAGCAACACAAGCGACTGAGCCTAGCTACTGCTCGCGACTCTTTGCTCACCCTTGCGCTCCTTGCGAACGGTCTGAGAGGTCGCCACGGAGTGCTTCCACACGAGTCGAGCTTACGATCCCTTCTTGTGAAGTGAGACAGTAGACATCGACCAACGATGGCCCCAGCCAACTCCGCGCAACAAGCTGGCGAAGCTGCTTCTCGAGCTGCCCAACGTGCAGGCGACAATGCTCAGCGCGGCGCCAACTCTATTTCTCGGTGGGTGGAAGAGAATAGAGCGCTCGCGATCACGTTGGGAGTGAGCACGCTCGCCGTGGGCGGCGCTGGAGTCTATTACCTCCTTTCTGGGCCGCGAAGGCCGCCTGGAGGAGGCGAGGAGCAAGGTGGAAAGGGCGAAAAGGCCACTTCAGGCGCGGCGAAAAAGAAAAAGAAAAGCAAAGCAAAGAAGGCGTCGGCGGTGGACCGAGAGGACGGTCCACTGTTAGATGAGGCCTCAGACGGTGAGTCAAGAGCATCAGCAATGTCGTGCTGCCTAGCATCGGCTGGATCGCCAGAGCTGGCTATGTGCAATGCAGAGCGGCCTGCTCATCCTTGTCCGCGCTTTTTCGGCGCATCACAGAGGATTTGTTCGCATTATCCGTAGAGGAGATCAAGCGATTGCCGGAAGAGGTGAGAGCACAAATTTGGTGCACGCCATCGCCACACATGCGCTGATTGCTGAAGCCTCTCCTGCTTCAACAGCGCCGAAAAGACCTTGCGCAGAAGCTAAAGGTCGCTGGAAACAAGGCCTACTCGCAGAGAGAGTTTGAGAGCGCTATTGGACACTACACCAAGGCGATTGCCGCGGCACCTCAAGCCGTGTTTTTCAGCAATCGAGCTGCGTGCTATTCCAATCTCGGACGGCCAGCAGATGTCATTCCCGACTGCAATGAGGCGCTCAAGCTCGACACCACATACGTCAAGGCGCTCAACAGGAGGGCTCTCGCTCAAGAACAGCTTGGTGGAGCCGCATCCGCAGAAGGCGAAGAGGGCGAGGCCGCTCGAGGCATGCTGTTCAAGAGCCTGGTCGACTTCACAGCGGTCGGTATTCTTGGGCGCTTCTCGGATCAGAGCGCTGTCGACTCGGTGGAGCGAGTGCTCAAGACCATCGCTTCTAGCAAAGCAAAGGAGATTTTGAGAACGAGAGAACCAAAACTTCCCTCTCCCACTTTCGTCACTGCTTACCTTGAAGCATTCCGACCAAAGCCTCGCCCAGCGCTACCTGCTGCCCCGAGCAGGGCTGACAACCAGCTGATGCTGGCATATGACGCTATCGACGCTCGCAACTACCCCCACGCTCTTTCGCTGCTCAACGAATCGCTAATCGAAGATGACCCACAACACAAGCTCAGCACCGAAGAGCTGGAGGCCATGGCTTTGAACATGCGCGGAACATTCAAATTTGTCATTGGTGATGCGGCGGGAGCGCTCGAGGACCTCGAAAGGAGCACCTCTTTGAGACCTGATCACGCGCAGACGTGGGTCAAGAAGGCCTCCGTGCACATGGAGCTGTCGGACAAGGACGCAGCCTTCAACGACTTTGAGGTGGCAATTCGTGCAGATGCAAAGGATCCGGACATCTACTATCATCGTGGCCAAGTGCATTTCATCTTGGGCGAATATACAGAGGCAATCAAGGACTATCAAAAGTCCACTCAGCTGGACGACAAATTCATCTTCAGCCAAGTCCAGCACGCTGTTGCGTTGTACAAGAGCAACTCGACAGACGCGTCCATGCGCGAGTTCAATAAGTTGCTCAAAGTATTCAACGGGTCTAGCGAGGCCCACAACTACTACGGAGAGCTGTTATTGGATCAGCAGAAGTTCGAGGCGGCAGTCGCGCAGTTCGATAGGGCGATTGCCATTGAGCAGGACAAGGAGCGTAGCTCGAACGTGCTGCCCATGATCAACAAGGCGTTGGCGTTGTTCCAATGGCAGCAGGATATGCCCACTGCTGAGCGTTTGTGCAGGCAAGCTTTGGAAAAGGATCCTGATTGCGACACCGCCATTGCCACATTGGCGCAATTGAGCTTGCAGCAAGGCAAGATCACAGATGCGATTGGCTTCTTTGAGAGGTCTGCCAAGATTGCGAGGACTTACCAGGAGCTTGAAAATGCGATCACATAGTGAGTAAGACTGCGTGCCTTTGACCCGTTTAGTCAATCTATCGAAGTTGCTGAAGCTGACGACGGCATTCGCCCAAATTTGCAGCGAGAACGCTTCGCGCGCACAATTGCAATTTATAAAGGACTATCCGGAGCAGGGTAAAGAACTGACGCAACTTGCTCAGCTTGTATAGGCTTAAAGGAGCAACCATGTGGCGGTAGCGCATGTGATAATGGCACGGAACGATGCAACGCAATTCATTCACCCCTTTTAGCGGATTCTGCGAGCGAGCCTTTGAGTCGTTCTCCTGGGGATGCTTGAGCACAAACTCTCGATTCGTGATCCTTGAGACTCTGTTGTGTCTCCGAGCTCTTCGTGTGTGGTACCCAACATGCAATTCGTGACACTACTACTGCTGAGAACCTCGGATGGTCATTTGCCGTTGTTCGGTCCACGCAAGAAGCCAAGGTACATACTGCCGTGCATGGTGCGGTGCGCGCGGGAGGCGCTACAGAACTCTCCCGCAATTTGCGCTTGGGCCTTGCGATTCGCCGTGGTGCTTCTGCAGGTCGGGCGATCCGAAGTCTCTTCGAGGGGCTTCAGCCCTTCTGTGCCTGTGCGCACCCATTACTACTTGTGACACAATACGGTCCAGCGTACGTGCGAGGCAAACGAAACGACTCTCGATTTCATCGTGAGATGCCTAACCCTGATGTTGTGATTTCGGCGTGATAGTAGAGAGCCCAAATGCCGAAGCTTGCGATTGTTGACTGAGAGACGCTCAACAAGCCATGCTCGAACTCAGTGGTTAGGCTCTGGCCGCAGCTGCATGGCCAAAGTCTTGAGGGCCGCGATGCCACCTTCGATACCAACTCGATTCTGAGTCACGGTCACGAGTGACACGATCACAAGATGGTCAAGCGCGGGCGGCTGCCACATGGCACATAGAAGGTGCATGCCAGCCTGGCTTGGATGAAGGCGCTGCCCAAATGCGTCACAAGATTGTCGGATTGGAGGAATTGAGTGGCCCAAGACGAGTCATGGGATCAGATTCACGATTTCATCAGACGTGGAGCCCCAGAAACCACGATGGCCCTTTCACACTCCTTTGGACTTCCACGCAAGCACGACGTGCATTCGAGTGGGGTCGGCCTGCACGTGAGGTGCACAAATGTTCCTATACGCTGCCAGGCCAGCAGAGCGCGCCTGCGGGGCAAACGCAGCTCACAATCAATAACTCTGCTCGAGTACCGGCCTTGATTGGCGCATGAATCTCGACTTGACAACCTCTCGACGCGACCAGTCATGCTCGAGTGAGTATGCCAGTCTCGTTGTTCAGATTGGACCGCTGATGCAGTGTCGCTCTTTTCCGCACGTAGCCGCACTTGCCTCCGCAGGTCGAATGCCGCTCGCACGTCACAACGGAGCATGGCTGGCTGGCTGGCTGCTGCAAAGCACTCGATTCTTCGTTTGCCCTTCTCTGCGGGTGGAAGAAAGCACCTCGATATAACCACACGCGCGCACGCACGCACGCACAGTGTGAGCGCTGCTTTGCGGCGCGGCGATTGATTGGCCAACGCCGATCGTACAGCTTGATCGCCCGATCGTGGGCACAGAGGGAGTGTGTGTGTGAGAGAGAGAGCCGGGAGTCGTTTATACTTGTCTCTCGAATCTCTGGCGACTGTGAGCACGGGCACACGTTCACGTACCTGTACCTGATCGCGAGTCACGGAGTAGTGGTAGGCAAAGCGGTGCGTGGAGTCAAACGAGTCACCGCAGTCGTCGTGAGTGTGAGTCTGTGACATGCTTTCAAACGATTTCATTGTTTTTTCCAATGCGCGGGGAATCAACGGCTAGCTAGCTGCCCGTCATGGGCAAGCCGTTGCAGTCGAGAAGGCTGCACCTTGTGCTCGTCGTGTCTTTTGGCCCTCCGAAAATGGGATGCGCGGGCGGAGGGGAGGATGGTGCCGCCAGCCAGCAAGAGCGCAGAGGGGCCGGCCGTACCTCCAGGCGAGGGTCCGTCTGCATGAAGCACGAGGCTAGCGAAGGGGGAGCGGATTTTTGTTTTCTTACGCTTCCGCCGCAGGCAAGCAGCAGACCTAAGTCGTGAGTGCATGAGCGGCACTCGTGACCGCTCGACTTGCCCCATGCGATTCGTCCGTCTCGACGCTGAATTTTCGCCATGCGTGACTTTTGACTCCGCTGCGATGACGAAAGCCTGATCCCAGCCATGGGCCCGCTTCTAGACTCGCGAACTGCTTGCCCCGCATTCTCCTCTTTCTGCAAGGTTGGTCCGTTTTGGACGACCGACACTGCTCCAACGCCCGAAGCGGCTCCAGGCCCCTCGCAAAGAGGGGCACTGACCGGACGCATAAGCGGCACCACTCAGCAGGCCAAGACATAAACGGACAGCTGAAAGCAAAGTCACGAACGCTGACCGAAGCAAGCAGCAGCGCGCGCACAACTTGATTCGACCCAGCTGCGCCGCCAATCCAACGCTTGCGGCAGGGCGAGACCAGCTTGTCCGGCCAAAGGGCAAACAATCGACGTTTCCTGTCGCATCCACTGCCAAAGTGCCTTTGCCAGAAATTGCTGCCGCGTCTTTTCTGCACGCAACCTTTCTAGCGCACGCTTTGACGTCCGACCAAGCAGCTGAGACACGCTTTGTGCACTCTCTGCGCAACTGCTGCTGGCTTGATCGACCCGCCGCTGCTGCTGCATTCTGCCCCCGCGCCTTGGCTGGAGGAAAACGCAAACCCCATCTTTGCTCCTTCCTCTGCCGCTGGTACCGTGAGTATACAGAAATCCCCCCCCCGCGTGCATTCGCAGCGCTCATTTCCCCACCTATTCCCGCGCTCGTCTTCTTCGCGTACCCCGCCCCCATTCATCACCCTCACCCTCACCCTCACCCTCACCCTCACCACTCCCCCCTTTCCCTTTCCTTTCGGTCCCTTCGATCTGCACATTGGAGCGGCCTCTGTGCAACGACGGTCAGTTGGAGCTTGTCGTCTGCAATCGTCGTAGGTCTTGGCTGCTTTCCGGCACATCGCTGCCTCGACGTCCACCCCTTCACTTTGCTCCAGTCGCGACATCCATCACACAAAGCATCAAGCTCCAGAGTCGGGTCATTCGTACTTGAGGGGAGCATTACGGCGCCAAGATGGCCGACGACGCAGCGTCGTACGGTTCGCGGGGCGGCCTGGTGAACCGCCGCGGCGGTCGCGCCAGTGGCGACACCTCTCGCTCGAACCAACAAATGTATCAGCCTGGTCAACCTATCGGTTACCTTGCTGCCAGAGGTACCCCATACGAGAAAAAGTACTTTACCAAGAAGCTCGGGTTCTGCTGCTTGTTCCTTGCGCCCCCTATCATTATCGTTTCGCTCGTCATTGCTCTCGTCCCCGTCATCTGGGCCGTTGCCGTTCACGCTTTGAAGACTGCTCAATTGCACGTCTATGCTGCGAACATTACGGACATTTCCAACACTAGTTTCCCCATCACGATCGAGGGTCAGGTGAGTATCAGGTCAAAGACGCGTAGCTCTCCACGTCGCCACGACCAGTCTTTTACTTATCGCCTTTCGCGCTGCACCTTTACGTCCACAGGTCAAGAAAGCTGGTATCTTCCCTGCCCACCTGTTTTTCCGTGAGCCCGTCGACATCTACTGGATGACTCCTCCCGAGGATGAGGGCGGCAGGCGAGAGCTTCATCTCGGTAGCATGGAATTGGCTCGTATCGGCGCTGCAGCTGGTCACGCTCGCGTCAAGCAGGTGAGTACAGAATCTCGCATCCAAGTTCTGACGGTCTCAATCGCTCATACATGCGCCCCTTTCAGGCGACCACGTTCAACATTGCCGACGAAGCTGGTTTCGGGCGCTTCTCCGAGTACCTTGTCACTCAAGAGGAGTTCACCTGGCAGCTGCGCTGCTTGAACGTTCATGCCGAAGCTTTCAGCTTCTTCCCCACGTTCAAGAACTTGCAGTTCATCAAGAATGTTGTGTTCAAGGGTATCAACAACTTCGGTGATATCAAGATCTTGGTGAGTGCTCGACACGAATTGGCTACCGTCTCGATCAGCTCCTTGCTGACATGCGCCTATCTCTCACTTTCGCCGTTAGAACTTGCAACTTCCTGGCGATGACCCTGAAGGTGGTATCATCACGCAAGCGACAACTCGCTTGGTGAACCCATCGCCTTTCGGTGTGCAGGTTGGCACGCTCAATTTGGCGTTGTACTACAAGGGAATGTACCTCGGTCCTGTCGCAGCCCAAGGTCTCAACCTGACTGCTGGTGAGAACATCGTCACCATCAGTGGTCGCCTGGTGCCTCACGCCGACAACTCTACCGAGCTAGACCTTCTGGGAGAGTTGTTCACCAATTACATCAACGGTGACGTGTCGCCCGTCACCGCTGTCGGTGTCTCTACCCAGCAGGCTGATGGACGCGAGATCAGCTGGTTGAGTCAAGGTTTGAAGGCACTTCGGGCCAACATTCCTTTCCAATCGCCAGAGCCGATCGATCCCATCAAGGGCATCCAGATTGACTACTTGTCATTGGTGTACAACCAAGAGCGTCCCTTCAATCCTGACATCTTCTCGAACGATCTTACCGGAACGTTTGCATTGCCGTTCGGCTTCTCGCTCAACATTCTCTCTCTCGCCGCTGAGCTCAACATCCTCTACCGTGGTGCACCAGTGGGAACTGTTTACGGTCCTTACTCAAACTCTTCCACGGACATCACCGTCTTGAACGCTGGTCAGACCGCTGGTACCATCGACATCACCCTGCCGCCATCTCAGCTTTTCCTGCCCAACAACACGCAGGCCGCTCAGCAGCAACTGATCGAGTTCCAAAATGAATTCACTTACAGCGACGAAGCTTCGTTCACGACGAGAGGCTCTGCCAAGACCATCACCGATACGCCTCTCGGTCGAGTGCTTCTCAACGGCATCAAGTTCAACGTCACCACCGGCCTGCGCGGTCTCTCTGGCCTGCTCAAGTACCCAACCATCATCAACTCTGTCGATGTCATGGGCGGTGCTCCCGACGCAGTCTCTCTTGCTGTCGCGCTGACCACGGTCAACCCCTCCAACCTGAACCTTACCGTGGGCGACGCAACTTTCCAGCTTATGAACGGTGTGGCGCTCGGCAATGCCACCTTGCCGAACTTGAACTTGAAGATCGGCCGCAACGATATCAACTCGACTTCCTTCTTCGACCCCAACCGTGACCCCAAGGGTCTCGAGACGTTGAACAGGTTCATTTCCGGACTTGACACGAATCTGAACATTACCGGTTTCGATCGATCTTCTAACATTGCGTCCTTGAATCCTACCTTTGGTGCCATTCACCTCAATGCCACCTTGCCGGGTCTCAAGAGGACGCTCGTCCAAAGTGCAAACCTGACGGTCCTTGACAGCACGGGTACGGTCGATGACATTGCCAATTCCAATGTTGCGCTCGCCAATCCTTTCACCAGCCCCTTGACTATCAGCCGCATCGCTGCCAACGCGTCGGCGCACGGTGTCTACTTGGCCAACATTGACACGCCACTGCAATTCCCTGCGGCTGGCAAGGCGACTACGATGTCTCCAAACATTCCTCTCGCTGTCAACCTGTACCCTCCCGACCTGTTTGCTATTCTGCGAGCATTCGCCGTCGACGGCAATCTCAACCCGGCCTACATCGACGGAATCGTACAGCTCGGTGGCTTTACGCTCACGCCGACCACTGCTCCCCGTCAGATCAAGCGAGACCTCGTGGAAGACGCAGCTCCACAGGAGTCTTTCGTTCTCGAGGACGATGATGAGATGGCGCAGCTGTTCATGGGCACCTCGGCCAACCCAGGCCCTGCTCTGAGTGAGCTGAACGAGGACGAGGGATACGCTGAGGAGTTTAACGGCGAGGAGATCGGCAGCGTTGCGAAGCGCGCTCTCCCACTGCCTCAAGCGGGCATGGCCAAGCGCGACAATTTGTACACTGGCTTCAACCTCGCCAACTACGTGCTTGATGCGTTCCGCACCGCAACTGCCGACCTCACCATCGTATCTGATGCGACCATCGGCGACTACGGCACCACCCTCACCTTCTCGCAGAACAACGTTCCTCTGGGTGTTGACGACACGCTTCTCAAGCTTCTCCCCGTGCTGGCTGGTCCTATTGTACAAAAGATCGTCGATGGCTCGATTCTGAACATCGACCGTGTCACCATTACGGAGGCGGCTCCTACCTCCTTCCGCGCCGCACTCCAGGGTGCCTTGACGAACGCCGGTCCATTCGACGGTACCGTCTCTTTCCCAGAAGGTCTCACCATCTACTGGGAAGGTCGACCCCTCACGTCCACTGCGTTCCCTAACATCACCCTCACCGGTGATCTCGGTGCCTCGCTCAACATCGAGCTTGAGGGTCAGATTCCCGACGTCGGCTACTTTACCGACTTCTTGAAGATGGCCATCACGAGCCCATCCTTTGTGTGGAACATCCGTGGTGCTGGTATCTCCGTCGCCGCTCTTGGCATCGTCACTGGCGGTATCACCATCAACAAGGACGTTCAGCTGCGCGGTCTCGAAGGCTTGAGGAACCAAGTCATCATCAACTCCTTCGATGTCCCATACAACGAGCCTGGAGGAGGTATCCACCTGACCGCTGTCAGCACCATCAACAACCCCGCGCAGGTCGGTGTCGCTCTGTCCCAGTTCGGTGTCAACATCTTCCGCAATGGTTCGCTCGTCGGCCCGTCTAGAGCAGAGAGCGCCTTCACCCTGCAAGCGCTCGCCGTCACGACTGTGCCTCTGGTGGGCTCCATTGTTCCCCAAGAAGGCTTCGGTCTGGAAGTGCTGGGAGAGATCCTGACCAACTTTGTTCACGATCGCAACACGGGCTTGAATGTACGAGGAGAATTTGCAGGTCCCTCGGATGTCGTCTGGCTCAACGAAGGCATCAAGGTGCTCGATGTCGAGGTCGCCTTGCCCTCGCAGAAATTCGATGTCATCAGACAAATTTCGATCAACCAGCTCTCCTTGTTCTTTACCGTGGCAACGGCCTGGAACCCGCAATCCGACACGAGCAACACGACGGCAAACTTCTTCCTGCCCTTCAGCTTGCCCATCGACATCAAGACTGTCGAGGGACCCTTCATTGCGAACTACCAAGGTCGCGACTTTGCGGTGCTGAACATTCCTCGCTCGGACTCGCTTACCGACGTCGAGGCACGCATTTTGACATTGATGTTCAACAATGTGCCGTTTGCCGTTTACGACAACGCGCACTCGCTGTTCTCGCAGTTCGTCGCCGATGTCACTGCGCGCGATCTGGTCACTTTCAACTTGCACGGTCAAGCCACTTCGGACACTCTGACAGGAGCTGGTCTTGTCACCATTCGTGACATTCCTTTCAACCTCGACACGAACATTCTTGGTCTGCAGAACCTGAATGCTCGTCCGGCCATCGTCTCGGATCTCGACGTCCAGCGTGGATTCCCCACGTACCTGCTCATCACCGTCGCGGTCACGCTGTTCAACCCATCCGACATCACCATCGGTGCTGGTGATGTTCAATTCGCGACGCTCTTCCAAGACCGTGTCATCGGCCGAGCGCTCATCCAAAACATTCTTTTGGCACCTGGAAACAACACGATCCCCACTCAGATCTTGTACTCGCCTCAAGGTGCAGAGAACGTCCGCGCTGGACAGACGCTGCTGGAGAACTACGTGCAGAACATCACCTCGGACGCCATCGTACAGGGAACCAGCCAGACCACTCCGATCCCATCATTGATCCAGGCCCTGTCTGGCATCAGGCTGACGGCTGCCATCCCGCCGCTCATGAAGCTGATTGTGGTGCAAGCGAGACTGACTGTGCCACGTGGAATCGCTCAAGGCGAGCTTGCTCAGACTTCCGTCATGATCGCCAATCCCTTCACGGCATCCATCAGCATTATCCAGCTGTACGCCCAGGCAGTGTTCCAAGACATCGTGCTCGGTTACATCGACGAGAACCTGCGTGGCAACCCTATCTTCGCACCTGGAAAGGCTACTACCCAGTCGCAAGAAATCCCAATTCACTTGGACTTGGACCCGAAGAACCTCATTCGCTTCATCTTGGCCGCCGCTGCATCGGCAGGCGTCAGTCTCGGTCCTTTGCCGCCCTACCTGGACCGAGTGCTTGCGCTTGACGACACGAGAACGAGCATCGTGCCCGTCCCTGACACGTCCAACCCTCCATGCGTCAGTGGTCGCGCTTTCGACACGCTCGGTGCCGTTCTGGCCGCTCTTCGAGGCCTGGCGACCACGATCAGGATCAGATCGACCGTCAGGATTGACGAGTACCAGACCGACCTCAACTTCGTGCAGTCGCCTGTGCCTACCATCACCGATGAGACGGCATTGTATCTGCTCGGTCCTGCAGGAGCACCGCTCATTCAGCTTATCGTCGACGAGTCCGTGCTTACTGTCAACATCGCAAATGCAACTCGTATCACGAATGACGGATTCTTCACCAGCTTGCAGGGTCGTCTTCAAGCCGACACTCCGGCCGATGCGTACATCGAGTTCCCTGATCCCATCGCCATCGAATGGGAAGGCACCGACATCGCCACCATCTCGCTGCCGCCCATCTGCGCCAGCCCGCCAGATGGTGTGCCTAACCTGGTCAGCGCCGGTCAGCTCACGATCACCAACTACGGTCGCTTCACAGCATTCGCCTCGTTCATTCTGAACAACCCGTCCTTCCAGTGGCGTCTGCACAGTGACACCGTCACGGTTCGCGCTCTTCAGATCCGCTACCAGAACGTCAAGCTCAGCAAGACGATCACACTTGATGCATTCAACGGCCTGCCCGGTATTAGGATCACCGACTTCCAAGCTCCAAGCGACGAAGGTGGTGCCAACCCGCACATCAACATCGAAGCGACGACGCCCATTCCTTCTCCCGCTTCTCTCGGTGTCGAGCTCGGCAACGCCAACTTCAACGCGTTCTTCCAGGGTACTTTGGTCGGTCCCATCTCATCGCAAGACCTGTTCTTGGCTGCGAAGGCAACCACCACAACGACGCTCAGGGGCGAGATTGTCAGACAAGAGGGAGAAGGTCTGGTCAACATTGGTATTCTATTCTCTCAATTCTTGGCCGGTCAAGACTCGATCCTCAACGTTCGTGGTGTGTCGGTCATCACGCCTTACAGCGGTGGTCAACCCGTCAAGTGGCTCTCAGACGCGTTCAAGACTTTCGCAACGGATGTCGTGCTACCAGGCAAGATCTACCAAATCATCTACTCGATCACGCTTTCGGACCTCACGGCGCAATTCACCAACCCCCCATCTGCGGACGGATACACTGCGCTCGCAAGCAACAATCGCACCGTCGCCATCTTTGCCAACCCCTTCGGTTTCGGTCTTGGTGTCGCGGAAGCTGGCCCGCAAATCACGATCACGTACGAGGGAAGCAATGCTGCAAACCTCAACCTCCCACTCAGACCCGTGGTCACGTCAGGCACCTCGCGTGGTCCTAACGACAGGCAGGAACTTGTCCTGAACTTCAGAGATGAGCCGCTTGTCTCGCCCGGACCCGATCATGGCACTTTCTCGAGGTTCTTGGACACGACCACCAACGCAGCGACCGTCAACTTCGGTCTGGACGGATCGACTGATGTCATTGCTACGACGGTAATTGGTAACCCGAAGATTACTGGCATTCCTTTCAATGTCAGCACCTCACTGGATGGTATCGACTCTTTCGGACGCAGGCTGGAGGTCTCGGATGTCGTTGTAAAGGATGCTACCTCCCAGTACATCAGCATTCCTCTGACCGCGACTCTGAACAACCCATCAGACATCACTCTGAGCAGCAACATGTTCAGGCTGCCGGTTCTTTACAGGGGCGCAAACACTGGTCGTGCCGTCATCGATCCTATTCTTTTGATCCCTGGTACCAACAGACTGGCTACCGAGTTCCGCTACGGTCCAGACAACGCAGCCGATCCAGTCGCTCAATCTCTGTTGCAAGCCTACTTGCAACCCGTGGATGGTCGCACTGAAGTCCAAGTGGTCCCATTGCTAATCTCTGGTATTCCAAACGCAAACCCCTCGTTGTCGCCATACGATTCTCTGGAACTCGCGCTCAGCAACGTTCGCGCGGACACTACCCTCACTGGTATCGCATCTCGCATTGTCACTCTCATCGAGGTATACATTCCCATTGAGGCGCTTATCCAGGGTCTTACGTTCCAAACTGTCACCGTCGACTCGGTGCTCACGTCGATCAACGATCTGCCTGTCATTCTGGACATCGAGCGTGTCCAAGGCAAGATCTACAACACTAACGACCCCCCTGGAGCACAGGAGTACGCCGATCTTGACCACACCTTTAACCAAGTCTACAGTCTGCCAAGAGCCACTGCCACAAAGCAGCCAAGCTCCCCCGGTACGAAATCGGAGAGAATCACTGGCATCGTACTCAGCCGAGGCTTGCTCGCATCGCTACCGCTCATTGGCAAGAACGTGGATGTCGTCACGACAATCAGAGCCGGAGTTCGCGGTAACAGCGGAGAGTACACCGTGCCTTCCCTCGAGTACACTCTTCGCAACATCGAGACCAACTACTTCATCGACCTGCTTGGCGTCCCCATTCCCGTCAACGCGCTCGGTGACATTCTGGATGTCCTCAATGGTCTTACCGGAGGCCTGCTCAACCAATTCCTGGACGCCATTGGCAGGCTCACCACGCCGCAACAAGACCAGCTCAAGGCGATCACTGGCCTTAGCAACGTTGTTTGCGAGTCGCAGCGCAAGGCCCTCCAGCTTGTCGATCCTTTCCGCCTCCTGAACCCGGTTCTGGACGCATTCGGCTGCACGGATCTCATGACGACCACGACTAGTGCGACGTCCAGCACGCCCAATCCAGTGTCAGCCGCGACTGCAGCAATTGGCTCCGGTGCGAGCGTGGCTCAGAGCGTCGCCAGTGAGGGAGTCGGAGCTGCCACCAGCGCTGCTGGTGCCGTTCAAAGCGGCATCGCAGATGGTGTCGGTGCCGTTCAAAGCGGTTTCAATCAGGCCACAAGTGCTATTGGTGGCGTCTTCGGAATGAATGGACGAGCGGCACCGGCAGATGCGCCGGTTGCTCCCCAGCCCACTGCCTAGACACCTGCATCGACATTCCTCTCCGCATGAGCATGCAGTCTCGAGAGCCTAATCGCTCGCAAATGGTCACATTCCACACTCTTTTCTTGCTTTCCCTCTTCTTTCCGCACCGTTTGACTTACAAGCATCAACGCTGTCTCTATGTGCGCTTGATCTTTCAACGCAATTATTTTGCTCGTCTTCTCCGAATCTCAGCACGGGAAACCTCACTCTCTATACCAAACGATGAGGCTCCTCTTCAAACTTTGGACTCTGCTCCTCGTTGTTGTTGCTGCTATCTAATTCGATCGTCGAATGGAATATTTCCTATCTTGCCAAGGCTTCCGAGACGCGCAAGATCATCCCCCCGTAGCGAGGTGTCAAGAGTGTGATACAGGATGGCTTGAAGTGATCTGTCGTTTTCTCTTCCTCTGTAGCTCGCAGAAGAGGTCCGATTCGCAAGTGGCGAGTTGGGAGTGAAAGTGTTACCTGATCAGAGTCCCTCCGAGTGACTCTGTTCATTCAAGTTCATGTAGTCGTCAAGAGTAAGTGGCTTGGATAATGATGTAGCGTCACGCCTCGTACCTCACAGGTGTGCCGCCATCCGTCAGCAGGCATACACGAACGCGATCACGTGATCCCGTGATCCCGTGATCACGCCGAGAGGGGAGCGCAGCAGATGAACGACCTGCGAGTTGAATTGTAATGTTCGAGCAAAGACGAAAGATGCCGGTTCTGCCCAAGCCTTGCTTGCACGCCGTCCCTCACCTCCATTCACCCCCTCGTTTGTGTTGCAGCCTAATCACCAAACGTATCGCGCTTCTGAACCCGCTCCTCTTCTGCAACCGTCTCTTTTGCAATAGAGCATCAGCCAATTCAGCTCGTCGATTCGTCGCAGCCAAACAATCAGCAGAGATGAGACCCTTTCTTCCGATGGCATTCCGCCTCAGAAATCTTGCACACTCACAAATATGCCTGCAGGTCAGCATTTCCCAGACAGCAATGGCGGCCTGGCAAAGATCCAGTCGGGCTCTGTTGGGATCTGAGCAAACACGGCCTCCTTTTGCTCCGGGTGCAGCGCTAGTCTCGGCTCAAGCGCACGGCATCGAGCTTGCGCCCGAGTCGAACACTTCAGAGGCGACGTGGTGGGATGGGCTTTTGAAAGCGGTGCCGAAGAAGAAAGTGAGCCATAGTCGCAAAGCTATGCGGAGCGCCAACAAGGGTCTCAAAGACAGAACAGGTGAGTCTTTGTGCACGTGCTCGCGCAGACCGACTCGTGTGGGATGGGTGAGAGGGAAAGGCAATTCACAGGGGTGCTTGGCGAGATCGCGTGGCCTGGATGAGGTCTCGAGTAGGTGCACCTTGGAGCATGAGAAATGGTTCGCCATTCATCTGCATCACAAGCGAGACATTGCTAACGGCATCCCACGCTCCTCCGCAGACTTCGTGCACTGCCCCGCTTGCGGCACTCCCAAGCTAGCGCATCACATTTGCAAATCTTGCTACTCTGACATTGCGAGGGAACAGAAAGCTGCCAAGCGTGCTGAAGCGGCAGCGCAGCCGGAAGTGAGGTGACGTGAAACGATTCTTGCAAGCGCCTCGGTCACTCGGGAAGAAGCTGCCGGGTGGTAGGAGCTGTTGCATCCCACAAGAGGTTTCGAAATTGAGGGGCATATGCACTTCAAGCGGCGCGATTGTCACCGTCTACGACTCACACACTACTCCCAGCAATGATATTCGGTCATGTCAAAGCAAGCTTTCACGATTTGATTTGATAGGCCAGTCTGATGATGTGTGAGCAGTATGTGCGGCAGATTGGTCATCAAAAGGCAGGTCATGGATGCCGCGAGCTCGACGTGGGTTTCCACTGGCGGGTCGCACTCGTCAAGAATCACAGCTTAGATTAATTGAAGCTGAGTGTACGAGGATGCATGCATTGCTCACGACAGATCAAGTCCGGAGTGGATCATGACCTGCTTGCTTCATCGTCTGCAGCTGCAACGAGACCACTGCTGTGACTGCTGCTTCGGGGCACGTTGGTGGACAAGAGCTCCGCGCGCAACTCCTCGCCACTTTCAGGAAGATCCTGTCTCAGTGAAGAGGCACCAGAGTCGGATGAGGCATTGCTGCTGCGTCGGCGGCGCCCTACGTCTACGCCCAGCAGTGATGCTGGCTCATTTGTTATGCTAGAGTCAGATACGACAGATGGCTTGGTGGGCTGTTGAGATGAGTCCACAGGCTCGTCGGCAGCCGCAACGGACTGGCCCTCATTTTCGTCATCGTCATCATCCTCGTCCTCCAAGTGTAGCGCAACTGCCTTTCTGAACAGCTCGCCCTCCTCGGACAATTGTCCTTTTGCTCGACCAGTAGTGGGCGAGTGCGCAGCGTCCTCATCCCGCAAGTCTTCGGGTATCTCTTCTCGAGCAGCCTTCACCGAGCTTTCAGTGGACGTGTCAGCGACGCTCGTTGCTGTCTCGGACAATGCACTTGCGCCATCAGACCTGTTGTCAATCGACGACATGGTCAGCTGTGCTTCGTCCTCGTCCTCATCTGAGCCGATAGAGAAGCTTGGTGACGAGAGGCCAGATTCAATGACGGGCATACCAAGATGTTGATCCGAATGTGACGTATGCGACGCTGCTGCTGGAGAGGCGCGATGAGAGACTTCCGAATCAGTAGATCCAGCATCCGACTTGATGTTGATGCGTGGCCCTGCACTTTCTGGCCCCGACTGGTACAGATCAGCAAGCTGCCCTGATACTTGCTCTAGCTCGTCATTCAAGGTCAGCAATTGATCTGCACGGGACAAGTGCATGGGGTCAGTCATGAAATTACAACTTCGATGATGTCGACTCACCAAGCATGCTACCTTCGCCGAGCTCGCTGACAGCGCGAACAACCCTTTTTCTGAGAGACGAGGCTTGCCGGAGCAGATCGCGAACAAAGTCTGCACTTGCTGGCTCTGCAGTCTTCTCGAGCGTCTCCTTCTTACGCTCCTCTTCACCCCTTAACAAGTCCCGCAGCACGTTGCGGCACTCTGTGGCAGCACTGATCAAAGCTGATCCAGCATTCATGGTGGCCTGAGCTTGAGCAGCCTGCGCCTCGGCTGCTTTGGCGGCTTCCATTGCTCGTTGACGCTCGAGCGAAAGCGCAACGACAGAGCGGTGGATTGGCGTGGGTATAGGTCGCTTGATGCCTCGTTTGAGCGCCTTGCGCTGGGCTGCTTCGGTGTTGCGAACGCAGCTCTGCATGATGTCGCGCGAGAGTCTCGCAAAATCTGGCTCGTTGGGAGGTATTGTCACGTCCAGGCAGCGCAAAGTCTTATTCTGCTTGCTTGCGACAGCCAGCGCCATGACACCCGCAATGTCTATCTCAAGGTTTTCCGTCAGATCCAAGTGGATTAAGCTCCTTGACTCTGGCAAATACTCCGCCAATGCGATTGCGCCCTCTGATGAGAGGTCCGTATCGTTGAGGAACAACCTCTTGACGTTGGAGTTTAGCGCGAAGGCTACTCGGAGCTGAGTGATCTACGGACATGTGCACACAGGCACGTCAGATCCGCCATCCTAACGCGCTCTCAGGATCGCCTACTCACACCTTCGGACCCTGGCCCGGCACAGGGGTTGTGGCTCATGTCGAGCGTCTCAAGCGTTGAATTGTACTTGAGCGCATCAGCCACAGCGATGAGTCCGCTCATGTCGATGTTGTTGTCTCCCAGATTAAGGACTCGCAGCGTGCGATTCTTTTTGAGGGCCTGCGCAAGGTATGTGACGCCGCCCTGTTTGGACACGCGCATCATCAGCATATAAGCCGACACTCTTCGGCCCACGCAATTTGCGACATGACTTACTCTGATGTCGTTGCCTTTGAGATCGAGCGTAAGTAGATTACCGACACGGGGCATGTCTGCCAAAATCCTCTTTGCGCGCTTCGCCTGGAACAGAGCAATCGCCTCTTCTTCCGTCTGCGAGGGCGCAGCATTCGCTCGCACTTGAGCTTCGGCTGCCAAACTGAGGGTCCGTTCGATCTCTTTACCAGGCGACAGCAGAGCTGTCGAGACGAGGTCATGAGAGTGCAAACTATTGTCCTCGCTCGCCTCGCCATTGTCAACTAGCGTGCTCGAGGCCGCCTCCCGCAAAGCGGCTGCAGTGTCTTTGTCAGACGAGATGGGCCTCCGTCTGCTTGTCACTCCGCCACCTGGGCTCGAGTCCATCAAGGGCACCTCGGGTAAGCTAGGCGAGTAGCTGCGAGCAGCGCCGCTGCTAGATGCCTGGCTCGATGCAGCCTCGCGACCTCGGTCGTGCGTGCCTGCGGAATCAGCTTCACGGACCAGCTTTGATGACCGAACGGCGTACGGCACGCTCTCACGACCGTCGAGTGCATGTGCAGCAGACGTGTGATGCGCGCCATTTGATGCCGAATTCATCCCCTGCGTAGCAGCGTGCAGCCTCTGATCAAGACTTAGGCCGGTCGATTGTCTACGTTCATGTTGGCCGACGGACGGGGCATACATCGCGCTTTTCACTTCAGGTCGCTGCGAGGAGAGGGTGTCGGGATAGTCTTTGAGCATTAGGGCAAGCGCAACCGCGCCAAGCTGAGCGATCCTGTTACGCCTCAAGCTGAGGTGCCTGAGATCAGAGTACCGTACTGCCGCTGACAAGGCTTCCAGAGAGCTGGTCTTCAGATTGCAATTTTCCAAGCGCAGCGAAATGACCCCTGACACCAGAGTCTCGTCGTCACAGCCGTTTGCAGCGTCGATGCCGCTGCTCTTGTTTTGCCGTTCCCGAAGAAGTTCGGCGTCGGGCATCAAGGGCTGGCCTTCGTCGTCAAACTCGTCGTCGCGCGCCACGATATCGTCCATGCCAGGTCTCTCAGCGTCTGACGCTTTGCCTTCGGGAGCGCTTGCATCCTTCGAGTCTTCGTTGTCACCGCTACCCTTCAAGAGAGGTGTGGATCTGGCGATGGCGCCGGTAATATGCTCCAAGCTCGCCTTGTTGATCGAGTTTTCGCTCAGATCAAGATATCGCAGAGCTCGCGCTCGGCGCATGAAGATGCCGACGAAACGCCAGCCGTGATATTTGATCCTCCTATTGGCAGCCAGTGAAAGGGTTGGAAGGGTACCAGAGACAAGCAGGGCGTGTAGGATGGATTTCAAGCCCTGTCCCGATGCCGACGTAGTAAGCGGGCTGAACGCGTTGCACAGCAGGTCCGAAACTGTATTGTTAGACACTCACATCATCAGTCAAGCCACAATTCTCGAGGACGAGCTTTTGCAGACCGAAATCGATGCTAAGCAAGTCCGAGATCGGCTCTATCGCTGCTCGGTCCAAAGGGACAAAGGACAAGTCCATAGTTCGCAGCGCAGGAGGAGCAGACCTTTGCGCATCCTATGTGTCATCATAGAACACACAGAGCGCCCTCGTATCAGCACATGCTTCTGAACCAAGTAGCCGTCTTCGACTCGCAACTCACCTCGAAGACTGCCCGCATCTTCTTGAGCGGATATTCTTCCCGTGTTCTGCAACAATCTCTGTACAGCTTTTCGAGCTCCGGCACAGCCCAAGCCATCTCCTTCCTCTGCCTCAACCATTCCCTGTGCTCCTTTTCGACGCGTTTGCGAGTAGCGTCCTCATCGCCAGGTGCGATGCTGCCATGTATGGGGTAGGTGATGCGCATTGAGTTGACCCGGAACTGCACCCGCCGCAAGGGCCTCGGACTCGAGGCGGGGGCTGGTAGGGTATTGGTGGGGAGCAGCGAAGCTTCCGAAAAGGCTGATGACGCTGGCGAAGATGTAGTGGTCGGAGAGTTGAGGGCTACACCGCCTCTCTGTGAAGGAGCGCCGGTGTTTGAGCTTGCAAACGGCCGAGATGCAGAGCGAGCTTGTTCATCCACACCCATTCCCGGTGCAGCGACCCCTGCCGCCAGGCCTCCCAACCTTTTGAACACTCCTCCAATGAGGTTTCCAGCCGCTTGAGCTGTGCCCTGTGCTGACCCACTGAGTGCGCTCAGGCTGCTTCCAGCAGGCACTGGAACCTGCACGCCCACTCCCCCTTGAGCCAAGCGCGTATTCAGAGACTGCAGGATATCTCTGCGGAAGGAAAAGGTCTTGGAGGGAGGCGGTGCTGGCTTGAGGATTCCTTTGGGACCGCCAGGAGGCATGCGACGTTTGCGGATGGAAGGTGGCGCGGAGTAGACGTCGTTGATCGCAGTCGAGGGGCCCGCAGTGGGCGCATTCGACCCGTCAAGCAAGTCAGCTTGCTGTGACTGACTGTCGATGGTGATGGTCGGAGCTGCTGGCGCCTGAAGCGAAGCGAGATTCGCAGTCGGATCCTCTGACACGGCCGAGCGAGGTGGCTCGATCTCTGTGCCCACCACCCTGTCATCGGCATGGCCAGATGGCGTCTCAGTGGCGCTGGAAAGATTCGTCTCCGCATCCTCAGCTAACTCGTCCTTGACACCGAGACCGTCTGGCTTGTGGGGTCCAGAATAATCGCCGCCATGACCTGCGGCAGATGTGGCTTCCTCTTCATTTCTGGAGACGGGCTGGTCAGCACCATGTAGGCCTGCAGAGCTCATCTTGAGCCTAGACCAGGTATCATGCAGTCGTTACGATCTGCTCGGAGCCTGAGCCAGGCTGCAGGATCTAGTAAAGTCGTGAATGTCGAGTCTGTCTTGACAGAGTGGTGCGGTCAAAGAGCCATGTAGGCGAGCGTGATGGATAAAAAGCCAGACAGCGACCGATCTCCTGTCGGCTCGGCAAAAGCTCTGCAGGCCGCACTGTGCAAATCCTTGATCTGGAGTGCTGTGTCGTTTTCGTGGGTACCACGCGCGCGCGCTTAATTGTTGTTGTATACTGGAAGATCGCGCGGTGGACCCCCACAGCAGGCGCGGCACGGGTAATTCCTCTGCAATCTTGAATGTTTGTCTGCGCAAACTAACTCGGTGAGATGATGGGCGAGATGATCGCAGCGCGGCTGGGCGGCAAGTGTTGTCGCAGTGTCCGCTGCCTGAATGTGGACCTTAACCTTGCTGTCGCGTTTGGCGGCGATGCGGCGATGCGTCGATTGGAGACTCGAGACTCAGCAGTGACAATTAAGAGTTGCAGGCGCACGACGTCGCACTTTGCTGCGCTCAAAAGCAGTGACGTCGCAATTCGTGATTGATGATGAGCAGTGCCAATCAGTGAATGGTGAAGCCGTGTGTCAAAGAAGCGGCAAGATTTTGGTCGGTCGTAGGGCAAACGCAGCTTCGTCGGACCTTCCCACGATCGCTGCTGCTGCTGCTGCTAGTAGTGCTGCTACTGCGCTCGCTCGCTCGACCCGTGCGTGACGTTTGTGTGAAGCGCGGAAAGCGATGCGTGGGCCAAGAGTCAAGTGACCGCTGCAAACCAGCCAGCCAGGCAGCCCGCCAGGCAGCAGCAGGTGTGCAGCAACCACAACAGCAGCGCACTCGTCGTGACTTCCTGGCACAGCAGCGTGAGTGCTAGATAAGTCTCGCTATATGCAGGGCTTCCGCCCCACAAGCAGGCAGCTCGCGTTGCATCTGCACCGTAGCGCGATCGATCGTGTGAGGCTGTGCTGCTGTCGGAACAGCTTTGTAGGATCAAACATGGAGCGTTCCCCCGTCTTTGCGGTCTGTGGCGCTCGATACTTTCATAAACGATTGCGAAGCCGAAAGCGCTACAAATATCCTCGTGGCTGGCAGACACGAGCACCTGCATCGCAGAACTCTGCACAATGAAGACGTGTGCGTTTCCTCTCGTGGATGAACCCCTCCTCGAGCAAAGAGATCGTGACATGCAACTCGGAAAAGCATTAGGGACACATGACAGAAAGCAGATTCGGAACAATACAGGGGGAATAGCGAATTGTTCCGGCCCGACGGTCAACGTCTCACGTCATCGTCCTTGCTGACCGCACCTTCCTCGCTCGAAACGTCCTCATCCGACAGCGCTGCCACGTCAGACGCTTTGTGGGTAGGCGTACTTCCATCGCCCAGCTCGCCGTTCCATCCATTCGCAAGCAGATACCTGCGCCACCTATCGTCCTCCGAGTCCAAGTCGAATTTGGTCGTGTCGGGAATGAGGAGAGCGGAGAAGAGCACACCGGCAGCTCCGATGCCTGCTGCGATGATAAAGACGTACTTTTTGCCCAGATTGTCTGTCACGGGTTTAAAGACTTCGGTGCCGACCGCAGCGCCAGCTTTGCCGACAGCGGCAGATATGCCTGACAATCGCAAGTATGACGAGACGGGTCAGCTACGCAGGACAGGCAGGACCGGACTACTGTGCACGTTTGCACTCACCGTAAAAGGTGCCTCTCAGAGCAGTCGGGTACGAGTCGGAAGACACGAGACCCAAGCAGGATCCCGGACCAAAGTTGCCAAAGCTGGCAATGAGGGCGTACAGCACGACAAACAGGGCAGGCTTGCTAATGATGCGTTCCCATGCCAGACCGACGGAGAGACCAATGATGATGTACCCGGTGAATCCTACGCACAGCAGCCACTTTGTGCCCAAGGGCTTGACCGCGAACGCGCCAAAGAGTGCGCCGGGCAGAGCAATGGCTCCCAGCAGCAGCTGGTACTCTCCCACGCGTTTCAGCGTAGGATTATCCACCACCGTGCTGATGATGGTTCCGGAAAAGGCGCCATTGCTAAATGCAACGAAGTCGTACAGGAACCACGCTCCACAAGTGCCCAGCAGTCTGGGCCAGTACCGCTTGAGCGCAAGACCGTAGGGAACATTTCGACGAATCGCGCCGACTCGATAAGCTTTGGAATTGAGGATCTTCATGCGAAAGTAGAACACTGGTAAAGGTAGGATGGCGCCAAAGCCGTAGCATAAACGCCAAACGATGTCCAGGTTGCGTTGATCGCCGGGCGTTGTTGTATTGTTGTATCCTGAGGCGGACAAGACGATGAGGAAGTAGGAAACGGCGAGCGGACCACCGAGACTGAGCACAAAGTTGGTGACGAGGATGAAGACGGTGCTGCGCTGCTTGCGTCCGTACCGCTCGTTTGCAGCCTCGCTCGCAGATGTGGAGCTTGCGGCTGAGGAGCGAAGGCGACGTAGGAGAGTGGAGAGGGTGGGTGAGCCGCGCAGACCAGCAAATTTGTTGCACATCTTCCCGGCTACTCACGATACTCTGCACCAACACCGACTCCGAGCGCCCCCCGAGCGACGGTAATCCACCAAAAGAGGGCGCTTGTGCTACCGTGCACGGGACTTGCCGCGGTGGCAAAGATGCCTCCGAGGACGATGAGTGAGGTAGCAATGACGATTGCCGATTTCCTTCCAATGCGATCACAGATAATTCCGACGACGACCTGACCGATGATCGCGCCCACAAGCAGCGAGTTGCTGATACGAGTCGAGGTTGCCGAGTCGAAGACTCTGGAGCCGTAGCGATGCGTGAAGAGAGGGTTGAGCATGGTGGTGACATTGTTGGAGTAACCGTCGCTGATCAGAGCAGCTCCGGAGGCCAGGACGGTGAAGAAATCGGAATTTTTGGCTTTGCGTTGCTCTTTGAGGTCCACGGGCTTGGCTAGCTCCTCGACGTCCTGCTTGTCGGCACTCGTGTCCAAGGCGGCAGACTTGTGTTCCAAGTCGCTCCCCTCATCGATGGCACTGGTTTGCGTAGGTAGCACCGGAGTGACGGCGTCCTCGACGAGCGGGGATGCCTTTCGGGAAGACATTGTGTCGCTTTTTTGAGCTTGGATGGGTCTGGGTGATGCCGATGGTGAGCAGGAAGCCGAAGGACGCTGCGAGTCCTCTAGCTATCAATTCAGAGGGCCATATATGTGTGCACGTACACGCACGCCCACTGATGAAATTGCGTCTGCAAGGCATGACTTCGAACTCCTTGAATGGCACAGCAGCAGCACACGCTTTATCTCTCACCAGGAACGTGAGCAAATGCGTTTCTTGCTGCAAAAGCAAAAGGCAGGCAGAGCAGAGAGGACGTGAGTGGTCTTCCGCCGATGCCGACCGTGAGAGGAGGTCGAGGAGCGAGTCACCAATGCACCGAGAAATCGCGCTAAGGATCTGATGTATACAGCGCTGCATCTGTGCCGCCCCGCTTAATTCTGACCGCCGCTGCATGCACGCTCCTCGAGTCGTGAATCTCCGCGTGCGCCTTCGCCCGCGCGTGCGCTGCCGGACCATCCGCCGAAACTCAATTGAGTTGCGGAGGCGCGGAGTTGTGCTTCAATAATTAAGCCGGCGGCGCGGCGGCGCAGCGATGCTACATCTTTCTCACTCGCGATTGATCACGAAAGCCCTCGACGCTCCTTTCAAGCGCTTGTGATAGCCATTTCCACCTTGCCTAAAGGAGAGGAAGGACATCTTCACAGTCACGACAATTGTCTTAATAAAAAAAAATAAAAAATAAAAATAAAAATAAAAAAAATAAAAAAATCAAAATCTCCACTGCCCTCGGTCCAGCAGCGCAATCGCGTCAAGAGATGCATCAGAACACAGACGAGTATGGTAAGGATGCCGCGTCGGCACAACCACACCCGCGTGATTGAGCACGTTCGCTCAGCGCGCGCGTTGTAGGGCGCGATCGAGCACTTGCCTCGGCCAGGCTCCGTCTGGGCGCACTCACGCTCGTGTGCCACGATTTCCGATTGTGACCTCGTGAATATTCTTCTGTGAGAATGGCGAGAGGAAGTTTAAATTTGCGAGTCCGAAGCGATCTTTTAGGGTGGCCGCGCGGTGCGCAGCGAGGCAACAGTTCTTGCCGAGTATAGGCAGGGAGCGAGGACGCAGGACCCAGGCGCGTCATTTGTACACTTGTAAGCCTGACTCGATCCCTCGATGGCCCTCCAGGCCTCTCTAGGCCTGTCTTGTGTGATCGGTCTGTCGGCATGGGTGAGCCACCTGCGCACGGTGGATCATCAGCACTGGTAGCTTGCACCTTGCTTTGCGAGAGGGCCGAGGCCGCAGGTCACTCGAGCGATGATCACGATTTGACGGAATCTGAATGTGAGTGAGGCACAAGTACAAGTACTGAAGATAGCAAAGTGTAGGCCAAGCTGAAACACGTGCGAAACAAATTGATCAATAGCGTTCGAATCAAGGCGATGAGATGAGTCGCGAGCGCAGGGCTGAGCACGCAGGGTCTCAACGTTCTTGTGGCATCTTCAGCACATGTTGGAGGCGCTAAGAAATGTAAACCTTTCGCGCAGCAGAGAAGAAGAAAGACTGTCCCGTCCTTGGACAGGTGACAATGGAGTCTTTATTCGATGCCGCCATCTCCTCGAGAGCCTGGCCAGCAAAGCATCGATTGTGAAGGAGAGGGGTGACACATGTCAAGTCAGCAGACACACCCAGCCTTAAAATCAAGAGTGACACTCACTCCGCGCGAGTACACGTGACCGTTGGGCAGAGCTAGGGGAGGGTCGTTCTCATCCATCACACGTCCGGAGATGCGGCATACAAGCGTCGAGTTGGTATGATGTGACCAAGGAACCTCTCTGGCGAGCGTTCCGAGCCCAACCGTGTCGCACACTGGGCAGTTCGTATTTCTGCTGTCGTTCGGATCGACAATGATGGATGCCGAAGCCGAAGGCGGTGCAGAGGACGAAACGGACATGCCATCCGTCGAGCTTGAGAGTACAGAGCCGGCTCGAGAAAATGGAGAGGCTTGAAGTGGCTGCAAACCTCCAAGAGAGCCGGAGGAGGGACTGGCATGCAAACCAGCTCCTACACCTGGAGCTGCGCTGACCGAAAGAGCAGGCGCAGAGATACTCGGTGCAGCTCCGAGGTTCAGCGCGCCACTGTCTCCAGCTGTCCTGCCGCCCAGGTGTGGCGGAGGATGAGTGCCGCTACCACTCGAGTTGTTGATACCTGAGGCCTCGTGGCTGTAGCAGGCTGGCAGCTTGAGACTGGACAGTCCGGCACTGAGAGCTATATGCAGCAGAGGTTGAGGCGTCAAGCTATGCAGCTGAAGCGCGCACCGTCGGAAAGAGTCAGAGATGCAAGCCCAGCGATCTTCGCTGTACAAGTCCTGCGAGGCAGTGTGAGGTTATGCAGAAGCACTCATCAGCGTGATGAGACAAACCGCTCCCGTACTTGCAGGAGTGGACTCACGTTATATGCCCATTTGCCTGGCGGCATGGCCAGCAAACCCATAGCTCGTGCCACTTGGGCCAGCATAGCTTCATGAGCAGCGGCGTCGACCAGCATCTCGGCCGCATCGACCGGCTTGTCCTTGTCTCCGGCCGGTCTCGTTGGCGAGCTAGAATACAGTGGCAAAAGATGTTTCTGGGCGTACGTGATCGCATCCTTGAGAGTGCCCGCCTCCCTTGCGCGTGCCAATTCTATGAACTCTTGAAGCCTCAGGTCAAACTCAAGGGTAGACTGCAGATGTCGCGGGGCAGAGTGAGCAAAGGCTGAAGCTCTAGCTCGAACCGCCGGCTCTCACCTTAATCTTTCGCAGCGCGGCTTTGTTCTCCGAGCACCAAGCCAATGCTGCTGCGCAGGTGCGCTTCGTCCCTGAGCCGGGCACAGGTGGAGCCAAAGACTTCTCGATGCTAGCAATTTCGTCGAACAATTCAAGGTCGACCAGCTCCTGTACCAGGCGAAGTAGAGAAGACCGACCACTCGTTGTAGGGTAAGTAATGCTAGCGGCATCTCGAGACCCGCCACTCACCGTTATGTTACGACTCTTTGCCAACGCAGATGCGGCGCCAGAGTAGCCCCTTCGCAGCAGATAGTCAGCCAGCATCCGATCAAGCCTCGTCTTGCTCCACTCTTCGAATTCAGGGGTGGCGGTGCTCTCAATCAAGTGGAGATCCGCCAAATGGTTCAACCGCGCATCTGCCACTCCGAGCGCCGACATTGCCTGCTCGCCTATTGGAGAGAGCTTTGAAAGGTAGAGGCCGGAGATGCGTAGAGCGAGGTATTAGGGAAGCCTTACGTGACGGGCAATGTTCAGAGCTCACCTTGCGTTTGAGGCCGCGCAGACGACCGATCATCACATCGAGTGCACGGTGTACCTCTGAGTCTGGTTTGTTCGGCACCGCTGTTGCTGCAGACGGTTGAGGCTGATGCGTCGCCAGGAGTAGAGAATCGTCAACGCTCACAGCGTCCGCAGATAAAGCAGCGGATGAAAGAGGCGGAGCCTGTGATTGTGAAGAACCAGAAGCGCTGCTCGGCGTCGCTGCTCCCGAGCCGGCGTTGACAGCCGCACTGGCACCAGGCGAGGGGATGCTCAGGCTGCTACTGCTACCTGCGTTGCTGCTAGAGCCGGCCAAGGTGAGGGCTGCTCTGCGCTTGGCAAGGGCAGCTTCAGCGATGGCGAGTTTGGAAGCGGGAGTGCTGGAGGCAGTTTTGCTCTTGCTACCGCTCGACTTTTGCGGACTCTTGGAGGATGAGGCGCCCGATGTTCGAGCAGCGCTGCTTGGACCGGTGGATGCGCCGATGTCCGAAAGCAGCGAAGCGCAATACGCCATGTCTCGATCCACCAAGCGTTGGTGCGTGCGCAGTTGACGACGCAGAGACTCGTGAGGTAGTCTGGCAAATGGTTGCTCGAGGAGCAGGATGCCATCCAAATTGGGTTTGCTGCTGGACGCCATCGTGCTACGTAGGCGTGCGGCAAGGTGGAAAAAGGTCCGAGAGTCGAGGAGCGATGCTGTTGCTACGAGCGTCTATGGGTTATGGGTTGGAGACTCCCCTTGCAGTTGTCACAGTCTGTGTGTATGCGTGTCCGCGCACTTTGCTGTAGTGACCATCCAGAGAGGTGCTAGTCTATAGAGGCGCGCCGATCACAATCGTGGATGTGGAGGGGCGTAGGATGGCATGATGAGGGTGAGTGGGTGAATGCTATCCCCACGCAGGTATATCAGCGACCTCGACCACGGATCCCTCCAGCTCATCAAGACACACTTGTGACTTGTGACTGCATGCAGGCATGCATACATCGTCTGGGAGACCTCCTTGCTGATGCTGATGTGTTATCGCGTGTACAGAATCCTGTCCGCCGGCCATGCTTGGTTGCTTGGGGCTCAAGAATCATCGAGATGCGCCGCGCATAAATCTCAATTTGAATTTTGAATGATTGTTACTTTAGGTACCGTACCGGTACTCATGACTTAGCCAGATCCAAACCTCATCGTACAAACGCCGGAGCGCTGTCCGCGGGTCCCCTATGCCGCTAAATAATCAACAATATGTAACGTAAATTTTCACGTGATACTCTTGACTCAAGACACTCGATTCAGGGCTTGCGTGTTCGATCGTGCTTGATTCATAAGCGTCAGCAGCAGTCGTGAGTCACAGTCACGAGTCTTGAGTCTGATGAGAGTATATCAAATCACCAGATTTCAAGGGTATTCACTCTTGACTCATGATTCGCAAACGCAGCAGGGGTGACTGATTGGCTGACTCTTCACTTGCAATACCGACTCAAAGCACCTGTACCAGCACTCCGCGACTGATCTCGACTCTTTCGCACACTGCAAAGCGTCATTCGTGCAGTTCGAAGCAATCGATTCAAGCGAGTGCTAAAAGCGACCGGCGGAGTGGTCAAGTGGGCAAAGCCGAGTAGATGCTGCGACGTCTGGTCTTCACCATCACAGCTTCCGGCAACCAAGTGCTCAGTAAAAAGCTTCAAGGTTCGCACTCGTACGCGACATCGGCTGCTCAATCAAGTGCATCGAGACGCTGCGCTGGCCCCTCCTTTCGCCGATCTCGCCTAGCGTTGGCTTCCACCAGCTGCGTGGGACTTCTCTCTGCAGCAATAGCTTGGAGATCACAGACCAAGACTAATCCTTGGGCCGGTCGATCCTTTGCCACCATGGCGCCCAGTGCCACTCCCGATCGCAGCTTTGTGACAAACGGGGATCATGCAAGGCATGGCAACTTCGATCTTGTCAGGAGGGTGGAGCTAGAGTACGCGCCGGGCATGAGCATGGAGAAGTGGCAGAGCAGAAAGACTGGATTTACAGTGTACTGGGCGGATTTCGAAAGTGAGCGTGGCACAGTCAGCGACCGTCCGCGGAGGTGACTCGAGCCTCGCAGCAGTGCCATTTGCGCGAGACGAGCTTTCAGTCCCCCGCTGAAATCTCCCTTGCCTCCTCATCAGGCCCGCTGCTGAATAGCTACGCCACGATCGCCTCGGAGATCTTCCAAGATAGCGGCGTGCCGCACACTCTCGAGCACTTGATCTTCCTTGGATCCAAGCAGTACCCATACAAGGGCGTGCTGGACTCTTTGGCCAACAGAGCCTTCGCTTCCGGCACCAACGCGTGGACCGCCAACGATCACACGGCATATACGCTCACCACGGCGGGGTCCGATGGATTCCTCAGGATGCTCGACGTCTATCTGGATCATACCTTCTTTCCTACTCTGACTCAGTCTGGGTTCGTCACCGAGGTGTATCACGTCAATGGAAAAGGAGAGGATGCCGGCGTTGTTTTCAGCGAGATGCAAGGGTGAGTGGGGGAATTGCCGTAAGTCACTCAGCCGGCAGCATCTCCTTACACAGCCGCTGCCAATACCATAACAAAAAAGTCGCGAGAATACCGCTGGAGACTTGATGGAACTCAAAATGCAGCGAATGCTGTACCCTCCCACCTCGGCTTATCGCTCCGAGACTGGCGGGCTCATGTCGGCCTTGCGTGTGCTTAGTATAGACGACATCCGAGAGTATCACCAAAAATACTACACACCGCACAACATGGCCCTGGTTGTGTGCGGGCCATTGGAGAGAGCAGCGCTTTTGGACTCACTCGCGCCCGTAGAGAAGCGACTAGAGGACGCGGGACTCGGGCATGGTGTCGCCGGACCGCCCGGCTGGAAGCGTCCATTCGTGGAAACCCCGAGCAAGATTCCTCCGACCATCGATGGCTCGCAGACGCTTCCTGGTCTCGACCCGGCGGATCCTGATCCGACTCAAGATAAGCTGAGAAGGCGTGCCTTTGTCGCTTTTCCAGAAAAGGATGAGAGCGTCGGCGAAGTGGCCATCACGTGGGTTGGCCCAGAGTATAGTGACTTCCAAACCACCGAAGCGCTGAGCGTCTTAAGTGAGTCACAGAAGCTAAGCTCTTCGCGTGCGAGAGAGCTGACATTGTATGTGTCTCGTTTGACAGGCACTTATCTCATTGATTCTGCGGTTTCGCCGGTTCAACAAGCATTCGTCGAGCGTGACGATCCGCTCTGTACGGACGTCTTCATCCAGAGCGAAGATCGCGCGGGCAAGACGACCATCACTGCCTACTTCTCATCCGTACCTACCGCGTCATTAGATGCAGTCGATGCGGACTCGCTGATCCCCCTGCTCAAAAAGATTGCTAGCGAAGGCTTCGACATGGAGCGCATGGCAATGGTGATCAAGCGCGATCGTCAGAAATTGCTTGCAAGCTTGGAAAGTAAGCCTGCTGATTCATTTGGTAAGTAGGATGCAGCGATCACTCGTCTCAAGAGCTCTCGAGCTGACACAGAACGGGCATCGGCAACAGCGGACGTCATCATCGCCGATATGCTTTACGGCAAACCTGACGGGTCCGATCTGAAAGCCGCCGTCGACGATATGACGCGATTCGACGCATTACAAAGTTGGACGTCTGATCAGGTGAGTGTCAGCCATCGAATGCGCCCTGCCCTTGGCGTGGCCGATTATTCATGCTCTTTCTTTTTCCAGTGGGCCGCACTGTTGCGAACATGGTTCATCGACAACCCTCGAAATGTCGTCATTGGCAAGCCTTCGAAAGAGCTCGTAGCCAAGCTCAAGGCGGATACAAAGGCGCTGGAAGAGACACGCAAACGCCAGCTCGGCCCTGCAGGATTGAAGCATTTGGAAGATGTTCTGGAAGGGGCCAAGGCTGAGAACGACCGCGATATTCCTCCAGAGATGCTCACGTCATTCAAGGTGCCAAATGTCGACAGTATCAAGTGGATCACAGTGGGAACTGGCATCAACGAGGTGGCGGCATCAAAGCTGATCACGGCGTCTGCTCCCCGCGATCCGAGCTCTCGCACCATCGACAGCCAGGTGCAACAGCACATCGAGAATGACGCTAGTCCACTCCCTTTCTTCGTTCAGTGGGATCACGTCAAGAGTGCATTCGCCACCGTCACTCTCCTGTTCAACACGAAACACATTCCTTCACATCTACGAGGCCACCTCAATCTATACCTCTCTGCCTTTTTCTCTCTGCCTGTGACCCGAGCAGATGGCACCAAGTTGCCTTATGAAGCAGTAGTCAAGGGCCTGGACGAGGACACGCTCGGTTACGAGATGGGCCTGGGAGCAGGTTCAGGATTTGCAGAGCTCCTGACGATCGAGCTCAAGGTGGAGAGCAAGAACTACGCGAAAGCGATCGCATGGTTGCGGGATTTGATATGGGGTGCAGAATTGTCCGTGGAGCGTCTACGCGTTACGGCTGCCAAACTTCTGCAGTCTCTGCCGGAGCAGAAACGGGATGGACGTGCCATCTCGTGGGCATTGTCAAGGTCTCTTACCCACTCCAGGGACCTTTCGACCAATGTGGCCAACTCAGTTCTGAGCAGCCTGGATACGATCCCTGCACTTGCTGAGCGACTAGGCGCTGTCGAAGGCAAGCCATCCGAGCCACAGAGCGTCGTGCAAGAGCTTGATGAGGTTCGACAGGCGCTGTTCCGACCAGAACTGATGCGAGCAAGGTGAGCCCCACTTTTGTCCCGAAGGCGAAGTTACCCACCTCACGCTTACGCTCATTGCTGCCACCATTAGTGTTGCCGGGGATGTGCTCGGACAAGCCCACCCGCGCAAAGATTGGCTCGACCACTTCGCTACTGGTCAGAGCTGGCCACCGAACCCCACTGAGCCAGTGACATGGGCGCATGAAATCCTAACCGAGATTGGCAAAAAGCCCCAACGCAAGGTGAGTAGCTAGGCGAACCGAACCTGTTCGTGCTATTCGACTATCGATCACTGAACTCTTTGGCTTGTTCTAGGGTATTCTGTGCGCAATGCCTACGATCGAAAGCTCATACGCTGTTTTCACGGCCAAAGGCCTCCATGGCTTTCAGCAAGCGGATTCTGCTGCCATGACGGTGACCCTGGGAGTCTTGAACGCAATGGAGTCTTACTTGTGGCGCTTTATTCGCGGCGCCGGCCTGGCATACGGTGCTTCTATCCGAAACGACGCCGAAGCCGGCCATATCACCTTTTCGCTGTACCGCAGCCCGGATTCGGCAAAGGCATTCTTGGAAGCCAAGAAAGTCATTACTGCGCTTGCGGAAGGCACAATGGCGATCGACGCGACCACTCTGGAGAGCGCCAAGAGCTCTCTGCATTTCTCTGTGGCTGACTCCGAAGGCACAGTGAGCCAAGCAGCTACTCAGAGTTTTGTCGATGCTGTGCTCAAAGGCACGGGCAAAGGCAGAGGCCGACGATTATTGCAAGACATTGAAAATGTTGGTCTTGCGGACATCAAGCGTATTCTCTCGCAGTACGTCCTGCCCCTCTTCGATCCGGAAACGTCCATCTGCGCAATCGCCGCCTCACCGTCGCGCGCTGCGGAGATGGAAGAGCAACTCAGCAAGTTGGGTTATGAAATGGAAAGGAGAGATCTTGGTGGCGAGGATGACGATCTGAGCGGATCGGATGGTGATGAAGACGACAGCATGGATAGCGAGGACAGCGACGAAACCGACGCAAGCGAGGACGCTGGTCGAGGCAAACTTTGACTTTATTGCTTCTGCTTTTGTTGGTCGCAATGGCGGCCTTACTCGTATAGGTACAGCACAGCAGTCAAATTATGACCTCGAAGCGAATGCATGCTCATCGCGCCCCTCGTGAGCGGTGAAACATAGCCAAGTGCAGCGCTGGCAAGAGATATCAAGTGCTTCATGCTTGCACTGACTGCTCCTTCTGAATGTTCCGGATACGCGAGCACACATTCTCGAGCGCCGTTGCGGTCCGAGCGATTTGGGAGTCCCAACGTCTGGCCCATATAGTGGCAGGGTCGTCCTGTTCGTCCGCTGCGCTGAGACCGGCGCTGTTGGTGGCTCCTTCGCCGTTTGCGGTGCCCTTGCTATCACCAGCAGAGCCTCCCAGTCCGCCTGCCGTGCCGGCCTCCTCCACGCTCGATCGTCCAGTGTCCAAGAAGGTAAGAATGCCGTCGCACTGGTCGATTTCGGCTCGCAGCCTGGATTGAGCGATCATGCGTCGGACCATAGTCTCAGCGCCTGAGCGTGGCAAGTTGGATCAGCACAGCTCATATCTATCCGCAAGGCAGGATTCCTACTGCTCACCGACGGAAGACAGATCCAATAAGGCGCCCAGACCGGCGATTGTAATGTTGCTGTAAATACGCGAGGCCGCAATGATATTGTGCTCAATCATTGCGCGATCCAAGACCGTGCTCGGGCCTGTTCTGGTGCTAGGGTTCAGCTGAGCGCCCTCGCTCATCTCGACGTCGCCCTCTGCTGATACGGATGCAACAGCAGCTTCGTTTGAAGTGGGAGGCAATGCCGCTCGTTGGTGCTGCCAAATCAATGCACATGGTCAGCAATGACACCAGCTCATCATCCTTGCAAGGCCACGACTCACTGGAGCCAAGAGCTTTGCAAAGGTTTCGATCTCGGCGGGGCGTACAATTTGATCTAAAAAGACTCTCGAAAGGATTGTGTGCTGTTCGAGCGAAGCTGAGCGCTCATCGCGCATGAGCGTAGCCAAGATGCGAGACCTCTGAGGGCCTGCTGGGGAGAGGATGGAAGCGGTGACGGCTGCAGAGCTGAGGTCGTACAACAGGCAAGCACTTGTCGTCAGGTACGGTCTGGCCCGCATACCAGACAAGCACACTCACAGCATTTTCTCGCGCTCGCTTTCTGGAATGTCGGTGATGTACGACAAGTCGTGAAAGCGCGTCGCAGCATCCAAAAAGCGTCTTTGGGCATCGTAGATGCGAGCTTGGCAGAATTTGTACATCAGTCCGAGCTGCTTGCCCTCCTGCAAAGCCTCTGCACTGGTCTGGGGCACCTCGCTCTCTGTGCCTGGTAGAGCGGGGACCGCGCCAGGCACATTGTGAACGATCAGACTGGCGCGTTTGAGGGATACATCCGCAGCTACCGAGTCGTCGGACTCTAGCAGTAGGCGGACGATGCGGATGAGGATGCGAAGCTTGACCAGATCCGAAACACTTCGATGTCCGGAATCCAGAGGAATGCCTTGCAGCACGCCCGCTGCTTCTGCCCACTCTTCGTCATTCTCGAGCAGGTCAGCAAGGTGTAATCTGAGCGAAGATGTCTGGCCATCACCATGCCGCATCGTAGCGCATGAGCTTCAACTTTGGTGCAACGACTTGACAGCTGGGCAAAATCCTGAGCGAGACTACGCACCTGCTCCTCGAAGCTCAATACTCGTGCCGTGACCTTTTCCAATGCCATCTCGAGGATTTCTCTGCGCGTGTCGGATTCCCAAACTGCTGGCCAGGCGGCTTGCGAGGCGTCATCAGGTGCTTCGCTAGGATTGCGGGCGAGCGGACCAGCCAGCGCCTCATCAAAAGCAGTCAATGCTTGTCGACCGACCACCAAGCCACCGCCTGTAGAGTTTGCATCGCTGAATACCGCAGCATCGAGGTAGTTGGATAGTCGAGCTTTGAGCTGTTCTGCTGGCAAGTCCTTGCGTGGAGCGGTCAACAAGGAGTGGAGCACTTCGCTGTATGCTCCGATTCTAGACGATGTGGGCTGCGAAGCGATGCTGGACAGTCGGTCGCTCAGCTCTGACTCTGAGGTGGCCATGATTGAAGCTGTGAGCACGAAAGATGGCTGCGGACGGAAGAGGTTGATTTGTAAGGGGCGTTCAGGAGCCAAGGCCGGATGCAGGTTCAATGGAAGTCGATGCACGCTCTGTCGAAGCGAATTGATGGTGCGCAGTCGTGAGTGGCAGGGTGTGAAGAGGCGCGATGTGGTCAAATACAAGGCCACACGATGGCGCGGACCCCTCATTCACGATTTCTGATCATCCACACAAGCTGCGTGTATGTGCTGTGCAAGGCGAGTTGTGAGTTGCGCGAACGCATATATTCGTGATTCACGATTCACGATTCATCACGATTCAAGGTGGCCCAAGCGCGCCGCGGGTCGCGCGCACCAGCAGCCAGTCATCACGCATCCAAGCAGCAGCGTGGTCACGAGTCTGCGCGATTCTTTCAGAAAGCTGCTGCAGGCATATGATTCAAGATTCACATTCACGATTAAATATCCGTGTCTATATATTCGCGATGGCGATTTCCATCCGCGCTGGACAAATCCCCTGCCAGCCCTCCTTCACGCACGCACGCACGCCTCACTCACCCTTCGCGCTTCTTCACCTCAACTTTCGGCAATTCCGACCAGAGGCTGCCATGCAAAAGGGAGGGAAGGGAGAGGCAGAGCTGCACGAGGTTGTCGATAGGTCAGCGAGAACCTGAAATGCCGCCATTGATGCTGACAGACCGGAGCACAATAGTCGCGCAACAGCGCAGACTGGCAACCCGCTCTTTTGGCACATGGGCACTAGAGTATCCCTTCGGAAAGCGGGACGCCTACTCGAGCGTTCAGCATCACTCAGGCATCGTCTCTTGTTCGCCGAAGACCACGCAGGCAGAAAAGCTCGCATGAGCTGGGTCGACGCTGCTACGCGCTCCAACGCAGCGCAAGGCAACGCGGAACATATGCTATGTATTGACAAGTCCATGCGGTTACCGTTGAAGGATTGCGAGCTGCTCATGCGTAGAACAAGACTTCCCAGTCATAGACATCGACGCCGCGTCTCTTGGGCGGTACGGTCTGGTTGGGACCCAGAGGGATAATGCCGTCCTTTTGAGCCTGCTGGTGGTCCAAAGGGTAGATGTGGTGCACTTCGGAAGGCGGATCGTTGTTCAGGTTGGTATCGTGGACAATGTTGCCATCCTTGTCTTTCATTTCAGCAGTGGCATGGTTTGCAGTGTCGGTTTTGGATGTGTGGAACTATTGGCAGGGGAGGGGAAAGAGGCAGCAAAGATGAAAGGGATCAGCTACTTCGTGCTCGCCGCGCTTCAGCATCCAATTAAATTTGAGCGTCGTCCAACTCACTCGGTCCGTCAAGTGGGCCGAAGCCACGTTGGGATAGTGGTCAGCAACATGTTGGTCGAGCGCGGGCTGAATGTCATCGGCCTGTAGAAAGAGGGAGGTGCGGCATGAGCATCGCGACTCGCGACTGCATGCTGGCAGCGACGTCAAAACCCGATCGAAGCAGCCGACAAATCGACTCACGGCAGCCTTTGCATCTTTGCCCTTTTTGCCGTCAAACTTGAAGTTGTTCGGGTCGTGCGTGGTGGGAACAGCGCCGCCTGCTGGCGTAAAGGTAGGGCGAGTCTTGCCAACGCGCGCCTCCAACATTGGATGTTCGTTCAGGTCTGACAGTCCTGCAACAGCGTCTGAGGGCACTGGAGCGGCAGAGACGGCAGCACTGGCTGCGAGAGCGGCCGCGGAAGCAGCAACGAGGGCCAGCTTGAAATGCATTTTTGGGGCGGCGAGATGGAGCTTGAATTAAGGACGATGTGAGGTCGGCAGTGCGGTGCTGGGCGAGGTGACGATGCGAGAGCAGCGAACAGACAAAAAGTGTTGTTTTGCAAAGAGAAAAGGCGAGAGATAAAAGGCGAACGAACAGACCAGCTGTCCAGATCGAGAAGAAGGCAAAAAGAAAAGCGCACGAGAGCTTGAAGATGGTTTTTTGAGCTTGGAAGAGAGGAGGGGGCAAAAATCTTCACAGCAGCAGCTGCTTCTTATCCCTTTTGCGAGACATGAACTTTACCAACGCGAACGACACTGTCAGCGTCATTCATCCAGCATGTAAGTCAAAATTTGTGCGGTGCTGTGCTTGACTTACGACGACTTTGCGCGAAAGGCATCGCCAAGCTAGCTACGACCGCACTAGGTAGGCCGTTCGCATCTGCAGGAACCATGGCGTAGCGTGCAATGCGCCCCGACTTGACCCACAAGAGCTCGCGGATCGCGTCAGGGCTGTCAGAAAGGACACTTGCGGACTACATGATTGCTGAGCAGTCAAGGGACGAGCGAGGCGATCAAGACTGCACGCACACCTTGCATTGATGGCCAGCACGCGCTCAAGAAGCCATGCAAATATAGTCGCGAGTGAGCTGGTGTCGTTGGTATGGCCGGCTGCTGTTGTATGGCTGCATGGTCGCGTGGTTGCCCACGCATGCTGCTGCTGCTGCGTGATTGCCCCCCCCCCCCCCCCCCCCCCCCCCCCC